CCTATTACTCATAAGAGAGTATTTCACATTATAAATCAAAGTGCGTGTAAGCACTGAAGGGTAAAGATTGCTTTAATTTATCAATGGGAAGTAAAATTAAACATTGCATTGTATAAAGCATCGGTTGTAGTTGATTCAACTACAATTATGGACAAAGGGAGATAACTCCAATTTTTAAGATTACTTTAACAATATTAATGACATCATTAATATTTTAGAACAGATATGATTACACGTTAAATACAAAGATATTGCAAATACAGATAATTTAGAAATTATTAAATGGTTAGATATTAAAATCAGAGAAAAATGTCAGTGACCCATATCGTCAAGGTTCACATTTTTGTCCATTGTTGACATTTCTAAGAAATGGGATTGTAACTTACCGCCCTCAACGACAAAAGTCAACAGCACCCAAATTCAATACAAATGAATTGTAAATAATACTCAACGGAATTTCTGAAAACAAACAGATAATATTCTCCGTTTTCAAAGTCGAAGAAGTATCCTTCATGGAATTTTCCTTATGGCGGGACAGATCCTTACTCACTATCGGATTTTATGTAACAACATTATATAGACGTTCTTTTAACAATCTGTCAGTGTGTTCTCTTCTTCTGGTATACAGTTTCCGCTTCAATTGATATCGAAGATTACATCGGGATTAATATATTACCTTTACAGTAGCTTCACGTAAGAATTACATTTCAGCGGATGAAATGTATTTATAGTTATGTTTGTGAATCTTAGGGATCACCTCAGTAGTTCAACCAATCAGCGGAATTTTGACTTTGGGAATATCTATTTTTAATGCAGTATTTTGCACAATTAAATAGGAATTATAAAAAAACGGAATGCTGTAAATAGATATAAAACAGGGAATAATTAACTCTTTTTATTAAAGATGGATTGGATCGGGGTTCTGTGTACTCACATCATTTGTACAACTCTCCTTACTCTTGGGAAATTTTGGAATTTCCGTGACCAAAATGGTTCGCGAAAATTGATATTTTTATATATATATAGTGATAAGATTCCTGCACCTTGCACAAGTTATGTAATTTTCTTCACAAGTATAACATCATTTTGTAACTTGAATATCTGAGCATATATTTCATTGATAAATTTCTGGAAATGTTCATGGATGGGATGTTCAGAATGTTATGATCAATGCACTATATTTTGTGTATCTAAAAAGTAGTGATAAACCTTGGAAGATTTAGATATCAAGTTAGTACCATAGGGTTTGGAAATGCAATCTTTACCCAAGAAACTATAGTTATTTAAAAGCAGCTGCTAAACCATGAAAATGACGTCAAGGACAATGGACATATGACAGAAGGAAACTTCGTAACATAAGGCATCTGCCTACAAGGTATAAAGCATCCAGGTCTTCTAGCTTCTGAAATATAAAGCTTTATACACAAAGTGTAAGCTGCTGCAGCCTGATAGTAATCCCTGTCTTGCAATTTGGAACAAAAATCAAACAGGATCTTGTTCTTTCAAAAGGACATTTTCAAGGCAGTTGCAGGTTGAGACATGCTTCAAAAATGTTATCAGGAAATTCTGATTTTGTTCAAATTTTAGTCTTTTAACTGCTATTGTGACCTAGACCTTTGACCTTTTGACTTGAAATCAATATGGATATTTTTCTTAAAAAAAAAGACCCAGCTGAAGATTGTTGAAGATCTGATTTATAGATCAAAAGATATAGGCAAATGATGAAACTTTTCCCCAAGTTTCACTTACTTTATAAGCTCTGTGGCCATGAAATTGGAACTACTGACCCCAAAATCAGTGCAGTTCTTTTTCTATCCACAAGGCCTGTGCATTTTCAAGCTTAGTTTGGTCAAGGTTGCACAAATGGTTTAAAAGATATCTAATTGGCAAAATTTATGTTAACCATAAGAGCATTCTTCATCCCATTGGCAATTATCAAGTATTCATAAAAATGGATAACAGGAATCACCAAGAAAAATTTTGACACATAGTTAGAAATATATCATCCAGAAATCAAAATTTATTGATACTTCAGATTATCAACAATTGCTGTGATCATTGACCTAGTGACACTTATTTGTCATAAAATATGGCAAATAGGGTATTTTTGGGGCCCTTTATAGCTTGCTGTTCGGTGTGAGCCAAGGCTCCGTGTTGAAGACCGTACTTTGACCTATAATGGTTTACTTTTATAAATTTTGACTTGGATGGAGAGTTGTCTCATTGGCACTTATACCACATCTTCTTATATCTATATGCAAATGTCAAATTTGTCATAATTAGGTCCAAAAATAATTTCAATCCCTTTGAGTGATTCCTTTTCTGAAAACATTGATATTTACCTACATAAAGATCAGACAAGAGTATACTGATCATGATTAAATTCATGTGGAAAGTCTTTCAGGTATAGGTTTTGCCATAATATATTACATAAACTTATCATTATCAATGAACTATGCAAATGAGGTCAAAATCAACCATGCCAGACAGACATATATACCTTATAATTATGTAATTATCCAATTATAGCTTACCAACTGCTTATAGTATTTGAGAAAAAGACTAAACCATAAAGACTTATTATTGTTCAATGAAACATGAAAATGAGGTAAAAACCATACAATCATTCAATACACAAAAGATAGTTGACCTATTGTTTATAGCATCTGAGGAACAGACTTGGCCATACAACTTTCACCATAATCAGTGATCCATGAAATCAGATCAAGGTCAAGTGAACCCTGTCTGACGGACATGTACATCTTACACCAAATATAGTTAGCCTATTGCTTATAGTATCCAATAAACAGACCTTATTACAAAAAAATAAACATTGACCAATTAGCAAATGAGGTCATGGTCAGATGAACCCTACCTGACAACATTTATACCATGCAATCATTCCATACACCAAATAATGGCAAAACCATGAAAACTTAACATGAAAATTAGGTCAAGGTCAGATGAACCCTGCCAGACAAATATGTAAACCATACAATCATTCAATACACAAAAGATAGTTGACCTATTGTTTATAGCATCTGAGGAACAGACTTGGCCATACAACTTTCACCATAATCAGTGATCCATGAAATCAGATCAAGGTCAAGTGAACCCTGTCTGACGGACATGTAGACCTTGCAAGGATCTCATAATATACCAAATATAGTTCTATTACTCATAATTGAAAAATTCAGAAGACAAAACAAACTATAATCTTTTCTTTTTTTAAACACTTGCTGAACCATGAAAATGAGGTCAAGAACTTTTGGACATATGACAGCGGTAAACAAAAGGCATATGTATACAAGGTAAGAAGCATCCAGGTCTTCTCCTTTCTCAAATATAAAGCCTTTGATAAATTGTTACATGTATCAGCACCGTTGCAGGATAGGCATCCCCATGTCTTGCATTCTTTGATAATTGCAGACGGGACAATAAAAGTCGGGAGCTTTTCCTCAATTTTGCATTAAACCCCTTTGAAGCACCAGAGTTAATTAACAGTATTTGTTTTGAGTTTGTGTCGCTCAGTACTAGTTTTCTTAGTGGTATTTTGTGGAATGATGTTTAGTCTTTTTTATCATGGTGTTGACTGCAATTTTCCACTTATGATTTTGATTGAAAAACATATCGTTTTTATTTGTCCAAATTGTTTGTTACTTCCTCTGGATGATCTGTTAAATTTGGACCGAAGTGATCCAGAAATATGTTGTGACCTTATTTTCCTTTTTGTGTTTGACAGGAGTGGTATGTTGGGGTAACTCATAGATCAGAAGTCATAGAGACCGAGGCTTTTGATGATAGGGCCTTGGTCAATAAGCAGAAAATTGAGGTCAAGGTTAAAGGTCAAGGTCATCTATTGAATTTTGAGCTTCTCCATGACCTTTTACCTTGAAATATAGGTCAAGTTCAAAGTTAAATTTGATGTTCTAGATTTTGACCTTTGCTTTAACTTCATACTGGTACATGATAAAGCCATAAGGTCTTTGCATTAGGCTGGACAACATATGACCTTGAAAAAGTCAACCAAAAGTGACGTTGTGTAAACAGGAAGTTTTATTTTTTGCACTCATTTCATGTAAAAGTACATAAAAACAATATATTTTCAAAATTAGTGAGATTCAACTTTCATTTGACACTGGAAGTGGCAAATTATTTACCTTATTGCAAGCAATAGTATATTGAAACCATACATTTTTTGAATTAGTACAATGAAAGCTATTATATGACACCATAAGATGCATTTAATACATCGGAAGTAGTCAATTATCTCCCTTATTTCATGCAAAAGTACATAAAAACCAAACATTTAATTTTTAAAGCAGTGTAATGAAGATTGTCATTTGACACCAGAAGTGGCATTTCATACACCGGAAGTAGCCAATATTTTTCCCTTTATTTCAGAGGAAATACATGGAAACCATATATTTTTGGAATCAGTGAAAAGTAAGCCTTTGATGACACCAGAATTTTTTTAAACCAGAAGTAGCTGATCATTGCCTTTATTTTAAAGAAAAGAACTAAAGAAAAAAAAGAAAGAAAGTATATGTATCTGTTTAAGATTATTGACATTGGTTTTGCATATGAAGGTTACTTTTATGTAAATTGTAAAAAAAAGGTTTTTGCATCTATATATATATATATATATATATATATATATAAAAGTTAATTTAAAACCTTTATCATCAACATGTGAGTTGGAGAGTCGTAAGTGTGTTCAGCCTATGATAGATGAGATATATTTTCTGAACAACTGTAACAGTCACGGAAATGGGCAATGCAAAATAAGTTAGTAAAATAAGTTGGCCAAAATAGGTACAGTAGTCTCAGTAGATAAAAATATATGAACAAATAGACTGGTAATGTCAAACAAAGTGTTTCATTCACCTAAATGCATAATCTATGGAAAATTTGAGACACCTCTCAATGTCAACTTGGCATAATCTGTAAAACAGACTAATAACTACAAATCAATCTTCCAACAAGCAAATAACAATAAAAAGGCAAACAAAAAACTTTATCTTAAGTAAAATCATATGTAACAAAACAAAAAATTAATCCTTCACTTTGTCTGTTGGGTCAGATTTAAATAATGCCCTTGCATTGTTTATAACTGTCTGGTTGTCTCTTTGTAAATATTCTGTGATTGTTTCATTTGACCGCTTCAAAGTATATGATCCTGTTAAGCCCATGAATGACATCCACACTAAGCCTGAAATGGTAGAAAAATTCTCATAATTTGTACATAAGTATTGTGGATTTATTTTTGTGGGTACCAATTTTCGTGGATTGCGGGAAACTTTATGCATTTGTGTGGACATTTGATTTAGTGGTTTTGGCAAATAGATATAAGAAGATGTGGTATGAGTGCCAATGAGACAACTCTCCATCCAAGTCACAATTTGTAAAAGTAAACCATTATAGGTCAAAGTACGGCCTTCAACACGGAGCCTTGGCTCACACTGAACAGCAAGCTATAAAGGGCCCCAAAAATGACAAGTGTAAAACCATTCAAACAGGAAAACCAAGAGTCTAATCTATATAAAGTCTATATACAAGCCTTTAAAAAATTAGTAATTTGTTGAACATTTAAATTTGTGGATCACCTGTACCCATAAATCCACAAAAATTAGTATGCCACGAATAATAATGAATCCACAGTAAGTTAATGTTAACAAGCATTCGACAGACAGACAAACGGACAGATGGACAGAGTGCAAACCTAAAGTCCCCTTCGACTTCGTTGGTAGGGGACTAAAAATCTAAAGTCTCTCCTTTTAATTACTCAAGGACTTATCAAATGTATATACCAGTACATGTATGTCCTTAAACATAATATTCAGTCTTTGTGTTACAGTAGATTTAACTTTCTTGCAATCATATGATATGCATACTATGTCATGATGTACGTTTGAGAAATTGATTTGTCCTTTTATTCCTCAGGTTCTCTTTATTGTCACATTTTTAAGTTTCGATTCATGGCTGATAGTCCTTGTACTGTTGTTGTCATGCTATTAAAAACAATCTTAAAAAAGTCATTAGGACCAGATAAGCATAATAGATTCTTTTGATATGATATTGGTTCTAATTTTATAGGTTTCTAAACCTGAGATCATTTTCTATTATAGAAATATTAGGCCATGTTAAATAAATATTTTTGTTCTCAGACAATGACTTCTGAAAAATACAATTTTTGTATTTACTATTTTGTTTATATTTACCGGTACTTTTTGCAAACACTGTATTCATTCAATGGTATCTCTTGCTAAAAGAACTTGTATACTTGGGCAGTGATGTAGAATTGTTTGACCTTTAGTCACATAAATGATAATTCAGATGACTAGCAAGAAGAAAGACAATAGTTACCAAAAATAAGGGATCCATATGTAGCATGAATACAAAACCTCCATGATGGCTTTAAAAACTTTATATTCTGTTTCCTGTAGTAGTAGCCTGTTATACCAGCAAGAATCAAAGGGTTAACTGTTGCTATAACTTTACAACTCATACAGTCCTTCCCATTCATCAAGTCAAGAAATTGTTCCCTTTTTTCTTCCTTGCTTTTTATCTTAATTGCATGTTCAGCTATAATTTCCTCTTTAGTCTGGTTTTCTTTTTTTGTCTTTTCTGGATTAATTATTGCTGCAAAACAGTATTATGAGTATAGAAGAATACAAAGATGTGCTACTGATACAGCTGTTCCCATTGACAGAGATAGTGACAGGAATTATATCCAAAAAAAAATGCAAAAAAAAAGAAAAGAAGAAGAAATGAGCAATTGCAAATATTTCAAAATTAAATAATACAAATTACAAATGCCATTATATAATATTTTGTGTTTAAATGTATCACAAACTCACTTATTTCATGGGTGTTAGCCCAATGTGGTATATTTAAGAAATAATTCATGGGGCTTGAATTTATTGTGATTTTACCATGGGTTGGCCCTTTATGCAAAATATTTTACCACGAGCAATAGCGAGGGGTAAAATATCAGCATAAAAGGACAACTCATGGTAAAATCAATATAAATTCAAGCCCTCATGGATTATTTCTATTCTAATAGGACAAAGACAGCAATTCTTTTGTTTCAAAACGCTCTAGGAGAAGGGAAAAATGTTTGCTGTTCCCGTAATTGAACACACTATTAATATTGACGTAAAACTAAATAAGTGACATGCTTTAATGATTTACAATAACATACTAAGACAGGTTTGGACGAAGTTTATTGATTATCTTACTTTTATTTAAGAAAATGGGCTTTTAGTAAATTCTTATCATTGCTTGTTTATGTTTTCATGTTTTGACAACTTTTAGTTTCAAATTCGTGCATTTTCCCATAGAATGCTTATATTCTTATGTCATCGTTCATTGACGTCATTTACACCATCTGACCTCGGGTAATCCATTCATAAAAATCAAACGATGTGGGAGTAAGATTGGAACAGCCCAAACAATTCATGATGTTGACAATCAGCTGACATATCAATATATTCATATTTCCCACGGGTGTGTACTCAAAGCGTTTGGAGAACGTCATATTAGAATTATTTATTCTTACATGTTATATAAACATTATCAATAGAGAAAGTTGTAGTATTATCAATTCAGCTATGCATCTATCTCAATGTAACTGAAGCATCTTTGATACGCTATTAAGAATGTATGCATTGGCTTTCGTTGTATTACATTAAATGAAAAAGTCAAATATATCTTAAATTGCAAATATTGTCCAAATGCTTCATGCTACTAGAAAAGGGCATTTGAAATGGTGATGTGATACAATATTATTCTGTATATTCAAATACAGGGAAAATGATTTATTGATTGCCAGTTACTTAGCGTCAAGTGGTAAATGACCCTAACATTGTAAACCACTTACAATAAATACATATGTTTACATGAGCTACAAAGCCAGGACAGTTACCCTAAAGGAAATCAGCTTATCAGTGTTAATGTTTTAAATGACCAAGAAATTATGCTATGAAGCAATTCTGTCATGTTCATTCAAATCCAATGTACACTGAAAAAATGGCAAAAACCATGATTTAGTAACATGCTGAAAGGATACCAGAAGCTCCATCTATTTAAAAAGAATAAAATATTTGTTAAATCAGTGACAAAAGAAATAAAGCTAGTCTTTAAAGTAAAGTTACAGAAGGTGATTTGCTTGAACAAACTTTTGTGACGGGACCGACCTGACTGACAGATAGAGAAAAAATAAAAACAATATTGAAAGAGGGGAGCCATTTAAATTACTATGACAATAAAATATTGGATAACATCTGCCCTTTTGTATCATCATTAAAGTGTATTCATGTTGCAGAGCATGTCATATAGACTATTCTGATAGTCAAATTCAAAATTGAAACTATAAACTCTTCCAATACCATCATCACCTTCTAATACAACTGTTTGTATAATTTTTTCAAAACCTTATTTTTATCTTATTTTTTATGTGGCTGAATAAAATGTACAGGATATATATTTACAATGTATATCTGATCTCCAATTACATGTGCATGTGAAAGAAACGACAACCAATCAATTAATCTATCCAATTACATGTAAATACACATAATAAATTTATACATACCAATTCCTGGTTTTTCTAATTGACTAATAAAGTTTCCCATTACAGAAACATAGCACCTGAAATACAAAATGTATCCATCAGATTTAACAAATTATAAATAAAGCAATGTGTTCATAACCTTTTTGATACATACTACATAACATTTGTTAACTGACATTCTTGCAATACTATTTAATCAAAATAATAGTATCTCACCTGTGCACTTGTTATATTAAAATCACCAGTCGGTTTTTTTTTCAAGATGGTTAATGCATGGTAGGGGCCCATGCATTCAGTTAAACCCCAATCATCCAATTGAATCCTTTAAAATCTAAAATTCCCCATACTATATAATCCCCATCCTTTCGTAAACATGATCAACATCATTTTAGTCATTCCCCTTCCATCAAAACTTTCACAGAAAAAAACTCTTTTGTGTTCAAACATCTTTTATTAAAGACAAAGAAGTAAACACAATGGTTTTTTGTCACATTATTTTACTATGTTTACCCTCACCAAATCAAATTAATTGACATAAAACATTTCAGATAACAAATTTCTGAACAAATCAAATTGATCATTTTTTTTATACTTTATAAATATTGCATTTCTTTTCATAACGAAAACATTTGATTTATATATATTTTGTTATACAGTTGTAGTACATGCATCTAACCAATGTTCATGTCAGGTCTCTATTTTATACATGCATGGTCTGGATCAAGAAAAAAACTGCTTAAGCAAAACAGTGTACACAGGAAATTTTTCTTACACAATTGTTAAATCCAATCCCCAGTGGCAATCCCACAATATATTAACATGATTAATTGAATAAATAACATGAAACATTTTAGATGAAAATTTTATTGCTAAAAAATAAATTGTATCATGTTATGTAGTGTGTATATTTATGTTATATACTAGAAATGAAGTCACTGCCATCTGGACAGTGGTGATTGATTGTTTATTTGCAACTACCTAAAGTAAACTTAAAAAAATGTTTTGACAAAGTTTGCTAATTTTTAGGATGATGATGGATTGGTACCACATTAGGTTAAATATCCAGTGTTACATGCATATCTGGACAAGAACTTGTTAATAATGCCCTGCTTTGAATCTTTTAAACTGAGCCAGGTTTTTAATTGGGCTAGTTCACAATAAAACAATCAGGAGGAAAGCCTGTCAACCTACCAAGACACTTTTTCCGACTCCTAACCAACCAATCTTTACCCTTAGTCCATTTTTTACCTGCTTAATAGAGAGGGTTCCCGAGAAAATAAATGTCAAATCCTGAATTCCTGTGAAAATAATGTGTCCGCTCCTGTATCACAGTACAATTAAATCCTGATATCCGGAATTCCCTGATGATTGAACTGGCTATTCTCATATTCCTGGGAATTAAACGGCTCAATCTGGAATTCCTGAAAAAGGTCCTCCTGCCCCTCTTATTAGCAGAGAAGCAGCAAATACCAATTTTTTTTCTCTTTCTTTGACCTGGCTGGGGATAGAACCCATGACCTCCTGAACTTGAGACAAGCATTTTAACAGATCTTAACAACACAAGACCAAAAAGGGTTCTGCTAATTTTTACCTGTAAAACACTTACTCTTGTTAAAAAGGGAGATTTTTTTGTTGTTAGTGGCTTTGAGCTATCTGTCAGTAACTGCGAGTACTCTCAGATCTGTACTTAGTGTCTTTTTGTTGTTTGGATGTACAAGTACCCGGCCACGTCCACTTGTATTTTTATCCATCTGATGAGTTAAGCCTCTTTCAACTGATTTTTATAGTTCGTTCTTATGTTGTACTGTTACACCACTGTCCCAGGTTAGGGGGAGGGTTGGGATCCCGCTAACATGTTTAACCCCGCCACATTCTGTATGTATGTGCCTGTCCCAAGTCAGGAGCCTGTAATTCAGTGGTTGTCGTTTGTTTATGTGTTACATATTTGTTTTTCGTTCATTTTTTGTACATAAATTAGGCCGTTAGTTTTCTCGTTTGAATTGTTTTACATTGTCATTTGGTCTCTTGTCGAGAGTTGTCTCATTGGCAATCATACCACATCTTCTTTTTTATAGATACTGGAATCTCTGAATGTTGCATGCACATCTCTAAAAATTTAACTACAGCTGTATGAAAAATTCATCAATCTTTTTCCTTAACCATGTAAATTGGAAGACATGTAGGAGAGAAGTATAGATAAAGTGCTTTTTCTGAGTTAATGTCCTTGGATTTTAAAACATGTACTGTAATACCCTTACTGGAATATCTCTGAATGTCGCATGCACATCTCTCAAATGGATGACCTAAAAATTTAACTACAGCTGTAAGAAAAGTTAATCAATATTTTTCCTTAACTTTGTAAATTGGGAAGACATGTAGGAGAGAGGTATAGATAATGTGCTTTTTCTGAGTTAATGCCCTTGGATTTTAAAACATGTACTGTAATACCCCTTACTGGAATATCTCTGAATGTCGCATGCACATCTCTCAAATGGATGACCTAAAAATTTAACTACAGCTGTAAGAAAAGTTAATCAATATTTTTCCTTAACTTTGTAAATTGGGAAGACATGTAGGAGAGAGGTATAGATAATGTGCTTTTTCTGAGTTAATGCCCTTGGATTTTAAAACATGTACTGTAATACCCCTTACTGGAATATCTCTGAATGTCGCATGCACATCTCTCAAATGGATGACCTAAAAATTTAACTACAGCTGTAAGAAAAGTTAATCAATATTTTTCCTTAACTTTGTAAATTGGGAAGACATGTAGGAGAGAGGTATAGATAATGTGCTTTTTCTGAGTTAATGCCCTTGGATTTTAAAACATGTGCTGTAATACCCCTTACATAAGTTATCATGCAATCATAACAAATATTTAAATTCTCTCATTTAATGTTCTCACCTAGTAATTGAAATTATCACTTAAATATAGTCGTTTAGAGTCATAAGTCTTGCATCAGGCTTTCCATTCCAACTGTAAATCGGGGTCTCACTAATTGACGACAAGAAGCGACAAGAAGCGTCAAAAAGCCGCAAAAGTACATCGCAATATACCCCTAAAAATAGAGGAGTTCCGAAAAGACTCCGAATGAAAGTACTAACAAAAGTTTTTCGGACTCAACTTTCACTTCGACTTCTCAGCAGAATAGCCTACACAGTAGTGAACAAAATAACAGTTAGAATGAGCATAACACCAAGTGAATATGGATCGTGGAGGTCACCAATTACAAGTAAAATTGTTTCTGAAAGTAGTGTGAAATTTCAAGAAGTTCATGTAGACAGCTGCCCAGAAAACGCCGGTTAGTATGATCAGAGACATATCTGGTATGATATATAAATACTGTATTGATTTGTATTTTTGGATAACATAAATCTTAAGTAGATTATTGCATTGGGCAATTAGTTGATTGATTGTTGCTTGCTTAACTCCAGTGGCATGTTAGTATACTTTATACAGACTACTCCCCCCCCCCCCCCCCCCCCCAAAAAAAAAAAAATCCGGGTCCGTTTGCCCATAGATATAATAGCCATTATATCTATGGTTCGCCCTAGTACCTGTTTGCCCTATGTCCGTTCGCCTTTATAACTGTTCGTCCAGGGTCCTTTCGCTCAGATTTTTGTTGAGCCTTCGTCTTTTGTCGAAAAAGCAAGACATAGCGATCCTACATTCCGTCGGTGTTGGTCTGCGGCGGCAGCCACAAATATTCACTCTGTGGTTAAAGTTTTTGAAATTTTAATAACTTTCTTAAACTATCCTGGATTTCTACCAAACTTGGACAGAACTTGTCAGAAGCTTGTTTTATATGATCATAAGATAATATTCAAAAGTAAATTTTGTAAAAAAAAAATTCTATTTTTTTCCATATTTTACTTATAAATGGACTTAGTTTTTCTGCCAGGAAACATTACATTCACTCTGTGGTTAAAGTTTTTGAAATTTTAAAAACTTTCTTAAACTATCCTGGATTTCTACCAAACTTGGAAAGAAGCTTGTTTATGATCATAAGATAGTATCCAGAAGTAAATTTTGTAAAAAAAAAATTTCCATTTTTTCCGTATTTTACTTATAAATGGACTTAGTTTTTCTGCCAGTCAACATCTAACATTCACTCTGTGGTTAAAGTTTTTAAAATTTTAAATCTTTCTTAAACTATCCTGGATTTGTACCAAACTTGGACAGAAGCTTGTTTATGATTAAAAGCTAGTATCTAGAAGGAAATTTTGTTAAAATTTTGTTCCATTTTTTACGTATTTTACTTATAAATGGACTTAGTTTTCTTCCAGTTAACATTAAATACAGTCTGCAGTTTAAGTTTTTAAAACATTTATTAGATTCATAAACTATCCTGGATTTTTACCAAACTTGGACAGAAGCTACTTACAATCAAAAGATAGTATAGAGAGGAATATTTTTATTAATTTTTTTCCTTATTTTTGTTGAGCCTGCGATTAACAGCAAAAGTAGGCGAGACACTGGGTTCTGTGGAAACCTTACGAATTTTTATTTTATTGTCTTGTTGTATACTGCTTATACTGAGTATGTTTAAGTTTGTTGCCACACCTTTATGTTGTATTGCTGTTACCAAATAATTATTTTCCTTTGATCTGCACTGCAGAGTACCCAGAATACAAGGTATTTAATATAAAACAACTGAAGACCATGTTATCATTATCTGGATGTATTTATCTTTACTGATAAATTTTAACAATCATTATCAGTTATATCAAGATCCAATTCGAACTTCGCATCACACACCAGTTATGTCCTTAATTTTTTTACACTATTATTTCAAAGAGCACATATATAGGAAATGTGTCAAAACGAACTTGAGATCAAAGAAGCCAAGCTGTGTGCGAAAGAAAATTCCCTTTTATGTCTTACAATTCGTACATCATTGTTTTTACTCAGAATCCAAGCTGACTAGTTTATTTTAAAAAAATGTTACTTTCATTCTTAATTCAACAAAGACAATTAATACAAAAATAAGTGAGATGAAAGACATTATAGTTATACCTTAAATCAGCATTCTAAATTACAATCAACTTGATTCTAAATAAAACAAATGTAAGAATGAAGCTCATTAATGCTCCAAAACAAGCCATTAATTTTTAAACATTTCCATGTTTTTTCATGAATTTAGAGAATATATATATTTTCTTTAATATTGATCAATCAGGGTTCTGTCCTCATACACTTATGAATTGTTCCCTAAATCTCTTATATTCATATATAAACAACTCTTTCAATGATCATCTTAAAAGTAAATCAATGACTTGAATCAAGTTTTTAAATTTTACAAGGTTGACACAACCATTGACAACACAGGGTTGTAATATACTGTACATGTACCCATTTAAAGAAACTCAGCTCTCAGAGTTTGCTCCTATTGGTATTGAAAGTTCTGAAGACAGACTATTTAAAATTTCCCCTCAAAGAAAGGCATCATGTGTTTAAAACTTTGCTTAATATAAGTATGACTAAATTAATGTGATATTTAAGGCCTAAGTACAGAAAAGATTGAAAGTATTAAGCTTAAGGTACTATATTGAAAAAAGACTTTACGTGAAATGGAGTTAATAGACATTAGCTTGGAAACACTATATATACTTAATTCATTTATAGCTTTCTGTACTGTATGGATCTTGCTCATTGTTGTAGGCCAAACTATAGTTGCTTACATATACGTCTTTTGGTCTGTGGTGGATAGTTGTCTTTATGGAAATCATACCACATCTTCTTATTTTTAAATTAAAAGCTATTTGCCCAACATGTAAGATGACAACATTGACATTCATATATTGTTTGGTGTCACAAGAGAAAATGTTTGATGCCACAGTACAGTGTTACTTTACCTAAAAAACAGGTAGAGGTTCGATAGTACCAGCATGGCTGTTTTTTTTGTGTTTTTTTTGCTTTAAAATGAACGTAGAGAGAAGGAAGTTTCAATGATGAAAAAAAGAAGTTTTTATCATTATGGCTATGTAGTTATACAATAAATGATGATCAGTTATGGGGGCTATATATAGACAAATGTTCACACAATATCTACAGCTCTAGATTGCCCAATTGATTCTAGAAAAGTTGTGAATCAAAACTGGGTCTGCATAGATAAAACGTTAAACAACAACTCACTTGGGACAGGCACATTATTATGTGGCAGGTCTTTTGGCCCTCAACCTTCATCCTTTTAAATATTAATCAGTGGAATAACAAATGGTATGTCATGTATGTAGAACACTGCTTATTAAACATTTTACCAAAAAAATATTTAGAAAACATTTCTGAAAGTATATGAAAACTGACAGTATTTTGGTTTATTTTTGTAGATACGGTTTATTGGGGAGAATTAAGATTTGATGAAGGAGGTCGAATTGTAGTGTGTTCACAGAAAGTAGGTGAGGATAAAAATATGTCCTGGACACCAAAAGATTACAATGCTAGGACCAGAGTACATGAATACGGTGGAGGAGCTTTCTTTGTCAACAACAAAGTAGTCTATTTCTCAAATTATAAAGACCAGCAGATGTATTCTCAGAGTTCCCCTGATGAAGCCCCCCAGCTCATTACTAAAGGTGAAAAAACATGGAGATATGCTGATGGGTCATTTAATGCTAAGGTAATACAAGTTGTGTCAAGTCATGATATATAGTGGCTGTAAGAAACAAGATTTAAAATAAATATTAGATTGATTGATTGATTGTTGGTGTTTAACTCCACTTTCAGCACACATGGCTATAATAATATGGGGACCAGTTTTTATTGGTGGAGGAAGTCAGAGTATATGAAAAAAACAACCAACCTTTAGCAGGAAAACTGACAATCCTAGTCAATTAAGATTGAAGTCAATTGCACCTTGCCAACTGAGGTGTTTGAATTCAACAGGCTACTTATCATTGAAGATGACATACTAAGACCACTCTGCCACCAAGGCCCTAAAATAAATATTATAGCAACATTGAATTTACTTCCAAAATAATCTGACATCTCTTTTTATTTATTGATAATAAGGAGGTGTCCCTTTTAAAAGATAGTTATGTTCAGGAGATGTTTTGACTCTACCGAATTTTATAGTAATGTGAATGATTTATGAAAAGTATACCTTTCATTGATAAAGTATACATTATATATGAGAAGTTTTTTTCACATAGACAAAACACTTTGGTACATTGTTCTTGTTCATTTGACTCTGACATATGCTCTATATTTGCAAGTTCAAATCAACATAAATCTATGTTTTTTTCACTTCACATTTATTGTTACATTATGGTGTAACACCATCAGTTAAGGTTAAACATATTTTATTCAGAAAATATCTGAAATGGATTGGATAGCAGGCTAAAGCCTATTATAATTAAAAATTTTAAATATTGTCACATTATTCTTGATGTAAGTATCTGTTTGAAGTAAAATATTATTAACCAACAAGAAATAAAAGTTTGGCATTAATATCGGGACTAAAACATAATTTATCTATTGTTTTCAATTAACAGTTATAATTTTAGCTATTAATTTTTAAACTAATCTTACATGAGGGTCTGGATTTTTTTTTTTTTGGGGGGGGGGGGGGGGGGTGTTCTTCAATCTGTATTCTTTAATTTGTAAGGCCATTTTTCTCTATTCTTTATACTTTTTGCCCATTATTCTGAATCTCTATTCTTTACTTTTTTGGGCCATTTTTCTCTATTCTTCATATTTTTTGCCCATTATTCTCTATTCTGTAAACCCCCATCCAAACCCTCATACATAAATGAATTGTCTTATTCTGGACTTAAATGGACTTACAGTGTTAAAGTGAAAGTGAGACATTAATGAAAATGAATGCTACATTAGCAAAACAGTCTTGAAAATACAAAATTGCCATTTATATATTTAATCATTTATTACTAATAGTCACCATCAAGCTGACTGAGTAAAAATATAGGTCAATACACTATGCTTTAAATAAAGTTGTATTTATAAACATCATGAGGAGATATCACTTATTAATATTAGTGTGTCAATGACAAACAATATCTTTATCATGATTAAAGTTGTTTATTTTGTGACTTTGCTTAAAAGAGTACCCACTATTTGCATCTTAGAAGTATATTTAACTAAAAAGATAACATAATATATTGAACCCGTTGTATGTGTTCATGTTCGTTTTTTTGTTTTGTTGTTTATTAATTTTTTGTCTGATTTTTTTAATTTTTAAGTTTAAAAAATTTTGTGGGGTTACTTAAGAAATTAAAAATATACCCCACTGAGAGTTGTTAATTCTGCTTTCTGAATAGCATCCTGCTGCACATTTCCAATATCCAGGATATGCTGAAGACTTTTGTACCTGTACATTACCCTCTATACAATGTAGTTAATTTTCTAACTTAATAAAAGGGACATAGCTGCAGTTTTTGAGAACTTAGAACAACAAATGTACAAATTTCAAAATTTAAAGTAAACAAAAACACATACAAATACGTTAAATGAATAACAATACATGTATTTATAAGTTGAAAAATGAAGTAGACTAAGACACTGCGCATGATTTGGGAATCATGCTGTTGAATATGTTTTTTAGGAACTTTGCCATCTGAAATAGTGTAGTTAGTGATGGTATAGTTGAAATTGTTTGTCATATATTTGAGTTTCATGCATGGTTTAACTTATGGTCTTGTAAGTAGTCAGTCTTATTTAGTTTTATTAAAAGCTTATCAAATATGAAGAATAGACAGTAACTGAAATGGCTTAGCTAAGACCAAGTTAAATCTTAAGTAAAGGAGTAGGGTTCATGAAGGGTCAGTTTTGGCTCTAGAATTCCATGACATTTAACTTCCATAATAATAGTAAACATTTGATGACCAAATTTGAAAAAAATATCTTAATAAATACAAAATCAACAAGCTCAGATGCATTTGTACACTAATGATGTCATTATAGGCTATCTTGTGAAGAAATCATTATTTTTGGCTAAATTTTGATAGGTTTGTTTCAAATAATATTGGTCACATGCATGGACCACCATTATTTTTTGTTAGAATGTTTATCCGACACATATACATATTTTCATAACAATTTTATTTTGGTTGAAGGTTTTTAGAAGGAAATTGACCTTGCAAATGCACAGAAACAGACAATTTGACTATAAACTTGTAAAATATCATACTTTTGAAGCTGTCAACATTGATTAAACAAACAGTAGTTGGAAAAGACTAGGTTATTTAAATTTGCATATATTTAAGATAGTTATAAAGGTTTTACATGTGATATTACAAAGTTTGATTCTTAAAGCCAAATTAAGGCTTTCATGGCCCTACTCTTTGACTTAATTCAAATCAAGCTGTTTCACAAGAGATGTATTGATTTGAATATCATACACTTTTTTATAGCCTCATGATAAAAATTTGAAGAAAATGGTTAACACATTAATGGTTATTACTTTGAAAAAATTGATTGGATGTTCTATAATTTTTTAGACGAGTAAAATCTACTGTGTGAGAGAGGATCATAGTGTTGTAGAAAGCAAGACGGCTAAAGAACCTGTTAATACAGTAGTAACAATAGATCCTGTTACCAAGCAACAATTTGTTTTGGTAAGATTTATTAAGAATGCATGAACATAAATATATTTCAATGTTTTAATTGTCATTAAGGCAAATTGGAGATTACTATTTATAGAGATTTTTAGGGAAATTAAACAATGTTTGTAATTGTGATTACATATACATTTTGGAGGAAGGGAGAGGGTTTTGAATGTGAACTATAATAAACAGGTTAAAACTCTTTCAAGGTAAATATTCTAAATATTGTCATTTCAGGCAGAAGGAGCAGATTTTTACAGTAGCCCAAGAGTATCACCTGATGGTAAAAAGATAGCATGGGTACAATGGAACCATCCTAATATGGTAAGATATCAAATTTAGTCATTATTTAGTTAGTCGTTCTTACTGACCAACTTTTTGCAATAAGGCTCCAGACAAGGGCATTCTAGTCATATTGACAGATCAAGTTGTTTCTATTTGTAATTTGAACTTTCTTTTACTTGTGCAAAATAATAAATCCCCCATAAAAATTCATGGTAATGATTCAGTGAAAATATAGTAATGGTAAAATATTACAAATGATATCAAATGTTTTTTGTTTGTTTATTGTTAACAATATCCCAGGAAGTCTATTCGCCTTATGATACTTAAGGAAAATACTAACCTCATTAAACTGCAGAAGTATGATTACTTTATATTATATAAATCTAATACAAGAGGGTGCATGTGAAGGATTGCTGTAAATTGAATGTTTTGTGTTTTTCTATACTTGATTTACAGCTGAAGGTATATAAGGTATCATAATGTTTGACGATAGACTAACTGATAGATAGACTTCTGTAAAAGACTTCTGGGTCTATGTACTTTCAAATTTCAATATTAAAACAGGAGGTCTCAGACTTTGTTTTCGTTAAAATACGTTAAAATTAACAAAATCACAGTTATTTCATATGGGTTATATAGGGGAAACTTAATTTTTCCTTATTTAGAATTGGTTAAAATTTCAATGAGAGAATTACTTTTCATAATAACTTCCAAAATATCATATAGAAATAGGGGGTCACAGGCCTTATTTCCTTGAAAAATAAAAAAAAAACACAAATTGTCCTATCAAATTCAAGATAATTATCTGCCCTTGATTTTAAAGAGATTTTTTTTGAAAATTTTAAATACACTTAACGACACTTCATATTTTGATAGTTTAAGTTTTAAATTTCAAGTTTTAGATGTTTCTGTTGTATATTGAAGGATATGTGGTAAAATGTTTTTAAATGAAAAAAGTATTTTTGCAACATACCCAGAAGGGATGCTCAGAAAAAGATAACCAATCTACCATAATTCTAAATGTTTTCAAAACACACATAATTTTTTTAGTTTCCAACTATGTTAGAGAAATAAAAAGCCTTGATTATTATGCATGATTATTGTAGCCCTGGGACAGTACAGAACTATGGACAGGTGACTTGTCAGCTGCAGGAGATGCTGTGTCTAATCCCAAAAAGGTCAGTCAAACACAATTTGCTTTTTCAAGTGGTAGGCCATGCAAGCAATAGTTGAGTTAACAATTTGAAAGTAGCTTACAATATCTTTCCCCATTTTCAGTTAGAAAAAAACAAAAACTTTTGTGGAGTTATTCCATGATGAAAACTATTTCCCCAGTTGTTTTCCCATGCTCAGCATTCAGGATAAATTTTCAAGATTTATTAGTTGAAATTGGCTTTGACCTAACTATCTGTAACTGTGAGTACTATTAGGTTGGCACTATGTGTTTTTGTTGTGCTTTCTGCACATCTAATGAGACGAGCCCTTTTGAACTGAATTTTACAGTTGGTTCTCAATTTTGCTGGAACAACTCTGTTCCAGGTTAGTGGAGGGTTGAACACTAACACACATGTTTAATCCCACTGTAACTCAGTGGTTGTCATTAGGACAGTCTGCCATATTCCTTTATTGTTTATAGCATAACTCAGGAATTGGTTTTCTTTTTTTTTTAATTTTTTCATGCCAGGGACTTTTATAGCTTACTATATGGTATAGATTTTGCAAATTGTTGAAGGCTGTAGAGTTGTTTCATACATGTGATAAAAAATCCTGGATGGTTTAATTCTGTTTGAAAAACTTCGTCTTGTGCAATGGCAAAATATAAGTATCAACAGAATGTAGGATATGTACTTTTGTAAATGATTGGTATATGTTTTACACCTTTTAAATTCCTTGTACAATATTAGCATCTATATGATGTTGTCTACTATTATTTTTATTATTACTATCAGTAGAAGTATGTTGTTGTATCTGTCTCTGTATATTCATACCTATCAATTTTTAATACTTGAAAGTTCTTTTCCCAAAAAAAAAGCCCTTTTGACACACTAGTCTCAATCATACCAGATTTTCTTATTTTGATATGGAAGCCAGAAATGATGCAACATTTCTCAACCATACTAAAATGACACAACTTATGATAAGTTGTTCTTGCAAGAAATATGAAGACGCTTTCAGTGCTCTTTAAATTTCGTGGATTATGATTATTTGCATATGTTTACACAATTTTTGCAGATAAATGAAAGTTTGATTTTTACCAAAATTGCCTGGATAGTTTTGGAGTTTAATGGTGCTCCAGTCCAATTGCTAAAATTATTAAAACCAGTCATTGGAAGGTTACATTTAGAGGTAGAAACTGATAAGGTGTATATATTATTCAGAAAAATTATCATCTGTTAAAAAATAAACAAGATATATTTTGACAACATATACCTAGTTAAAATTTTTGAATATTGTTACAGATAGTTTCTGGTACTGACATAAGTGTAATGCAGCCTTCTTGGACACCAAACAATGAGCTACTATATATTGGTGATCAAACTGAATGGTGGAATCTTTATCATGTCAATGCTAATGGTGACCACACTAATTTGTTACCTAGAGACAAAGAAACTGGAGGCCCACACTGGGTCTTTGCTTTTTATGGTTATGCAGTAGATCCAAAAGGAAATGGTAAAATAGTATTGAATTCTGGGAGTGTAAGTTCTAATGTCTTTAGTTGTCTTTTAATAAAATCAACCGTCTAATGTATTGCATGCTTCATCTGACTGAGAAAAGTGATGTTTCCAATATTTTTTTTCATATTGGTTTTAGGGGAAAATTTTATTCTATTTCATGAATTTTTTAAAATAAATTCTTTACTGGTACTTTTTTATTTCTATATTTGTCATACAAATGGCTTTTGTCTTGATTCAATGGCCCTTTTAAAGCAATGTATGTTATACAAAAGATTGTTTAATTGTCCAATGTATGATTAAAAAAACCAGATGACACCAATTTTAATATAAAAGTTTCACTCAGAAAATCAATTGTTGAGTTTAAAAGGACAGAACTAAATTCACACAGAATAAAAGGTTGGTTGTTTCAAAATCATGTATGTTCTGATTTTATGTTGAAGAAAAATATCATATAATAGAACAGACATCATACTAATATTCAAAGCCTTTTCACCTTGAAACATATATACACAGTTAACTTTTCACTAACTTTTTTTTCTTTTGAATTATAACTGAAAAGCACATATTTTATACAGAAAGAATCTTTTCATATTTGAAAAAAATCACATTTCTGAAGTAAAAAAAATATATATAAGCAGTAAATATAAAAGAGTGTCTCTTGAAATTCCAAATACTGTGTATTCATTGTTATTCATGGGATACCAATTTTCATTGATTTCAGTGGGAAATGTGAACCACAAAACTTACTGTTCAACAAAGTACAAATGTTCAACAGTCTTGTATGCAGGCTTTGCTAAAACCAAAAAATCAAATAACCACGAAAATACAATTTTTCTTCAATCCACCAAAATTGGTACACACGAAAATAAATGAATCTACAGTAAATGATGAAATAAAAAATTGCTTATTCATTGTATAATTTATTGAATTAAAATTGTTTACTTTAAAGGAACTTGGTGTGTTAAACATGAAAACTAAAGAATACCAGAAACTTGACACAGGATTTACAAGTCATGTTTGTATGAACCTGACAGCAGACGGTCATGTGTATTGTGTAGCAGGAAGTCCAACAAAGTTTGAATGTGTCATTAGAATTAATCTGGAAACCAAAGAAGTAAGTATCTCTAAATATTTCTTTTGACAGTAATCAGTTTCTGATCTTCTGTCATCTTGAATTAATATCTTTTCCCAATTTGACATGCAAAGTATATAGAAACTATATATGTTTATTAAACAGTATATTAAACTAATTGATTTTTTTTCCATTCTGTGAAGAATTGACACTCTGGAAATTTGTTTTAAAATATCTTTTGTTACAACTGAAGAAGATCTGACCAGTTGCTAAAAATAATTTGATGGTTAGTTCATTTTTACTGTAATTATTTTTTATTCCTATAGGTAAAGGTCCTTCAAGAATCGAAGTCATTAGATATGGACACAGGTTATTACAGTATTCCAGAGGAAATTAGCTGGAAAACAACAAATGATGATGTGTCATACGGATATTTCTATCCTCCCAAAAACAAGGACTTTGTAGCACCTGAGGGTACAAGGCCTCCATTGTTGGTTCAAGTACATGGTGGACCAACATCTCAAACATCCAATGTTTTGAGTTTGAAAAAACAATATTTTACATCACGTGGATTTGGCGTACTAGATGTAAACTACAGGGGTAGCACTGGTTATGGTAAAACATACAGACACAAACTGAGGGCAAAGTTAGTATGATTACATATTTTCACTAATGAACTGCATCTTGGCTTAATAGTTTTTAATGGATGCTTCTTTTTTGTTAAAACAACAAAGAGAACTGTTCTCTTATTAAACATTGAAAAATGTTCACCAATAGGGAAAAATGTTGATCAATAGGGAAAAAGATCAGTTTAGTAGGATATGTGATAATTTTCAACATTTTCAATAATTTATAAGAACTTAAAATTAAGTATTGTAGTTATTAGATTTAAGAAACACAAAGTTGAATTAGATACCTTTCCTATAAATATGTGATCTAACAGTATATCTTACTTTGGCAAATATAGTGTGTATGGTATTGAAATAAGGTTATTTAAACTCTGCTCTTACTGTATCTTTATTTTTACATATCACTAACAAGTTGGAAGTATGATAAATTATCCTCCCTTTATAGTTAATATGTATAGGTGTTGGTTTACCTTCTTAAAACTTCTTCATATAGAGTGTCAAGTTATGATGATAAATCAGGTATCATAAAAATATTATGACTGGCCTTAGTAAATTCAAATAATTGAAAGTGTTTGGAAACCCATGAAGTTAATAGATTAGACTTAGAACATAATTTGATGATCATAATGTTTAAAAGTATTAAGCAATAGGATAGCCATTGAAAAGAAGTAACATGATTTACAGACAAATAAAAATTATTTAATAGTTTAGAAATACACATCAACAGTTATAAAGTACAGTCAAATTTTTAATTGGGTTTGAATGTCATTCATTATGAGAAAAATTAATTGTTTGGAAAAAGTACAAACCCAGTCAAATGTATGTTTCTTTTGACCTCAAAATAAGATACGGAGATGTGGTATGGTTGCCAATTAGACAACTATCCACCAGAGACCAAATGACATAGATGTTAGAAACTAAGACAACTGTCCACCAGAGACCAAATGACATATATAGATGTTAGAAACTAAGACAACTGTCAACCAGAGACCAAATGACATAGATGTTAGAAACTAAGACAACTGTTAACCAGAGACCAAATGACATAGATGTTAGAAACTAAGACAACTATCCACCAGAGACCAAATGACATAGATGTTAGAAACTAAGACAACTATCCACCAGAGACCAAATGACATAGATGTTAGAAACTAAGACAACTATCCACCAGAGACCAAATGACATAGATATTAGAAACTAAGACAACTATCCACCAGAGACCAAATGACATAGATGTTAGAAACTAAGACAACTATCCACCAGAGACCAAATGACATAGATATTAGAAACTAAGACAACTATCCACCAGAGACCAAATGACATAGATGTTAGAAACTAAGACAACTATCCACCAGAGACCAAATGACATAGATGTTAGAAACTAAGACAACTATCCACTAAGACAGCTAAGCAACAAAAAGTTCACTGTCTGTATTGGTTCCAACCTGGTATAATAGTGACCTGAAAAATATTTTTGATAAATTTCAGTCTTGAAATTGTACAATTAGTCATTTTAACATTTTCTACTCCAAAAAAAAAAAGAAGTTTTATCTATATATTGCTAAGTGATCCTATGAAGAAACATAGGCCAAATTCCTTATTTTCACCTAAGCAAAAAAGCTACACTATATAAACTGAAGGAAATCCCTGTCTTGCCAAATGAAGGTGTTTTTTTTTTAACTTTTAATGCAGTATTTATCAACTTTTACCGGTAATTAAAAAAAATAAAGAGAAAAAAACAATGTAAAAAACTTCATGTAGTGAGTGTACTAAATGTTTGCAAAAAGAAAGTTTTAAATTTAGATTTAATTTGCTGATGATTGGTTTTGCTTCTACAGTGTAGCATGTGTTTGGATGTTTTCTATAGATGGGGAGCATGTGAAATGGATGACTGGGCAAAATTCCTTTATTTCAATTAAGGATGTACACCTCTGAGGAGCCAAAAATTTCTAGAATTAAACTTTTTTTCTTAACCTGATTTTTGGGTTTATATGACTGTAAGAAAGTAATTGATGAAGAAAAAATCATATTGTGGTGCACTTCTTTTTTTGCTATGGCCATTTGAAAGTACCATATTTTTAATGATTTTCCCATTTTCATCAATTTTTACCAATTTTTGGGCAATTATTATGAAAAAAAATAAGTTTCACAATTAAACTTTTTTCATACTTTCACTTAAGATGCAGTGAACCAACCTGAAAAAAGTTTAACTTTAAAAACTATAGTTTCAATGGTGTTAATATTAGAAATTTGTATAAAATTTTGTTGTTTTTTTGTGTCAAATTGACCATGCTGTCAATTTTGTAAATTCTGGACTTTTCTCTTTTTTTTAGAACAAAAAGCATATTATTTTATCTTTTTTCATATAAATGATTGAAAAAATACATATCTAGGAATTTGAAAAGAAAAAATTGATATGGAATATACTTTTTTTTTGTAAAATCATTTCTGTCTACCCCTCACCCATTTTCTCAACATTTTGGCTGATGAAGCTGACCGGACTGGTTATAAAATTTGAAAATGTTATTACTTAAACACTAAGTATTGTAAGTACATACTTTTTTCATAAAGTTAAGTTCGATTATAATATTTTTTAAATTCATTAATATTTTCCACTTGTATCACATGTTTTGGAAATAATTCCCAAACAAGATTTCAACGAGACTGTAACATCAGAAGAATACATCCGTGAACTAAAAGCTACACTAAAAAAACCCAAAGTAAATCCCCTTCTTGCCAAATGATGGTGTTTTTTGTAACTTTTAATGCAGTTTTTTCTCAACTTTTGATTAAAAAAAATAAAGAAAAAAAAAGATTACTTAAAGTCACAATATTACAAACTTCAAGTAGTGAAAAGTTAAATCACAAAAATACTGAACTCCGAGGAAAAGTCAAAACAGAAAGTCCCTAATCAAATGGCAAAATCAAAAGCATAAACACATCAAACGAATGGACAACAACTGTCATATTCCTGACTTGTGAGTGTACTTAATGTTTGCCGAAAGAAAGTTTTAAATTTAGATTTAATTTACTTGTGATTGGTTTTGCTTCTACAGTGTAGCATGTATTTGCATGTTTTTCTATATTGCAATAGATGGGGAGTATGTGATATAGATGACTGTTGCTTTGGTGCCTTATATCTTGGTGATATTGGACGAGTAGATGAAAAAAAATTATGTATAGATGGAGGATCGGCAGGAGGATATACAACACTAGCATGTTTAACATTCAAAAATGTATTTAAAGCAGGTAAAGATACAGTTTCTTTGTTTTTGTGGCAGATGGGGTATTTATGACCTTGATGATTGTTGTTATGGTGCCCAATATCTGGCAGATGTAGGTAAAGTAGATCGTGGTCAATTGTGTATTGATGGAAGATCTGCAGGTGGTTACAGCACTCTAGCTTGCTTAACTTTCAAAAATGTGTTTGGAGCAGGTAAAATATATTGGAACTCATGAGAATATAGATGCCATTTACAAAATTAGAGAAAAGATCTACATAAGCAATCGGAATAAGTTGGATTAAAAGAACAATGTGCCTTAATTAATGTGAACATTGAACTAGTTGCATAAATGATGTTAGAATGATTAGTAAGGGTTCCTTACAAATGTAAAAATTGTGAAAAATATTTAATCAATTTGAATATAATATGCAATCAATTTCAATAAAATTAAATTCAAAGGTACCTTTCATTTTATTTGAAAACCAAAAAAAAATATTCCCATAGGAGTAACATTTATATTGTATTACTTTACTCAGTCCATACTTTGATTTCTAGGAGCAAGTCATTATGGGATAGGTGACCTTGAAGCTTTAGCAGGAGATACACACAAGTTTGAAAGTCGTTACCTTGACAACCTGATAGCACCATATACTGGTGATGGCATAAAGATATACAAAGAGAGATCACCTATTAATTACATCGGAAAACTAGATTGCCCTATTGCTTTATTCCAGGGTGATGAGGATAAGGTAAATATAAGGATGAATAATGAGTGGATGGTTCAAACCTTATTGATGCATTTGCAATTGAAAGTTGACATTCAAATATGGCAAAGGAGTTGTGAATAGGTTGATGCATCCACAATGAATGGTTTATGAATTAAAGATGGTCAAAATATGGTTTAGAAGTGAATGCATTCATCAAAGGTGGTAAAAGAATAAAAAATGATGGGTTGACTGTAATACTCATAGATGGATAGAGCTACAAAAGATGGTCATTGAATCAAATTATATTCTATAAAGATAATCTATATGACAGTATATGTGAATGTACCCAAGATGGTGGATAGTTAATTAATCAATGATGATAATTATGGTATATAAATAAAGTGTCCTGTTATCCTGTTTCTATGTTGAGCAAACAGTAAATTTAAATAAGTGTATACGTCACAGTTAATTTTGAGGTCATCTTCATTCCAGCTCCTAGTTAAAGAAATGTTGAATATCACGGTAGAGAGGTCAAAAAGGCATGTTTAAAACACTAAGGCTAAATTGCAAGATAAAACAAATATATGTAGATTGTTGGAAGATAAGGAATTATTTTTACTTGCTACAAAACAGGAGAAACCTCAGCAAGCCTCATTTTTCTTACTGTTTCAAAGCTCATACAAATAAATTTGATAATTTCTCACCATGTACATATATTGTATACTTCCAATTTAGTATAAAACTGTATGCAGTAAGGTAAGTATAAAAGAATTTAGATTTTTTATGCCACACCTAGGGGCATCATGTTTTTCCGTCTGTGCATTCGTTCGTCAGTCAGTCTGTCGTCCGTCCCACTTCAGGTTAAAGTTTTAGGTCAAGGTAGTTTTTGATGAAGTTGAAGTCCAATTAACTTGAAACTTAGTACACATGTTCCCTATGATATGATCTTTCTAATTTTAATGCCAAATTAGAGTTTTTACCCCAATTTCACGGTCCAATGAACATAGAAAATGATAGTGTGAGTGGGGCATCCGTGTACTATGGACACATTCTTGTTTTACATCTGTTGACTACTGTAATTTTTTAAATCTTTATTATTAAGAATATATTGTGACTGATGCTAATGTTTACAGATTGTTCCAGAAAATCAAGCAGAAATCTTTATTATTAAGAATATATTGTGACTGATGCTAATGTTTACAGATTGTTCCACCCAATCAAGCAGAAATCTCTGTTGTTAAGAATATATTGTGACTGATGCTAATGTTTACAGATTGTTCTACCAAATCAAGCAGAAATCTTTATTATTAATAATATATTGTGACTGATGCTAATGTTTACAGATTGTTCCAACCAATCAAGCAGAAATCTTTATTATTAAGAATATATTGTGACTGATGCTAATGTTTACAGATTGTTCCAACCAATCAAGCAGAAATCTTTATTATTAAGAATATATTGTGACTGATGCTAATGTTTACAGATTGTTCCATCCAATCAAGCAGAAATCTTTATTATTAAGAATAATATTGTGACTGATGCTAATGTTTACAGATTGTTCCACCCAATCAAGCAGAAATCTTTATTATTAAGAATATATTGTCACTGATGCTAATGTTTACAGATTGTTCCACAAAATCAAGCAGAAATCTTTATTATTAATAATATATTGTGACTGATGCTAATGTTTACAGATTGTTCCACCAAATCAAGAGGAAATCTTTATTATTAATAATATATTGTGACTGATGCTAATGTTTACAGATTGTTCTACCAAATCAAGAGGAAATCTTTATTATTAATAATATATTGTGACTGATGCTAATGTTTACAGATTGTTCCACCAAATCAAGAGGAAATCTTTATTATTAATAATATATTGTGACTGATGCTAATGTTTACAGATTGTTCCACCCAATCAAGCAGAAATCTTTATTATTAAGAATATATTGTCACTGATGCTAATGTTTACAGATTGTTCCACAAAATCAAGCAGAAATCTTTATTATTAATAATATATTGTGACTGATGCTAATGTTTACAGATTGTTCCACCAAATCAAGAGGAAATCTTTATTATTAATAATATATTGTGACTGATGCTAATGTTTACAGATTGTTCTACCAAATCAAGAGGAAATCTTTATTATTAATAATATATTGTGACTGATGCTAATGTTTACAGATTGTTCCACCAAATCAAGAGGAAATCTTTATTATTAATAATATATTGTGACTGATGCTAATGTTTACAGATTGTTCCATCCAATCAAGCAGAAATCTTTATTATTAATAATATATTGTCACTGATGTTAATGTTTACAGATTGTTCCACCCAATCAAGCAGAAATCTTTATTATTAAGAATATATTGTGACTGATGCTAATGTTTACAGATTGTTCCACAAAATCAAGCAGAAATCTTTATTATTAATAATATATTGTGACTGATGCTAATGTTTACAGATTGTTCCACCAAATCAAGCAGAAATCTTTATTATTAATAAAATATTGTCACTGATGCTAATGTTAACAGATTGTTCCACAAAATCAAGCAGAAATCTTTATTATTAATAATATATTGTCACTGATGCTAATGTTTACAGATTGTTCCACCAAATCAAGCAGAAATGATGTACAAGGCAGTGAAAGAAAAGGGTATTCCTACCATGTATGTTTTGTTCGAAGGTGAGAAAACAATTCAGTTTAAATTTTGGTGTCATATACAAAATTTCAAAATGATAAATTTAATTTGGTGAACCAGAACTAAAAATGAGAAGATGTGGTATGATTGTCAATGTGACAACTCTCAACCAGAGACTAAATGATGTAGATGTAAGCAACTCTAGGTTACTGTAAGGCCTTCAACAACGGACAAATGCAATATTGTAAAGTAAGCTATAAAAGGACCCCGAAATGACAAAAAGTAATAGAATAAAAAAAAAAAAAAACAATAGCCTGATTCATGTACAAAACGATGAACAAGAAAAACAAATATGATAGACAGCATGCATCCAACAACAACCACTGAATTACAGACTTCTGACTTTCATATTTGTAAATTGATTTCTTATTTGTGGTTCTTGAAATCTAAAAAGAGCAAAAACCCAAAATATTATCGAAAAAGGATACCAAAACAAGCTAAGAAGCACCTGATCAAGATGTTACTTGAGAGTTTTCAAATTTTGATTTAAGTAGAAGTGAATAATGGCAAGATTATATAAAAACAAATGAAATGAAATATTTTATCATTATATTCACTATTTCTTTCTTTATAAGGTGAACAACATGGATTCCGTAAAGCAGAAAATATCCAAACAGCATTGGATGGTGAATTCTACTTCTTTTCTAAAGTGTTTGGTTTTAAAGCAGCGGACAATGATATCAAGGTATTATTTATCAGAAAACTCTAAGAGATGATAATGGATACAAAGAAATAAGTTTTTTTTTTCAATTGAAGCCATATTTTTATGGAACCTTGAATAAATGACCCTCAGTACTGGTTTTGTCTCAAAAGATACTTGTATAAATTAGAATTTTCACAAACTGGTAATATTAAAAAACACAAAAAGGTGTATTTATTAAAATAAAAGCAAACTATCTAAATTAGTACTTTTTATTATCATATACCAAATATGGGTACAAAATAAATGGTATATTTTCACCAAATTTTATATAAACAATATATTCCCTTCATTGGTATTTTCATTCTATGAAATACCCCTTTTATAGGAAACTGATTGCAGTATCCAGTGATGTACAGATATTGTTTATTCATAAAAATTAATTTCATAATTAATAGGATTCTTTTCACTCATGCAAACTTTTATTTTATAGCATTAATATAAAATGTATTTTTTCTATTATTTCAGATTCCAATAGCAAATTTAAAGTAAACTGTTTGGAAAAATACATGAAAGAACCATTGAGGCAGCATTGAGTATTTTCCCTATTAAATAGGAACTTTGTCACAAGTAGTTTGTGTTCTAGATTTAAGTTGTTATCTTTAGAATTTTAGACTTTCGTTCTGATTTTTGTTTATTAGATGCATTTTTATTTTTTATTGGTTAAGTTTTTTTCTGGTTACCGTGTAACTCTATTGTTAATGAAAAAAAAAGTATGTTTTGCATTTTTTCCTTACTTCTGTTTTAGTGCAATAATACTGCAATAAGTTCTATTTTTCATACTTCTGTTTAAGTGCAATAATACTGCAATAAGTTCTATTTTTCATACTTCAGTTAACCTTTACAAAGCAGAATTTTGTAGTTTCCTGGAAGATTATGTTAGACATTAAAATGATTATTTTCCACCTAAACCGTCTGCTAAAATTAGGTGTAATTTACAATTCAAACTGTGGCATACCTTTCAGTTAGGAATCTTTAAAAGGAGATCACATGACAACTGTATCATGGTTTACTGAATTTACTTAAGTAAAAGGTCTAAATTGTCCTTGGATTCCATTCTCATAAATTCACTAGAATACTTGTATTATTTTGTCAGAGTATACATTTTTAATACAGATAGATCACTTTGACTTGAACTGAGTTCAATTTTTGATTGTACGAAATATTTCCACTTAAAAAATTGTTTGTGTTTTTTTTTTAATTTCATTGTTTTACATACAGTTTTTAAAAATGAATAACAAAAAGTTATATAAATTCGTATCTTTTAATATTTTAGTATAAGTATATCAACTACAGTTTAAGTTTTATTAACACTAGTGCAGTCTGAATTCTTGAGTTCATTTTTCTGTACTTAGTATTTATTGTCATTTTTCTGTACTTTGTATCTACTGTCAAGTAACTTTGTACCAGGATGCATTTGAGCTAGCTTGTCAGTTGCCATACTGAAAGATGATAACCACAAGTTGTTCACTATGATCTGTGTTTCTTAGTCAGTTTTAAGTACATAATGGACTGGTGTAACTTAGTTAGAAGCTTATTCTGCTTATTATCATGACTTTATCGTTATATATTGACAGGCTTGGGAGATTTGGTAAGTCAACTCTGTAGTTATTGATTATTATGCATTTCAGCATTTCAGTACTTATATACTTGTGTTGGATCTAACTTTACAAAAACTTAACATAAAAGTGCAATAAGGGAGAAAAGAGTTATGTACAAACATTGTAATGTATTTATTATGCTGCTCTTGACATCAATATAGCAGAAATTAAATGTAATTATTTGTTTCTTTCAACACATTCTGTTTGTATTAATGTATTGATGTGTATCCATCCCTTTTTTTTTATTGTCTATCTGTTTACCAACTATTTAAATTTAGGGTCACTGTTGTTCAATAATTAATGACAATAGCACAAACAAATATTGTTACAGTAAATGTGGTTTTTCTTTTCATGGATACCTACATCAGAAACACAAAATTCTAAATGACCAGGCTGCATGTTGTTATGGTCATTAACCTAAACATTTCTTAGTACAAAATGATTCTTAAAATCACTTTTTAGCTCACCTTGCCTGAAGGGCCAAATGAGCTTTTCTCATCACTTGGCGTCCGTCGTCGTTTACTTTTACAAAAATCTTCTCCTCTGAAACTACTTGGCCACAATCATCATTGGGGTATCTAGTTTAAAAAATGTGTCCGATAATCCCGTCTGCCAACCAAGATGGCCGACATGGCTAAAAATAAAAGATAGGGGTAAAATGCAAGTTTTTTCTATTATTTTGAAAATCTTTATAAATAGAGAAAATCTGACGGGACCGAAATGTGCAGAATGTTGAGCTTAACCAATTGTTCATATACGCCAAAACTGTCAGAAGACTCCTTATAGGAGTTATTGCCCTTAAATGACAAATTTTACCATTTTTTTTAATTTTTGCCTATTATCTTGAAAACTATAATAAATAGAGAGAAACTTTCAATTTCAAAAATGACCAGCAAGACAAGTTCTACAAATAAATCTACTCCTTCTTAGAGTTATTGCCCTATGATGAAGATTTTTACCAATTTTTTGCGTTTTTGCCTTATATCTTAGAAAATATAATAGATAGATAGAAACTTAAATAACTCCTTTTTGGAGTTATTGCTATTTAATGATGACTTTTACCAATTTTTTTTGCATTTTACCTTATATGATAAAAATTATAATAGATAAATGGACACTTTAAATCACAAAAATGATCAGTAAGGCAAGATCTACTAATAAGTCAAATTTTGTCAATATAGTTAGTAGACTGTCATGCTTTATAGGAGTGATTGCCCTTAAATGAGAATTTTTTTTACCCTCCTTTGTGTTTTGAGCAAAAACTAAAGAAGATTGAGAGAAACTAAACAGACTAAATGGTCAGCAATACAAGATCAACATAACAGAGATTTCTGTCATGAATTCTATTCTCATCTACAATGTTGGAGAGTGTCCTTTGTTGAATATGCACATAGACCAAGGTGAGCAACACAGGCTCTTTAGAGCCTCAAGTTTGTGTTCCTTGCAGTTTTTTTTTTTTTTATAAAACCAGCAGTTTACAATCTTCAGCATGTGACTTTCAAAACATGACCATTATATTATTGTGTCCAGGGCATGTTGTCTGGATGCTTAAGTGTAATATACATTTGTATGTTACTCCATATAAAGATAAAAGGTGAGGTATGATTGTCAATGAGACAACTATCCATAGACCAAAGAACAAAGATGTTAACAATTACAGGTAACTGTACGGTCTTCAACAATGAGCAAAGCCCTTATTTTAAAGTTATAATTTCTGTCTTCTGCATAGTAATAAATACTGAATTGTAGTTTGAACATAATTCTATGGGGTAACATTTTTATAATTTTTTATATTCGACTGTTATTTTTCATTACCTTGTTGTCTGTGTTAAGTTTTCATACTGTTTTGGATGTCACCTATTACCTTTACAATTTAAGTTGCCTTGCTGATCATTTTTGCAATATGAATGTATGTTAAAATACACACTTTTCTTTCAAAAAGAAACATGCCATCAACATATACTTAAAAGTAAGGAATTGAATGTTTAGGACCTCAGATATGCATTAGACTTGAATTCACATGCTATGTAGTAACATTATTTGCTGCTTTACATTGTTTTTGTTTGTTCTGGTAACTCTTTTTTCTGTATTTCCTTTATTTAATCAGAAAATTTGAAGTAAATTTCTTATTTAATTGGTTCTTAAAAGACAGATATTCTCTTCAGTCTGTTGTAGTTATCTTTAAAGTATATCAGATAATCAAAAGTCAAAAGATGCACACCTTGACCTCATTAAAAGACAGCCTTTTCATAGTATTTTCTTATGATAAAGATTTTCATTCCAGTATTTACATTCCTTGTGATAGAGATGTTCATTCCAGTATTTACAGTACAATATTTTTTAACAGCACTGTTTTTTTGTAATAGAATTAGGAATTAAATTTACTTGTTACTTTTGTAAACAGAAGTGTGATGTGGTGTAGTAAATGATAAAAAAACAAATGTATGTACATGTATTTATGACCAAGTGTAGCTGATCTAATAAAACAAAATTTATTTGTTGTTTGTGATTTGTAAATAATTTTGCCATGTGATCTTACAAGGTAAGTGAGAAGTTCAAACTGAACAAATATATTTTTATGAAAGTTGCAAAGTTAATAGGCCAAGCTAAGCAAACTGAGCAGATATGTTTTTCTATAAAAGTTGCAAAGTTAATAGGTTAAGCAGATATCTTTCTTGCTATAGTGTAGTTTTTTTGTCAATGTAACCTGGTATCTCAGTCCTATTTGCCTTTATGGTAAGTGGTTTACCAATAGCATTCTTGATAACTGCCAAGTTGTTGTTGTGGAATTAAAAATCTTTCAGTGTTAGTGTTCTAAAGGTAAGATACCATGGAGTACTGGGTTTTGATTGATGTCTGTCAATACCTGTTGTTTGTGTTGTAATGATTTTAGGATGATTAGTGGCATCTTGATGTTGTAGTTACTATTATGACAAACAAAATAATGCATAATGTAAAACATTATCAATTTAGAAATGCAAGATAAACAATCAAAGGAATTTGTACTTGAACAAACAAATTTAACCTGAACCATGTTCCAAAATCCAAACGGTCTTTTAGAGTCCTTGGTTAACTTGAAGAACAGTACCAACCCAACTTTCTTAACTTTTTATAAAAGATCAAAATCATGAAAAAAAGTTGTTCAGGACCCAATGGTGACAAAGAGTATAGTAACAGTTTCATGCATTTTTCCATAAATACCACCCCTTTTCAACAAATCACACACTCGTAGCTCCATAAATTTTCATCAAAGTTAGTATACATCATCTTGGTTTTAATTCAGGTCAGATTATCAATTATGTAGAAATCCACGTTCCATTTCTGTAGATAAAATATTTATTAATGGATCAAGTTCCTTTATGATTTACCATGATTGATTATTTGGTGTTTAATGACACTTTTAGCACTAATAGCTATGGCATGAAAAGTGGTAACCCTAGCCAAAGATTGGAGACAACCCACTCCTGGTTTACAGAGACAAATAGTTCATGTCATCCTAGCTGCATCTTTTTCTTACTGCTATCTTAACATATACTCAACTTTATTCATTGTGTATCATTTTGGAATGCAAATCAAGTATTAGGACATTGGAAACCAAAGGTACTTTGGCACCTTTCCTGATCACATCTGTGGGCATTAAACCTTGTTGAGATAAATCTTAGCTGTAAAATATAACTTTTGCATATGAAAATTGTTGGCCTAACATGATTACCAAAGGTTGTGAGGTGTGTAATATGCTACCCTTCTTTGTCTATGACACAAAATGCTTGAGGAAGGGGGCTATCTGTTATTATCAATAAGGTGTAAATAAGCATCTCCTTATAGACGGCCTAATTATGTCTTTTCTGGGACAATTTTGTACCCATACTATTTTTGACCATTTTATTGAATGTTATCTTACTTATTTTGTATAAACTTTTTATAGTGGACTATGCGGTATGGGTTTTTCTCATAGTTGAAGGCCATACAGTGACCTATAGTTGTTAACTTCTGTCATTTGGGCTCCGGTGGAAAGTTGTCTCATTGGCAATCAAACCACATCTTTTTTTATACATACTGCCCCTAACAATGATTTCAAAAATAAACTGTAATAAAGGAACAGCTTTTACAGAAGAAGGTTGACCATAAAACACAATAGTTTATTTGAACAGTGTATTATAAGTGTATTATAACTGTACATTGTTTAACATTTCACAGCAGTATAAGATGTTACTTTAATTATTCTTCCCTCAGTTTATTTATTTTGTATTTATATTGTATCATAGATCAAATTTATTTGTTCAGTGTATGTTCATTGGTGTTAATATGTCTTGATTGAGTTAAGCCATTTCAATTGATATTTTATAGTGTGTCTTTCTATGTTGTGATGCAACACTATTGTTTCAGATAAGGGTGAAGGTTTTGTACCATTAAAACCTTTAAACCCGCTGCAATTGTTTGCACCTGTCCTAAGTCAGGAATCTGATGTTCAGTAGTTGTCGTTTGTTGATGTGGTTCATAAGTGTTTCTCGTTTCTCGTTTTTTATATAGATTGTACCGTTGGTTTTCCCGTTTGAATGGTTTTACACTAGTAATTTTTGGGGCCCTTTATAGCTTGCTGTTCGGTGTGAGCCAAGGCTCTGTGTTGAAGACCGTACTTTAACCTATAATGGTTTACTTTTATAAATTTTGACTTGGATGGAGAGTTGTCTCATACCACATCTTCTTATATCTATAAATTAATACCAATATTATACATAACCTTCACAGTGCACAGAGAATATACTATACAACACAGTGCACAGAGAATATACTATATAACACAGTGCACAGATAATATACTATATAACACAGTGCACAGAGAATATACTATATAACACAGTGCACAGAGAATATACTATCAGTTATATTGTTGTTATTGGCTTTGAATTATCTGTCAGTAACTGCGAGTACTCTCAGATCTGTGCTTAGTGTCTTTTTGTTGTTGGGATGTAAAAGTACCCGTCCACATCCACCTTGTGTTTATGTTGTACTGTTACACCACTGTCCCAGGTTAGGGGAGGGTTGGCGCCTTCAAACTAGTTTAACCCCGCCATATTCTGTATGTGCCTGTCCCAAGTCAGGAACCTGTATTTCAGTGGTTGTCGTTTGTTGATGTTTCATATTTGTTTTTCGTTCATTATTTTGTACATAAATTAGGCCGTTAGTTTTCTTGTTTGAATTGTTTTACATTTGTCATTTTAGGGCCTTTAATAGCTGACTATGCAGTATGGGCTTTGCTCATTGTTGAAGGCCGTACAGTGAACTATAGTTGTTAATTTCTGGGTCATTTGGTCTATTGTAGAGAGTTGTCTCATTGGCAATCATACCACATCTTCTTTTTATATCAGACAAATATTGTACCTTGCCATAGTATTACTACAACATCACGAAATTATGCATACTAGAACACACCCGCAAAATTGCAGGTATTTAGAGCTTGGTTGAAAGTATGTAAACTGTTGTAGGATGATTTTTTGTAAAAGATTTTATGTCTGGAGAATTTCAGAAAAGGTATCAAACTGAGTCATAGGCACTTGGAGACAGGACAATTATTTTAAGCCCTCTCCATTTTTCCCAAAGTCCGTTATTTTTTTGCTCTCTGTTAAATTCCATGATTTTTGCGTTTCTGTATACTATGAACATACATATAATATAAATAAAGTGTATTTGCTATTGACTATCAATTCCAAGTTTCTTCTCCACGGCGATCACAGCTATATTATATAGAGAGTCTCTATATATATTATAGGATTATAATCATGCAGAATAATGTGAAAATAATTGTCCTGTCCCCGAGTAATTATGAAAATTATGTTTAAAGAGGATAGTAAAAAGGGTGGGGTGGGGGTATCTGCACGGAAGAACGCGAAATAAAATTGCCATTTCACGATGAGCGAACAATTAAAAATTTCTTGCACGTTGATCTTTTTATCGATTTCAAGAAACACTGTGAATAACAAACCTTTTTCACGGCTGCACGTGAAACTAGAGGCTCTCGAGAGCCTGTGTCGCTCACCTGTATTTACTGATGCTTTGGAAATCATGTAAAATAAGGTTAAAATCATAATTAATAGTATTAGATATTAGATATTATAATATCTAAGATAATAACCAAAAACTGCAAAATTTTTGTAAAATTACGAACTCAGGGGCAGCAACCCAACAACGAGTTGTCGGATTCGTCTGAAAATTTCAGGGCAGATAAATCTAAATATGAACATTTTTGCCACCTGTCAGATTTGCTCTAAATGATTTAGTTTCAGAGATATAAACCAAAAACTGCATTTTCCCCCTTTGTTCTATTTTTAACCAAGTCGGCCATGATGGTTGGGAGGCGGGGTCATCGGACAAAATTTTTAAACTAGATACCCTAATAATGATTTTGGCCAAGTATGGTTAAATTTGTCTCAGTAGTTTCAGAGAAGATTTTTGTAAAAGATTACATAAATTTACAAAAAATTGTTAAAAATTGACTATTAAGGGCAATAAATCCTAAAGGAGTCGACTGACAATTTTGGTCATGACAACTTATTTGTAGATCTTACTTTGCTGAACATTATTGCTGTTTACAGTTATCTCTATCTATAATAATATTCAAGATAATAACCAAAAACTGCAAAATTTCCTTAAAATTACCAATTCAGGGGCAGCAACCCATCAACGGGTTGTCAGATTTGTCTGAAAATTTCAGGGCAGATAGATCTTGACCTGATAATCAGTTTTACCCAAGTCAGATTTACTCTAAATGCTTTGATTTCAGAGATATAAGCCAAAATCTACATTTTACCCCTATGTTTTATTTTTAGCCATGGCGGCCATCTTGGTTGGTAGGCGGGGTCATCGGACACATTTTTTAAACTAGATACCCTAATGATGATTGTGACAAAGTTCGGTTAAATTTGGCCCAGTGGTTTCAGAGGAGAAGATTTTTGTAAAAAGCTAACGACGACAACGACGGACGCCAAGTGATGAGAAAAGCTCACTTGGCCGTTTGGGCCAGGTGATCTAATAATAAAATGCTTCCCTGGGGCGCAGCTTGATACGACCACAGAGGTCGAACCCTGAACAGTTGGGGCAAGTATGGACACAACATTCAAGCTTGATACAGCTCTGAATTTGGATTGTTATTAAATATTTGACACAGCATAGGTTTCTGACACAGAAAGAATGTGGTCTAAGAACTTGAATTTTTTTAATTTACCTATTATGGTCCAATGTCCAAAATCAAAATACATGGTTAGATTCAGCATATCAAAGAACCCCATATATTCAATTTTTATTAAAATCAAACAATGTTTAATTTTGGACCCCAACTTGGACAAACTTGAAAACTGGGCCCATAATCAAAAATCTAAACACATGTTTAGATTCAGCATATCAAAGAACCCCAAGAATTCAATTTTTGCTAAAATCAAACTAAGTTTAATTTTGGACCCTTTGGACCTTAACGTAGACCAATTTAAAAAATGGGACTTAAAATTAAAAATCTAAATACACGGTTAGATTTGGAATATCAAAGAACCCCAATAATTCAATTTTTGATGAAATCAAACAAAGTTTAATTTTGGACCCTTTTGACCTCATTATGAACCAATTTGATAACGGGGTCCACAAAAAAAAATCTAAATACATGGTTAGATTCAGCATATCAAAGAACCCCATATATTCAATTTTTGTTGAAATCAAACAAAGTTTAATTTTGGACCCCAATTTGGACCAACTTGAAAACTGGGCCAAAAATCAAAAATCTAAATACATGTTTAGATTCAGCATATCAAATAATCTCATATATTCAATTTTTGCTAAAATCAAACAAAAGTTTAATTTTGGACCCTTTGGACCTTAATGTAGACCAATTTAAAAAACGGGACCCAAAATTAAAAATCTAAAAACACGGTTAGATTTGGCATATCAAAGAACCCCAATAATTCAATTTTTGATGAAATCAAACAAAGTTTAATTTTGGACCCTTTTGACCTCAATATGAACCAATTTGATAACGGGGCCTACAAATAAAAAATCTAAATACATGGTTAGATTCAGCATATCAAAGAACCTCATATATTCAATTTTTGTTGAAATCAAACAAAGTTTAATTTTGGACCCCAATTTGGACCAACTTGAAAACTGGGCCCATAATCAAAAATCTAAATACATGTTTAGATTCAGCATATCAAAGAACCCCATATATTCAATTTTTGTTGAAATCAAACAAAGTTTAAATACTGGACCCTATCTTGGACCAACTTGAAAACTGGGCCCATTATCAAAAATCTAAACACATGTTTAGATTCAGCATACTAAAGAACCCCAAGAATTCAATTTTTGTTAAAATCAAACTAAGTTTAATTTTGGACCCTTTGGACCTTAATGTAGACCAATTTAAAAAACAGGACCCAAATTAAAAATCTAAATACACGGTTAGATTTGGAATATCAAAGAACCCCAATAATTCAATTTTAGATGAAATCAAACAAAGTTTAATTTTGGACCCTTTTGACCTCAATATGAACCAATTTGATAACGGGGTCCACAAATAAAAAATCTAAAAACATGGTTAGATTTGGCATATCAAAGAACCCCATATATTCAATTTTTGTTGAAATCAAACAAAGTTTAATTTTGGACCCTTTTGACCTCAATATGAACCAATTTGATAACGGGGCCTACAAATAAAAAATCTAAATACATGGTTAGATTCAGCATATCAAAGAACCTCATATATTCAATTTTTGTTGAAATCAAACAAAGTTTAATTTTGGACCCCAATTTGGACCAACTTGAAAACTGGGCCCATAATCAAAAATCTAAATACATGTTTAGATTCAGCATATCAAAGAACCCCATATATTCAATTTTTGTTGAAATCAAACAAAGTTTAAATACTGGACCCTATCTTGGACCAACTTGAAAACTGGGCCCATAATCAAAAATCTAAACACATGTTTAGATTCAGCATACTAAAGAACCCCAAGAATTCAATTTTTGTTAAAATCAAACTAAGTTTAATTTTGGACCCTTTGGACCTTAATGTAGACCAATTTAAAAAACAGGACCCAAATTAAAAATCTAAATACACGGTTAGATTTGGAATATCAAAGAACCCCAATAATTCAATTTTAGATGAAATCAAACAAAGTTTAATTTTGGACCCTTTTGACCTCAATATGAACCAATTTGATAACGGGGTCCACAAATAAAAAATCTAAATACATGGTTAGATTCAGCATATCAAAGAACCCCATATATTCAATTTTTGTTGAAATCAAACAAAGTTTAATTTTGGACCCCAATTTGGACCAACTTGAAAACTGGGCCAAAAATCAAAAAACATGTTTAGATTCAGCATATCGAATAATCTCATATATTCAATTTTTGCTTAAATCAAACAAAGTTTAATTTTGGACCCTTTGGACCTTAATGTAGACCAATTTGAAAACTGGACCCAAAATTAAAAATCTGAATACACTGTTAGATTCGGCATAACAAATAAATAAATGTGATCAAAGATTTTACAAATCTAATGCACCATACTGTGCAATTAAAGATTACTTCTTGAAATTTTTCAATATTTGAAATTTGAAAAAAAAATAATATTTGAAGAATAATTCTTTTTAATTTCTGAAATCTGAAATGAGAAAAAATTGACCCCCCACAATTTCTTTTTATCCCCCCCCCCTTTTTTCCCCCAAAAAATTCTTTCCCTCAAGATATGGTCATAATCTCAATTCAAATTTCCAATGGAGTTGGCAACCATAATTACCCATTTAAATTTACCATAGTGCTAACTTAATCTATTTTATAATAGAATTAAAAATATAGTGTCAAATCTTTCATATGGATTTTTTTGCAGATATTTTTACTGGTCTTCCTTTATAAATATGCATTTCTTTAAACATAATTTAAAAGCAGTGTAAGGGAAGTAACCAAAACGTTGTATTTGGATTACCTCCCTTACACTGTTTTAAATTATCTTTATTGTTCATTAACCATTACTTTATACATAATTTAAAAGCAGTGTAAGGGAGATAATTTCAATGATGTATTTGATTTATCTCCCTTACACTGCTTTAAATTATGTTTTGTACTAAAGTATTTGTCCATTAACCAGGATAACCTTGTTTTTCCCCCTTTTTTGCCCCTAATTCCTAAACGGTTTGAGCCATAACCCCCCAAAGCAAATCCTAACCATCCCTTTGTGGTATGGAAACTTGTAGTATAATTTCAGAGAGATCCATACACTGTTCCACAGTTATTGTCTGGAAACTAGAAAATACTTATTTTTGGCCCCTAATTCCTTAACTGTTGGTACAATAACCCCCAAAATCAATCCCAACCTTCCTTTTGTGGTATTTAACCTTATGGTCAAATTCAAAAAGATCCATTCACTTAAACTAAAGTTAGAGTGCGAAAACCAATGTGTCTTCGGACGACGACGCCGGTCGACGACGACGACGACGCCAACGTCATACCAATATACGACCACAAATTTTTTTTGCGGTCGTATAAAAAGTGGCAAAACACGTTGGACAAAAATAACCCTTCACCCCCTCTTTTAAAGTTTAAAATCGGAAGTCTTGGGTATGACTTAAAAGTCGGTCTGATGACGGAAACAATATCCGGACGCCTTTTTCTTCGTTTTTCTCCCAAAATAACCCAAACTGAATAATCATAATGGATGACAAATGCGACTATGCATGGTACCTGTAAGACACAGAGACATGATGATTAATTTATTGGGGAAGGAAGAGAAGCGACACACAAAATGAGGTCTTCTCGTTTAATAGTATAGATGGGATAAAAAATGAAAACTACACTTTGTAAATTTCTTGCTTTTGAAGCGCTTTTCTTGATTTACCTTCATCAGAAACACTTGAAGTCAAACATTTGAAAGCCAAGGATGCATAAGAATTGAAATAGTTGGAAGAGTTTTTTAGACCAAAAAGGACCTAAATATGTTAGCCAAATCCATCTAAGGTCAACGTGGAAAACTTAACAGTAACAATTAGGCAAATCAAAGAAAAAAGTCAAATCACCTAGTGACATATTTATTTGTACGATATTACAAAATACAATTTTTCTTTACATTAAAATTCATTCTTTATGATTTAATTCTACAATATGTATTATATGGTCATGTGATGGTGAAGTATGACTATAAACAAAACCTCCTGTTATACAATGGAATCTGTCATCAGAGATCACAATATCAGTTACTAGATAGTGGCCTAAGACTATCTTACAGGATAGCTAGCCTATAAAAACTGGTTTTGTTTGTATCAACTATACCCACTTTTCTAAAAAGTGGGCATCTCTCAATATCATATATTTATGACAGATTCAATTGTATTTCTAAAGCTATATAAGTTATTAAAGAATGTAATATATTAGATATAAAATGTCGTCTGCTGGTAATTATTCTTTTTTACTAGTTATTCTTTGATAAAACTGAAAACTTTTGTTTGAACTGACCAAGTTCTGAAAAAAAGTATTGGAAAAGAGTAAAACATATAGTAGCAATGCATATTGAAACTTCAAAACCTTAGTGGAACTTAATTTAACCAGTTTATCCTGAACAATTAACTAATGAACTCTTAAGAACACTTCTTTACAATTCATTCACAAATATGTCTGAAAATAAAGATAAAATTATTAAGCAGACAGCATCTTTATTCTAAAAATATAATTTATATTGATTAAATTAGGCTCTGACTAAAATGTTATTAATGTTCAGGAAATAATGAAACAAAGAGATTCTACAATTAATCACTACATATAACACAACAACTCATTTATCTTGTCACAGCAACTGTCATTTAAACTTCAAACAGATTAGCCTTTAGTCTTGGTGCATACTAAACCCTACACTTCTGCAAAAGCCTGTCAAACTGGATATCTATCATACAAAATTTATGTGATTTTCATGTAATATTGGCATACCAATTGCTCTAGAAGTGTGGCTGGTCCATCCAATGGTAATTACTTTTCAAGGTCATGTAACAAGAAACACAATACTTGTATAGAAGATAGCACTTATTCATTATGAATTATATAACTTACAAATTAAGTTTAGTTTCTGGTTTTTTTTCTCAAAGGAGTAAACTAGAGTAAGGGAAGGACCAAGTTCTGTTTTAACCCTGATTTTAACATTAATATATAAAATGCCATAAAAAACCACAAAGCTTAACAAATTACAAAAAACACTAAATATTTTTTTTATAAAATAAAAAACATCAATACCAGATAATGACATCAAAGCAAACTTTAAAGTTCTGAACATGTGAAAACACACATTGGAGGCAATATTTTAGAAGTTCATCTGAAGAAATTGGCTAAAAAAATCTTTTTGTAAATCAAGTAATGTTTTATTATTTTATCTTAGAGAAAAAAGTTAAACATTACTAGATTTAACCAACCTTAAGAAAAAAATTCTCAATAAAAATTATAAGTACAAAAATATATATTATGAGAAAGAGAAATGAAAAAGTAATTTTAAGGGAACCTATTTCAATTCAATTTAGATATATATCTACAATATAAGGATTGCACAAAATATCCCTCAGAATAAAATACAACAAAGATATCAAAACAGAATAAAATTATAGTAGCTTTCACAAAATTTCTAGAAAAATAAAGTAACAAATAATCAGTATAAACCTTAAAATACCAGTTTTTAAGCAAAAGACACTGAACTAACTTATATTTACCAAATCAACCCATACTAATGGGAAAAAATCCCAAAACAGGAACAAATCTTAACGAATTGATTTCTTTCATTGAGCGGGGTATTTCATTACGTGTCTGATCTATTTGATTTTATAAATAACAAATTCTGATGGTATGAAAATCGACTCATGAACTTCTTTTTTGTTGATATGCTACTATGCATACTATTTTAAATGAAATTTCTATGCAGATGTTGGTCTTTGATGAAGATCATTAATAATAATTTGCTTTGTCCATTTAAACAGGTTTTATGTATCAAACATTGGAACAATGCTTTATGTACAAAACTCATGAAATAATAGCACTAAAAATACAACAGTATAATGATATGAACCACTGTAACCATTTTACGACTCTGTATACCAATAACATCAATATGTATACAAATAACATGTCATATGACAACATAGTATATGGTTTATTGTTGACCATTTCTTTACTTCCATGTTGGTAATCAAGCATATTCAACATCAGGTCTATCAATAAATGCAAAATATATAATCAATACTTCTCATGATTTCATAATGAAATATATTCAAATCTAAATTATGTGATCCTAAAAGTTGCATGATGCCAAATATTAATAAGCAAGGTGAATAACCTAATTGAAAGCTTAGTTTGTTTCTTTTAAATATTTTAACTTTAAAACCCTTTTATCAGTATTTCAAAAAGATATGATAAAGATAGAACCATCCTATGCCAATATATTTTCATGGATGGAAAAAAAATATTTTAAATTTCTAAATAAATTTTCTAAGATATTTTTTTCTTTGGTTTTATTAATTACTAATCAACTTGATTTACACTTAACTACATACAAAATTTTGCCGATTGAATTTTAATCTTGTGGACAATTAAATGAAGCATTATAAATGTTAATCTATTATGCAATTCATACAACAACTTTAATACATGTAGAACTATGACCATAAAATTATAGTATACTCCAATACTTTATTTACATCAAAATTCTTTTTTTAAAATGAAATTCGTATTTCATCATTAGTTAAATATTTCTTCTAGAAAGTGAACATGATTTCAGTTTAAAAGATAGTAAATAAGCAAATGCCTATGACATAAATAAACAAAATGATTATGAGGTTATAAAACTAAACCAAAATATATTTTCTGTACAAAATAACAATATCTTAGTGAATATTACGACCATACAATCAACAATGAAAAACAGTACTACATCTACTACATTTATCATTCGATGGGCAGACAACTCTTGTCTCAAGAAGGGAGACAACAATGAGTCCAAATGACTTGTGACAATCTATTTTCTGGATGTAATTGTGCTGAATTCCACCAGATACCGGAGACAGACCTGAGAGGCATCATTAACAATAAATTCCCTGTAAGGCATTCTAAATGATCTCCAGTTTTCTTTCTTCGGATTATTCTGAAGCTGACCGAGAGGCATGACTGCTCCTGAAAATTAGAAATATCATTTTATGAACTTATAGATCACCAAATCAGTCTTAAAACATCACATGATTCCGCATATTTAACTGCAAGCAATGTCTTTGATAAGAATAAATTTTTCTTGCTTTATAACTAAAGAAATGAGATGTTCTGCACTGAAATAATTTAAACTTATCATCTGCATTCCTTTTTCAAATTCCCTTTTATGATAGGGCTTTCCTTAAATGTATATATAAAACAAAATATTCTTAATGACAGATTTCTGTTTTTCCAGTGACCTCATAAGAGATCCTAAAAAATCATCTAGGGTTTTTACTTTTCTCAGAAGAACTTTGGTTGTTTTTTCAACCAATTATAAAATTAAGATAGGTTTTCAGAATACATCACAACTGAATAGTCATCAGTACCTTTCTCTCAATATCAAATAAAAAAAATCTGTTTTTAATTTGAGATTAACTTTTATCTGTGGAACTACAATTTCTCTTTAAGGGAAAGAAAATAATCAATCAGAGGCTATTTGAAGTAAAAAAAAATTAATTTAAGCTATCTTTTATCCTTCCTTGCTCACTTCTAAAGAAAAAATATTTACCATATGGCAAAGTAACATCAAAATCTTTATTGGGAATCTTGTTCCCATCAACACGTTTGCACTGATAATCAGAATCTGTTAAATCTGTTTCCATATCATCTACAGTATCCACTTCACATGTCTTACCAAGAGCAACCTGTAATAAACCAAATGTCTATAGTTCTTACAATCACTTCACATAGAGCAAACAAGATATTTACAAATATGCCATATTAACTTCCCTGTGAATTCAATTTATACAGAATGACAAGTTCATACATTTATGAAGGAAAAACCAAGAATTAGGAGCAAAGAGCAAAAATATTGCAAAGCAATCAACCTTGGAAACGTTTCATAAAAAATTGAAAAAAAATATTTATTAAATCATAATGTCATAAAGGAATCATAAACATTTTATACATTCTAAATTGAAAAAAGGTTGACTGCATACTTCAGAAAAAAAATCTAACAAAATCAGTAACATATTTCATGACAAATATCCCTGTGGGAAAAGTGATATGGTACAGTGTAATTTGACAAAAAGTTTGGTATAAAACAGTTGTATAGTATTACCTGACAGAGTAAAGCCAGTCTGGTATTAGATGATGGGTTGGCATTATATGAATACATCTGACATTTAAAGAAAGCATCTGAGGTGTACAGACCCTGTAGAAAACAAACAATATTAGTAAATAACATTGTAAAATGAAAAAATAAAATAGACTTTCAAATGTATTTAAACATTCCTATTCTAAAAGAATATTTAAGATAGGTTTATTGCATCATATGATCAAATAACACATATAATGTAAGTACACTGTCATTCCTTGGCTTCACACTTTTTTGGTTTGTCAAAATATCTGGGTTTTTTTTTATGGTATTAAACTTACATGTAACAAAAATATGGAAAGTATGCATTTTGTTTGGTATTTATCTAAATGTATTTAATATTATTCATGAAATTTGTCACATTTATTCAACATGATTAGATATTTTGACAGTACAAAATTGCATGAAACTGCATACAGTCAAATGCCTTTTATTTGAGTGGAATTTTTTTACATTTACAAGGGATAAAAATCTGCCCTTATTTCAGATTGTCATGAATAAATATAAAAAACAAAGCATCCCTATCAGAGACCACTAATAATCCACTATAGTATACTGATATAACAAACTGACCTCTCCAAACAAAGCTCCCGTCATTGGTATTTCAGGAGGTGCTACAAGTAATCCACGGTGTAATATACTGATAAAGTTAGACATACTGCTGCCATGCCACAACAACTTGTGGTTTTCCATGTTCAAACTTCTAATAGTGGTATCTTCTCCTGGACGGGACAGTTTATATATTGCATGTACATGATTTTCTTTGCCTGAAAATTAATGAATACACTATGATCTATTAGGGCAAAAATTTTCCAATATCAAAATGGATAATGTCTCATTGAAGATTCATACTGTTTCTTACAGTCAAGCATCTTAAGATACCTAAAATTTATCTCCTTCTGATAAAGGCAACCCTAAAAGTTTTGGTTTTTTTTTCATTTGTTTTCAGCTTGTAGTGATATAAGGAATTGAAAAGCACTTTTAAGCTTCTTTAAATTGATTTCCAAATTTTTCTCTCTATTCTATTATATTCTTTAAATTGTTTTCCAAATTCTTCTCTCTATTCTATTATATTTGAAATTGTCTCATGAACATCTTAGCAATACCTTAAACCAATTTAACTTCCAACTTAGACAATTCTTCCCTTGGCAACAATGGGTATGCGGACAGATTTTTTGGATATGGTTAATGAGATATGGTTTATGAATTTTTTACATGCCATTTCTAGCCATTCATATCAAATCACAGATTTAGTGTCCAATAAATTTTCTGTAGGCTCGTATGCAGGCATTGGTAAAACCATGATATCAAATATCTACGAAAATGTGAAAATGCAAACTATACTAAATCAACAATAATATGTCCCGTAAAAGGGCATATAAAAATTGGTATCCACGAAAATAAATGAATCCCCAGTATCTAATGCAATCTTAAATTCCCTTAGTATATTCCGTACTAGTCAGTTTTGCAACTTCAGTCTTTAGGTTTGCATTATTTTGTACGCAAACACTTTTTATATATGTCTGTATTGACAACTTACATGATGCATGTATGTATTTGAGTATATACTGAGATTCAGCACAATCTTCTGTTAGTAGTTGTATCTTACATCCAACAGCTTGGTAAATGTAGTCAAGAGGATTCATACCTAGAATTCAAACATATAGATATAGTATTGTGAAGAAAAATACAACTCTGAAATAGGAAAAAAAAAATCAAAAAAATCATGTACATTATTTTATAAAATATGCATCTGGTAATTTTTTTGTTTTCAAATTTCTGCATATAAATTAACTCTATTACTGTGATAACGAGTTCAATTAAATTCCAATTATTTTTTATAATTTCTCAGATTCAACTTAATACACAGGTCATGGTTATCAGCTTGGAATCTATTGTTCAAACACAGCTTTTTGATCTTTTGTTAATATGATAAGTAAATTAAGCAAGTTATGAAATATCTTGGATTCAAATCTGACATAAGTAAAATGATAATAAAAATGTTAATATTCCACTGAAAGTAGAAGACAACCAGAAATTACTTACACAGCACTTTACTTGTCAAAAAATACAAAATTCTGCATAATCCTAAATTCAGTCATATATATTTTAAGATTTGAGGATGTTAACTTACTAGACATCTTTGACTGAGCTCCAATAACAATTTTCTCTGCACATTCAATATCTAACAGATTTGATAGATGCTTCAGTTGCGTTTTATATGAGTCTTTGTCACATATTGGTTGGATTTTATCAAAGACGTAATTCTGCTGAGGTATACAGTGGTAATAGCTATTGGACAATTTGGCAATCTGAAAAGAAAAAAAAGTTTTATTATTTTTACTTACTTTCAATCACTCTAAATAAATCAACCTATCCAATTAACTTCTCACTTAATCTCAAGTTGAAAGACAGTAATGCAGCCAATGAATGAAATGTTAGTAAACATATACCCCATGCAAGGGTCTAGAAATGTTAGTGAACATATATCCCATGCAAGGGTCTGGAAATGTTAGTGGCAAGGGTCTAGAAATGGTCCTATTTGACAGTCATGACTGATTCCAAATTCAACTTCAAAATTGAATATGAAATTTATTCAAGATTAGACATTTTAATATCCTTTTGACAGAAATTGCTTTTTTATGGTCATCACTTTCTTAATCATGATGGCTTTGCTGATCCCTTTTTAAAAAACTTCATTTTGAAATTTTTTTCAAAAGTCAATCATGTGCTTTTAATAACTATGCAGTAAAAATGTGTGCAAGTGCCCCCTCCCTTTTTTAATTACAAGATAAGACCCTAAATCATAAGATACAAATTAATTTCCTGCCAAATTACACAAATGAAACGATTATGACAAATAGTCATCTTAAAACACTTTTATCAAGTATTTATTTTAAAATGTGTTATTTTACTACCATTTGATAGTTGGAAGAAACGTCAAGTTGTAAATCTTGATTCAATCACAATTCATAATCAACTAGAAACTCTGGTATATTTTTTTCTTTCTTCAAATCGCAAAATTCTGTATTGTTAATTTGGATTCAATCATAATTCATAATCAACTAATATTGAAAAGTCTCTTGACTATATGTAAGAATTCTAAACTTCCATTTTTTATACTCCCTTTTTTGCAATATCTTTGTATTATTTCTCAACAAAACATGTGTGATATGATGCACTTTATAAAGCTACATATAACTATTTACATGTGTTTATGTACATGTATGTCTGGTAAAATTCTTATATTGTAAATCAATAAATTGTAGAATTTTTATTTTCATTTATAAACAAGAATGTGTCCATAGTACACAGATGCCGCACTCACATTAGTTTTCAAGTTTCAAGTTGATTGGACTTTAACTTCATCAAAAACTACCTTGACCAAAAACTTTAACGGGACAGATGGACGAACGAACGGACGCACAGACCGAAAACATAATGCCCCTAGGTGAGGCAATAAAAATAAATGTAGTTAAACTATCTATAATTATTTGTCTATGACAAATTATATGGTTAAGGTTACACATTTTGTCAAATGTCTTGCCAAATGATAATTTCACCCTGTTAATGCACATTTAGGATAAATTCTATACTTTATTTATAAATGGACTTTTATTTTATTAGATTTATTTTTTGTATGGGTGGGTAGATATTCATGTGTTGCATTTTAATTTTGTTTTCTTTTTAATTTTGTTTTATTAATGAATGCATATTTAATAAAGTTTTGAGTAATTTTACTGCATGCCTTATATGTGTGTACCAAAAAATTAGACAAGAAATGTTCATAAATATTCATATATCATTATTTAAAAAGAAATCTATTTGTTAAAATTTAATGAATGGTACTGTTAACATTCTATTTAGTATTATCAAGATACCTCTTTGATCCTAAAATAATGTAACAAGCCAAGTTTAAACTAAAGTTGAGTAATAACAAAGAACCACAAATAATGAACCTAAGCTTGTCTGTTACACACTTCTTTCATTCTACACCAAGCTGATAAATTGCTAACAATACATCAAAAGACCAATCATTATTTTCAATTAGTAATTTAAATGTAACTCCAGTAACCCAAGCTAACTCACAGCTTATTAACCAATTAAACAAAAGATAGCCAATCATCTGCATTTTTAGTTTTAATATTTCTTAACTTTCAGTGCTAACATCTTATTGGCTAATCATTAACTCTGTTGTTTTAACATTTATCACCTTCCAATGATAATTTTTGTTTTTCTAAATGTATCCAATCAAGAACTAAGTTGCTTTTAATCCCAAATTTCTTTTCATCCATAGCCAGTTATAAATACAACAATTTTGAATCACAGGATCATACTCATTGAACATATTCTACTTAGGATGTCTTACTACCAGTCTGTGCAACCTATCCTCCAAGATTATCTGAACTCATTACCAGAGGGACTAAATGTAAGTCACCAAACTAGGACAGTACCAAGTGGTCACTTCTTCATACTACACTTGAGCACAGCAGTGCACACAAGTAACACTACTGACCAGTCCAGTCATCAGACACAGTCAATAATCACACCTGTAACACAGTCTACTATCACATTTGTACCAGACTTCATGCCCTCTACTGTTAAGACTAAGCAAGCTGATCATGTGACATCATCTAACAGGGAGGTAAAGCCAATAACCAGCTTCAGTGTACAACCACTTGCCACATCAACACCTATAAAGCAGGTGTCAACAACTTCTAGTCATCAAAATGAAGAACAGCAATCAATTTGTGGTTCAGGAACCAATGACAGTCCATTGGGAAGTTACAGAAATTTTAATCGTGCCAACAGAATCAGACGTAATATCCGCAAAAAGAATCCTGCATATGACACACCGAAGTCCAAAAGATCAACACAACTTCTCCTTCCTCCTTTAATACAGAGTTCTTCTGCAGACATCAAAAATTGTATTAGCAAACTGATATGTGGTAATTATCATAGATAAACTTGAGTGATGTATAGTGACATTTGTGAAGTAAAAATAAAACTTGAGTAATGTCTAGTGACATTTGTGAAGTAAAAATAAAACTTAATTGATGTATAGTGACACTTGTGAAGTTAAAATAATACTATCTAAAATTCTTATTATTATTATACTGTGCTTGTTTAAGTGCTTATCATGACTGAATGTGTAAAATACATTTGAATGTTTGTCATATAATTATAAATAATAAATATTTTATAATCAGTGTTAATAGCTGATTTTTTTTATCAACACCCCTAAGAAAAAAGTCACAAAAAGGCAATATTCTGAAATCCCTCTTAAAAAATCAACACATCAGAAATGCATGATATTTTATACACGATGGCATCATTTATTTATCTAAAAAAACAACTACAACTGAAGTATTTAAGTGTTTAGTTAGTGCATACAACAAGTTTTCTTGTGTGAAAGTTAACCTCAAGTTCTTTATAAGCTATGGTAAATATAAAAACAAATAGATCAAACATGTTTTTTAGCAATTGTTTTGTTACCCATCTCATGATTTGATTGGTTATTACACTTTTAATTTGTAGTAAACAAAGGTAATTATTAAAATAAGAAGATTTGGTATGATTGCCAATAAGACAACTCTCCCCCAGAGACCAAATGATGTAGAAGTTAACTTAAGGTTATCGTACGACCTTCAACAAAGAGCAAAACCCATACTGCATAGTAAACTATAAAAGGTCCTGAAATGACAAAAACAATTTAGACAAGAAAACTATCAGCCTGATTTGTTTAAAACAAGAGTGTACACGCTGAAATGTCTCGACTTCTTTACTAATCATTGATATTATGTTGATAGTCCTAAATATAAAGCTTTATTACAACTGTCACATAAACTTAACATTAACCAAGTAAACTAAACATTGACCAATGAACCATGAAAATGAGGTCAAGGTCAGATGAACCATGCTAGGCAGGCATGTACAGCTAACAATTCTTTCATACAACAAATATAGTTGACCTATTGCTTATAGTTTAAGAAAAACAGATCAAAATACAAAAACTTAACACTGAGCAATGAACCTTGAAAATGAGGTCAAGGTCAAATAAAACCTGCATGACGGACATATAGATCATAAAATATTTACATACACCAAATATAATTGAACTCTTGCATATAGTATTAGAAAAAAAGACCAAAACTCAAAAACTTAACTTTGACCATTGAACCATGAAAATGAGTTCAAGGTCAGATGACACCTGCCAGCTAGACATGTACACCTTACAATCATTCCATACGCCAAATATAGTAGACCTATTGCATACAGTATAAGAAAAACAGACCAAAACACAAAAACTTAACTATAACCACTGAACCATGAAAATGAGGTCAAGGTCAGATGACACATGCCAGTTGGACATGTACACCTTACAGTCCTTCCATACACCGAATATACTAGACCTATTGCTTATAGTATCTGAGATACGGACTTGACCACCAAAACTTAACCTTGTTCACTGATCCATGAAATGAGGTCGAGGTCAAGTGAAAACTGTCTGACGGGCATGAGGACCTTGCAAGGTACGCACATACCAAATATAGTTATCCTATTACTTATAATAAGAGAGAATTTAACATTACAAAAAATCTTAACTTTTTTTTTCAAGTAGTCACTGAACCATGAAAATGAGGTCAAGGACATTGGACATGTGACTGACGGAAACTTTGTAACGTGAGGCATCCATATACAAAGTATGAAGCATCCAGATCTTCCACCTTCTAAAATATAAAGCTTTTAAGAAGTTAGCTAACGCCGCCGCCGCCGGATCACTATCCCTATGTCGAGCTTTCTGCGACAAAAGTCGCAGGCTCGACAACAATAAAAGAAAAACAAATATGATATACAGCAACATACAACAACCACTGAATTAGTTACTTATATAATGTTAAAGACCACTTTAAAAGCAGACAAAGTTCACTTGTTTCTGGTTTGTTCACACTAAAGCATATATGCTGTAAAACTCTCCAAAAGTATAACAATGAACTAGATATATTCAATGTTATCTTGGAACTTATTTTCATCATTTATCTAATGCATTTGTCATCAACTTTTTATGTGTTCCTATAGAAAAGAAGGCCATTTGGTGGCAGTTCAAACAATAATTTTCCATCAAATTTGTCTTATACATAGTTATTGTCTAAATGCAATTGCAATCGACAGCTACATATGCTGAGATTAAAGAAACTAAAGACATCTTGAAATATCTTGCTGCACAAATAATGATGACAAAATCATATATTGAAAGTCTATGAGATCAAGTTCTTACCACATATATCATTACATTGTACTTCAGATATTATTTCCAATCATAAGCAAATAAAGAACATTGTTCCAAAATCCCCCACCAATACACAAATTTTATCTGTCAAAGGACAATTACTCCAAACAAAATGTGTAAGAATTGCACAATTTATTCATAGCTAAATTAAAAGGAAATGATTTATATTCAAGTCCTTTGTACATGACACTGCTATTCATTCTGGGAAAAGTTTACATAAAATAAAAGCTCCTCCAGTTACAGTATACAGTTTACAAATCAATATCCCAGTCAATGACTGCAAATAGTGTAAATACAGTACCTTTTCTCCAAGCTCCTGCATTTGAACATTCTTCTCTGTTTGTGTCATAGAGTAGTCACTGTTAATCTTCTCTAGTTTCTTAACATGCCCACTGCAATCAAAGATAGATACAATAAATTGCTTCATCGAGCGCAGCTGGATATGACCACAGAGGTCCAACCCTGAACAGTTGGGGCAAAAATGGACACAATATTCCCGCTTGATACAGGTCTGAATTTGGATTGTAATTAAATATTTGACACATAATAGGTTTCTGACACAGAATAACTATAATCAAAGATATTAAAATTGGTTATATGATTTGAATTTATATTCAAATTTTTGCTTTTGTGCAATACACTATGCTAATACACTAATTGACCCCCCCCCCCCTTAAAAAATGTACCCCCTTTTTTTTGCTTTTTAATTTCTGAAATCTGAAATGAGGAAAAATTGTCCCCACTCACAATTTCTTTTTTACCCCCCTCCCTGCCAATTTTCATTTCAACCCCCCCCCCTTTTTTTTTCCAAAAAAAAAAATTCTTTCCTCAAGATATAGTCATAATCTCAATTCAAATTTCCAATGGAGTTTGCAACCATAATTACCCATTTAAATACATCATTAAAATCTTAAAATAGGATAGATCAAACATATTTTTATACATACTCATACTGCAGTGTTTTAGTCTGATAAAACTAAGTATCATGTAGTTAGAGTTCAATATAAACAGGTTTTTAAAACTTTGATGAGAGGAAAACATTAAAAAGATCAGAATTTAACAGACCTATATACATGTCTTTCTAGAACATTCAGCTCTTTGTTGGACAATGTACATATACAGTACAGGGTTAATACACTTTTGTTTATGTTGAACAGCTTATTTCATTGAAAAATAACTACTTATTTAAAAAAAAACACAACACAACTTTACATGTAAAATATCTCCTTAATTTAATTTGTTCTATTATAACTTACTAAAAAATGGTAGGAAAATGTTCTTCCATATAATTGTAAACAACTTACCCTATCTCAGCTAGTACTTTTCTAGCTTCAATTAATGTTTCTCTTTTCAGCCTCCCAAATGGCATCAAGCTATAATTAAACCCCTCTTTGTTAATAGCTGCTTCCATCATCTTAATACTGCTCTGTAATCATAAAGGGATATTCTGTGATTCAAAATCTCTTAACTTGCAGATTCTTTCTTACAGAACTACAAATATCATTTTTGTGAGAAAACAAAATAAAATCTCCTCGAGTTACACACATATGTTCTTTATAACTGCCCGTTGTATCCTATTGGAAACGTTTGGACAAGGGTGCTTGACATATGATATTGAAAGTTAGGGTTTTAAAATATTTATTACAAATATCCACTTACATGTACATGAAGTCAGAAAAGGGATTAGGTCTGTATTTCATGATAGGGTTACAATCTCAACCCTTGACCTTTGACTCTGAAAATCAATAGGGTTCATCCTCCTATAGTAACAGTGTGATTAGTGTAACCAAGATTGATCTAGGTGTGGTATATACAATAAAACTTACATCCTCCTATAGTAACAGTGTGATTAGTATAACCAAGATTGATCTAGGTGTGGTATATACAATAGAACTTACATCCTCATTGAACAATAGTACCTTTACTATATTCTCTTTCTGCAATTTCAGGCGATAAAGATTAACAATTAAGAATTGAATGCATTGTTGTGAAGTCGTCATGAGAAGCACATGCTGTCATGAATGTTGAATTTTATTGAGAAATACAATTTGATATTGGAATGCCTTGTGATTGGTTTCAATCCATCAAAAGTACAGATTCTTCTGAAACATACATGTAATGTAATTATTGTAAAACCTTTCTAAACATACCATTTCTTTCACTAGATCCTGTACAAATTTTGGTAATTTGGAAGGAATGTCTGTCTGCAGCTTAAAATCTATTTTAGTTGGTTGGGCATATGATCTGTCTGTTTCAACCAGTCTATATTTCTTTGGTTGCTTTTCAAACCTAATAGTATTTAAAAAAAGCTACTGTCATTACAGAAAATTAACTGAACTAAAAGCTACCTTTCTTTCAACTTTGACTTCTATAATCAAATTCTACTTGTAAAAATATTTATAATATGAATTGATGTTAAAGGCAACTACACCTGTCATAGAATGCTAGTATGAGAGTTGACAAGGGCTCTCTTCATGGAATATTAAGTTCCTAAGAAACAGACCTATTATTGAAAGTTTAATATGACGACTGGAGCATGACCATATACAAACTACAACCAACAGATTCAATTATACACTGTTGTCATATAGCACAAGAAAGAAATTTGCAAATTTTCAATTTTCTTTTTATTTCTTCATATCCATCAGGTTTTTAAATAGATCATATAGGGTGGTTGTACAGTGATATATGTTAAGATTTACATATAATTGTTTTAACAAATCAACATATCAAATATTGTTTATTTCTCCAGGGAAGCAGACCTAATCAAGTAAACCTCACCAGAATCATAGTGCATGAAAATGAGGCGAAGGCCATATGATTTATGTCGAACAGAAAAATAGCTCTTACAACAAATCCACATAACAGCTATTGTCGATCTCTCATCTAGAATGATTGAAATATAGACCTCATCCTTGGCATGATAATGAAATCTGTCTCAAGTGAAATTGACTGGATGGCAAGGTCTTTTCATTACCTGCATACAAATCTCAATTAACCCTGGTGAAAGCAATGTTATTGCACAATATTAAATGCTGTCACTATCATAACAGTTACAGAAAAGTGAAACAAAATTGCAGCATTGAAGAAACAGTGATTACAGACACAAGGGGTAGTTAAATAATTGAGATGGTACATTGAAAAATACAGTTGGTCTTATTCATTAATAAAAAAAATTTTACTTACAACTTAACATTTGACCAGTAATTTCCAGTTTTTGATCTGAATATTTTTCCAAATTCTGTAATGGCTTCTGACTTCTTCTGGAATGGTGTATGTTGAAATTGTCCATTCTCACCAATCCTTCCCCATCGTGTAAATAATATATATAAATCCTGAGCCTTCTGATGCACAACCTGAATACAAATTAAACTTCACAAGTTTTGCAATTGTAAACAAGATGATTTTCATCCTACCTTTTCTTTTATTTTACAGAAGCCTTTGTTATAAATGAAACATAAATTAAATATATTGTAATAACTTGTGTAATATTTTTTCTATATTAAATTTAACCTACCTGCATTTTATAGAAGTTGTACATTCCCCAAGTACCAAAAGAAACATCTACTTTGGACAAGGTTACATCATAAGGTATCTTTTGAGAATCATCCATCACAACCTCTCTGAAATTAATATTTGTATTCAATAACAGTGTATGTAATATGCTCGAAAATAAATAAAAAACAAAACTTTTTTGACTAACCATTTGTCTTTTGTTTCAAGTTTGCCTAATTAATAAGAACAAAGATTAACAGGAACAACATAACCATCAACCTTCACAAACTACTGTAAACATGGTTCGTGCAGGGGTTATCTTTCCTTATTTAGCCATCAGCAAAATGTGCTAAAATTCCCCAGTGTGAATACCTTGTGCACATTGTGGATATAACCGCAGAGGTCCAACCCTGAACAGTTGTTGCAAAAATGGACACAATATTCGCGCTTGATACAGGTCTGAATTTGGATTGTAATTCAATATTTGACACATAATAGGTTTCTGAAACAGAATAACTGTAGTCAAAGAACTTAAGAATTGGTTATATGATTTGAATTTATATTCAATTTTTTGCTTTTGTGCAATACACTATGCTGTTGCGAATTGACCTCCCCCCCCCCCCCCCTCTTTTTAAAAAAAAAAAATTTTTTTTGAAGGATTTTCTTTTTGATTTCTGAAATCTTCAGGAGAAAAAATTGTCCCTCCCCTCCTTTTTCCAAAAACAAATTCTTTCCCTCAGTCATGGTCATAATACAATTCAAATTTCCAATGGAGTTTGCAACCATAATAACCCATTTAAATACATCATAAAAGTCTTAAAATAGAAAATGACATACATAATCATAACTTAAATTAATGAATTGACAGCTAATCACCTCAAGACAATACAAAAATTCTTTATACATAATTTAAAAGCAGTGTAAGGGAGGTAATTCAAAGTTGTGTTTGAATTACCTCCCTTACACTGTAATTTGTACTTAAGTAATTGTCCATTAACCAGGACACCCTTGTTTTTTCTCACTTTTTTGCCCCTAATTCCTAAATGGTTTGAGCCATAACCCCCCAAAGCTAATCCTAACCATCCCTTTGTGGTATGGAAACTTGTGGTATAATTTCAGAGAGATCCATACAAGTTATTGACATGAAACTAGAAAAATGCTTATTTGGGCCCCTTTTTGGCCCCTAATTCCTCAACTGTTGGGACCATAACCCCCAAAATCAATCCCAACCTTTCTTTTGTGGTTATAAACCTTATGTTCAAATTTCATAGATTTCTATTTACTAATACTATAGTTATTGTCCGGAAACCAAATGTCTTTGGACGACCACGACGTGATACCAATATACGGCCGCAAAATTTTTTGCGGTCGTATAAAAAGAACAAGAATGTGTCCATAGTTCACGGATGCCCCACTAGCACTATCATTTTCTATGCTCAGTGGTTGTGAAATTGGGGTCAAAACTCTAATTTGGCATTAAAATTAGAAAGATCATATCATAAGGAACATGTGTACAAAGTTTCAAGTTGATTGGACTTCAACTTCATCAAAAACTACCTTGACCAAAAACTTTAACCTGAAGCGGGACGGACAGACCAAAAAACATAATGCCCCTAGGTGGGGCATAAAAACTGCACAAATATCCACGTTTACGGAATCAGGGACCCACCATTTTGTCATCTCAACTGTTGTCTTACCATTTTTTTTTTATTTCTTAGCACTGCAACATGCAATACTTAGATATTTGATATATACAAATATCTGACCTACCCAACTTTTCTGTATTCACAGCATCTGTCAACTTCACATTTGTTTTCTTCATCCACATCCATGTCTTTGTCTTGTATTGACTTAAGATATTCTTCTGAATCAATTTTGTAATCTACTGACAATGGCACAGGCAGACTGTCCTTCACTTCTATAGATGGAAATACTGGCTTTTCCTACAATATCAACAAAGTTTTTATAAGTTTTCCCTTAGTTTCATCCTAAAAATGAAACTCACTCAATTTGGAATATAGTCAAAAATACATCATATTCACAACCTTTTTTTAAATGACATATTCATTAATTTTTACATCTATCATTCTAGTAACCTTTCCATTTAACTCCAGGAAATAATGCTACTGATGGAAAATGAGAAATTCTTTTTCCAATCACAATTTCTACTAGTTCATGGTCATTCTCTGAACAATGCAAACAATCTCAATTCTCAATTTTAATAAGCTATGCAAGTTCTTGTGGAACCTCAGATGATTCTAACCTCAACAGCCAATTGATTGTCATCAATAGATGGTATTTGTTTAATGTGGTTAAAATCTTTAAATGGTCTGAACCTCATGTACACATGTTCAGGCATTAATTTTTTGTTATTTTACACATCATCCTCTAACTGTTATAATACCATGGTGATCTGTTACATTAACCCCAACATACTTGTTCTCTATTTCGTGAAGGTATGCTTTTATTAATCAAATAAGTTTCAATGAAATATCCATCTTTTTAAGTGGACATAATAACTAATTTCAGTTTTATGATTTATTAACAATATTCAAATATGAAGTAAACTGAAGGATGTAGTCATTTCAGGTTTAGGAATTTTTGTTAGATGTTGGGACTCCTTTGTTTTTTTCCTGCGATACAGGGTAAAATATTTTGCCCCATATCACCCACTTTTCTTTTCATAGCAGATTTTAATAGCTCATAAAAGGTCATTACCAAAATTTAAGCCAATTCTAGATTTCTTTTCTTACGATTTGAGACCCAAATAATGCCAATGCTAAATATAAGGTAAAAGTCTGATTCAGCCTTTTTCCGCCATATTTTTTAAATCAAATATCTCAAAAAGGAGTTCCATAACCTATCAATATTTTTAGCTTATTTTGTTCCTTTACTACTGCTCTTCTGATTTATAGTATCAATTTTAAATTCCAGATTTTTTTTATTTCACCAGACTACAATGGAGGCCTTGGGCTTTTTTCTGCTCTTTGGTCGGGTTGTTGTCTCTTTGACACATTCCCCGTTTCAATTCTCAATTTTACATCCTTAAAGCAAAAAAAAAAAAAATAAAACAAAGAATACAACATCATGTGATAAAACTGTTAAATGACAATACCAGTTTGCTATTCTCCACACCAGATAGTATCTGTAAACGTCTTGCTAGTTGTGTAGCTCCACGGATTAAAGCATGGTCTAAGGGAGACAATCCTGCATTGTCTTTTGTTTGGATATCTGCCCCAACTTTGGCAAGGACAAATAAAATTTCTTCATTATCAAAGGTTCCATAGTCTAGTGGACACACCAAATGATGCACTGCTGTCCATCCCTGAGAATCTGTTGCATTTAATCTAACATCACTGGTTTTTTCAACTGTTTCAAATTCTGAAAACACAGTACCTTTAGTTCAATGATTTATAGGATTCAATTTATATTGTGATGAACAATATTCTTAAGAAACCAGTGTCTATTAAATAAAATGGTTGATAACCATAGTAGTTAAGTTATTCACTCTTCTAACAAATTTAATGTGTGCAAGCCACAATATAAGTGTAAAAGATAATATATGATGATTTTATATACTATTTTTGGAAATAACTGTAGAAAATCTGTTTATATTCTATTTATAGCATCAGCCTGTGTCAAGTGTGTTTACAATGCTTAAAATAAAATAACACCAGGTTATACTATAAATAGAATATGTTGATTTAATTTTTTACAACATTAAACAAGAACCAATTAAATCTTGAGTAAGCAAGATAATTTCTAAAACCTATTTCTACCCCATTTCACAGAAAGACACCCGTATAGTTATTTCCTTTGATATTTTGAACATTTACTGAATTAAGTTCAAGACATGTATATGTAACTTCTAGTGATGGGAATTGGAAGAAATTTCATAATCATCAAATAATCGGAACACTGTGAAAACTCTCTTCATCATTTTTTAAAGATAAATGTGCATGTTTTCATTGTTTTGTCTATACTTGGGGGAGTAATTTAAACATTGAATAGTAAAGAATATACTTTGTACTTCTGTTGTGTGTTTGTTTGTTTGATGTTGGCCTTTTTGTATTTAATGTAGCTTTTTATTGGAGAAAATTTCCATTTCAAGTAGCTTTTATGCATATGAAAAACATAAAATATTAACTGCTTAATTTAATTTTTAAACTCTTGAATTGGGTCAAATTATTTTAACACGAGTGCACACACTGAAATGTCTCGCCTGTTTTATTGACCACTGATTTTATGTTGAAAGTCTTAAAGATAAAGGTTTTACTAAAAGCATTACAGAAACTTAACATTTTTAAAAATCAAAATCTATGACAATGAGGTCAAGGTCAGATAAAATGTGTCAGACAGACATATACGCCTTACAACTTTTTTATACACCAAATATAATTGACCTATTGCGAATGCTAATTGAATAAAATGCTCCGCAGGGCGCAGCTTGATACGACCGCAGAGGTCGAACCCTGAACAGTTGGGGCAAGTATGGACACAACATTCAAGCTTGATACAGCTCTGAATTTGGATTGTGATTAAATATTTGACACAGCATAGGTTTCTGACACAGAATGAATGTGGTCTAAGAACTTAAAAATTTTAAATTGGACATTCACCTATTATGGTCCAATATCCAAAATCTAAATACATGGTTAGATTCAGCATATCAAAGAACCCCAAGAATTCAATTTTTGATGAAATCAAACAAAGTTTAATTTTGGACCCTTTTGACCTCAATGTGGAAAAAGTTGATAACGGGGCCCATAAATCAAAAATCTAAATACATGGTTAGATTCAGCATATCAAAGAACCCCATATATTCAATTTTTGTTGAAATCAAACAAAGTTTAATTTGGGACCCCGATTTGGACCAACTTGAAAACTGGGCCCATAATCAAAAATCTAAATACATGTTTAGATTCAGCATATCAAAGAACCCTAAAAATTCAATTTTTGTTAAAATCAAACTAAGTTTAATTTTGGACCCTTTGGACCTTAATGTAGACCAATTTGAAAACGGAACCAAAAATTAAGAATCTAAATACACGGTTAGATTCGGCATATCAAAGAACCCCAATAATTCAATTTTTGATGAAATCAAACAAAGTTAAATTTTGGACCCTTTGGACCTCAATGTGGACCAATTTAAAAACGGGGCCCAAAATCCAAAAACTTAATACAAGGTTAGATTCAGCATATTAAAGAACCCCAAGAATTCAAGAATAAAACCCCATTGAAATTGATCAAGAAATAAGCAATTTATACGAAGTATCTTCTTTTGCACAATACTGTGCAATTGAATATTTCTTGCTATTGCGCAATACTGTACAATTGACAATTTCTTGCTATTGCGCAATAATGTGCCATTGGATATTTTTTGCTATTGCGCAATACTGTGCAATTGAAGATTTCTTGCTATTGCGCAATACTGTGCAATTGAAGATTTCTTGCTATTGTGCAATACTGTGTAATTGAAAATTTCTTGCTATTGCACAATACTGTGCAATTGAAAATTTCTTGCTATTGCATAATACTTATTATATAATAATTTACACATCCTGTTTGGTGTGTATCTCCTACCATATCATTATTATTTGCTTTTAAATATAAATCAGAAATAACCAACTTAAAATGGAAAATTTTAAAAGAAAAAAAAAAGGAAAAAAAAAAAAATCCCCCCAAAATTTTTGAACCCCCTTATGATTCATCACCCCTAAACTCAATCCAAGCCTTCCCTTTGTGCTATGGTACCTTGCAGTACAATTTCAGAGAGATCCATACACTTGAACACAAGTTATTGTCTGGAAACTAGAAAAATGCTTATTTTTGGCCCCCAATTCCTAAACTTTTCGGGCAATTACCCCCAAACTCAATTCCAGCTTTCCCTTTGTGATATGGAACCTTGTAGTACAATTTCAGAAATATCCAAACACTTACACACAAGTTATTGTCATGAAACTAGAAAAATGCTTGTTTTTTGCCCCTTTTTTGGCCCCTAATTCCTAAAATTTTGAGGCAATTACCCCCAAAATCAATTACAGCCTTCCCTTTGTGATATGGAACCTTGTGGTACAATGTCAGAGAGATCCATACACTTACACACAAGTTATTGTCTGGAAGTTACAAAAATGCTTATTTTTGGCCCCTTTTTGGCCCCTAATTCCTTAACTGTTGGTACCATGACCCCCAAAATCAATCCCAACCTTCCTTTCGTGGTATTGAACCTTATGGTAAAATTTCATGGAGATCCATTCACTTAAACTAAAGTTAGAGTGCGAAAACCAATGTGTCTTCGGACGACGCCGGACGACGACGACGCCAACGTCATACCAATATACGACCAAAAAATTTTTAATTTTTGCGGTCGTATAAAAACAGACCAAAACACAAAAACTTAACATTGAAATGAACCATAAATATGAGGTCAAGGTCAGATGATATCTGCCAGACAGACATGTGCACCTTACAATTATTCCATCAATCAAATATAGCTGACCTATTGCTATTAGTATTTTAAAAACAGATCAAACACAAAAACTTAACATTGACCATTGAACCATAAAAATGAGGTCAAGGTCAGATGATACCTTCCAGACAGACATGCACACCTTACAATCATTCCATACACCAAATATAATATTTGAAAAACAGACCAAAACACAAAAATTTAACATTGACAAATGAACCATGAAAATGAGGTCAAGGTCAGATAATACCTGCAAGACAGACTTGTACACCTTATAATCATTCCATACACCAAATATAGTTGACCTATTGCTTATAGTACTTGAAAAACAGACCAAACACAAAAAATTAACATTGACCAATTAACCATGAAAATGAGGTCCAGGTCGGATGAAACCTGCCAGACTGACATGAACCCATTACAATCATTCCATACACCAAATATAGTTGACCTACTGCATATAGTATTTGAGAAACGGACCTAATCACATAACTTTAACCTTGATCACTGATCCATTAAATGAGGTCGAGGTCAGGTGAACTCTGTCTGATGGACATGTAGACGTTGCAAGGAACCCATATACCAAATATAGTTATCCTATTACTCATAATAAGTGAGAAATTCACATGACAAAAAACTCAAATTTTTTTTTTCATGCAGTCGAGGTCAAGGACAATGGACATATGATTGACCAAAACTTCGTAACATAAGGTATCTGCATACAAGATATGAAGCATCCAGGTCTTCTACCTTCTGAAATATAAAGCTTTATACAAATAGTTTACGCCGCCGCCACATAGTAATACCAGGGATGGGCACGATTACTGACAAATGTAATCGATTAATAATCGATTACTTGAAGGATTTTTGTGTAATCGATTAATAATCGATTACTCTGATTTGTGTATGTAATCGATTGCAATCGATTACTTTAGCAAAAGTAATTACATTACTTTTCGATTACTGTCAATTACATGCTACAAAATTACAAATTAAATAAAGTAAGTTAAACACAAAGTCAATTATGTTGTTCAATGTATGCATAGTGGAAATTTTGAACTTTACAAAAATAGCATGTAAAGCATTGTTTCCAAATTTTATGTTGACAGTTGTTTTCTAGATGGAAGCTCTTACTCTCTAAGGATCCGAAATATTCAAAAATTCTAGAAATTTTGGTTTTCAATATGAATGATTGGTGATAAAGTTCTTGCAATGGCATCACATTGCATCAATCACTTCTTTATATTTTAGGTTATTATCTCCATATTTTTGCAAATTTTTGCTGTCATACTGACTAAAGTTAAGTTTTTTGTTTTTACTCATTATTAAAGGGAAAATTCGCGATTTTTTACTTTTCATCTTATTATGTTCATAATACCATAAAAAACATATTTACCAAGTTTTATCTGGATATGAACACTAGTAAAGAAGAAATTTGGGAATTAATAATTTAATTTATTCCAACTTCCTGACTTATGTGACGTAGTTTAAGTCTTTTTGCATGCCGGGAGTGAATAAATCTCGTTGTAAGTCTTGTTCGTTAATCATCTCATAACGCGATTTAAAGCGCATCGACGACTTTTGGCGAAGCTATTAACCAACTAATAATTAAGAAAGTAAAGTGATCCGCCGTGCAACTTTCAAAATTAAAATGTACAATTTATATTTAAAGGATTTCTGATATGATTATAGTAATAACAGTAAATCATACAATAGAATATATTTTCATGAATTTTTTTTCCGACGGATATTTTGAACAAATATATATAACTGATATTGTTTTACAAATGCATGTTTGTATTCTCACCTGAAGGCTTTTACTTCAGTCGAGTACTGTGTAAATACAATGTGTATTGTACTGGGACACTAAGTGACCACCTGTTGAATGCGTGGTTAAATTCAAGGTAATTAAAAGATTAGCATTCTGTAATTCTATTCTTTTGATCTTCACTCGGTGAATTTTAGCCAACACGGTTCACCGTTACAGGTGTGAACAACATTTCGTATGAATGATAAAAACATTAATTATTTGGGGAGGAATATGGTGGCAAAATACCCGAATCGCCGTTATATACATGTATATCTTTTATATTTTGCGCAAGCTTAATTTTAAAATAGATAGGTGAGTATTTTGTTGTAACATCGAAATTCTGAATTACTTTCAATTAAATAATTTTACAAATAAAAATGGCCCACGAAAACGAGCGTATAAACCAAACACTTACTTACTTTTTCAAATTATCATGGGTATTAACCGTGAATATTTCAATGTTTAGAGAAAATTATCGCGGTTACATGATCAATATAGCTTGGTCCGTCCACAGCGATCTACATTTACCTAATCGGGAATGCCCTTATTAAAATATTTTAAAATCTCACAACGTATACATATTTTAGCTATTTGACCAACGATGTTTAAAAAAAATAACAGAATCAATCTAACGTCAACTTTCCTTTTTTGAATGGAGACAGACCGGAGGAATCAATTTTCAATGTGCTTTATATCTTGTACCTTTGCAAGACTTATCATTCATTCATAAACCCACTTTATACCAGAGACATATATGTCAGTCTTAACTGACAAGAATACACCTAAAGCGGACAAGAAGTATTTTCTTGAAGTTTCTGTGATTTAATACCAAGAAAGAAAAAAATCCCGAAATTAATTTGATACTTTGATACTCCATATTTTTCCTGGAAAATATTCATATCCTCGTTTGGTCTGAAAATAAGATAAGAATTTGGTATACAGAACATGCAGAAGTGTGAATGTCATAAAACCTTGTTATATCAGAAACCATTATAAATGTGAACCTGTATACGTAAGACCTCATGGGACGTCACCTAACCACATACAGGTAATATACAAGTAGCTCTGTTATACCCGGAAACGTCAAGGTAAATCACTACCGATACAGAATGTACCAATGCAAAGAAAATTCTGATGATTGTGAAGCATGACCATTCATGATTTTAGAGGAGTCTTAGGTGGAAATTGCAGGTACGATTTAAATTCTGACTATATTTTTTTCTCTCAATTTAAATCACTGAACTTAAAAAAAAAGAAACATACGCCCAAGATCAGAATTCTTCATGTAAATTCATAAATACAACGTTCTTATTTTGTAACTTTCGATATACTTCACCCCCTACCACCGCCCCCTCCCAACCTGGGAACAGTATATCTAACATAACAATGTTTGTGTACCTGCCCAAATAAAAAAAAAAAGATGAAAAAAGAAAGAGATGAACGGTAAGTCACATCAGATTCAAATATTTATATGGTTGATTGTCGTTAACTAGAGATGTAAAGTTACATGTCTCTGCGTTAACTTATAAGAATGACAGGAAAGTATATACTTGAAATAGATTTATGATGAATAATATGCAAATGCAGCACCCCTTTTTATCAAAGTGTACATGCATGTATTTAATGACTGTCCGTTATTTTGATTAAGAATGACAAGTGTACGTGAAATTCTATAGTTGCCAGTGAGACTTTTTTTTACCAGATATGCGACTTTTCGTATTTATATTTTCTCTTATGTTACTCTCATTTAATATTTTATGCATAAGTGCAATATTAGGAATGGTTTATCCCCCATCCCTATTAAGCTAACTAAATAAATTAATCAACCTTCTAGCTGACCAGACGTTAACACATCTACTATCAGTCAATTCGGAGTGAAGTTTCTTTATTTCTTCAAATAAGCTTTTTGGGGATCATTAGTGTACGTCCAGTGGCATATATATTACATGCATGTCGGAACAGGAGATTGACATGAGGTATAATAGAACCATGTTCACATTATTACATTATTATATATAATACACAACCATTGAGATGATGACGACTTTCTTAAACTGTTCAAAATAATCTTATGGAAATAAAAATCTGTGATTTTACTATGTGCATAACTTTGATGAACCAAAGCAAGTTAGATATACATAAATAAAATAAATAAAATAAATAAAATAAATAAAATAAATAAAATAAATAAAATAAATAAAATAAATAAATAAAATAAATAAAATAAATAAAATAAATAATTATTTTATTATAGTGTCACATATTTGATCAAACAATATATATATATATACAACAATTCATAATAAAAACAGAGATCAAATATCCAGCCTTAGAATAGACTTATGAGACACTTAGATATCGACCTGTATTTAAATCAGATTGGTTTTGGATGTTTCTTTCGTATATTCAATATACATGTATATATTCTAAATTGCGACTATCTATAGTTCCGTAACCTTCTATCTAGGCGTATAATCCAATGATCAACAAGTGCGTACATTTTGTTAAATCAATATTTGTACGTTTCAAAATGTCCATAATTATTGACAACGAGTAATTACTTACATTTTCCCTAATTTACGTTTGGAAAATATGTAAATATATTTTTATTTTATCAAATCTTTTTTTGGAATTATTTAGATTTTCATAAATGTTCTTTACACCATAAATGTTATTTATAAACAAGCGTATGAGTTTAGTCATATATATAATGGCTATTATATCTATGGTTTAGTAAAGACAAGCATATCACTATCGGACACGCAAGACAAAGATGTATATTCACCTGATAGTTTCAAAATGGAAAGTTCCAAGTTATCGGCCGTGTACACTTCTCAATACCCTCAGAGGTGAAGTGATGCACGAACTTGCTTTATGTAATTGTGTAATAAGAGTTTAAAAGCCCGACAGGAAATCGCTTGAATACCTGGACGTGTCAACTCACAATACCTCTGGGAACAATTCCTTTAGCAATGCTGGTGATCAGATAAGGGAAGGTTCGAATTTATTTAAATAAGATTATTAAATAAATGAATTATGAACACACTAGATTTTCGAAAACATTTTTACACGGAACACTTAATTTATCACTTTGAACTTTTTAACTAATTTCCATTAACATTTCTTGTTTCAAAAACTTAGTAAAAAAAAACAGTTTCAAAACGACAGACCATAGTACAAGTTATTCAAAAAAAATTATTTATAATTACATTTTCCGTATCAAGTTAGTTAGGAAAGGTTGCATGCACAACCATGTCTATTATAATCTTTTATTGTGACCCGGGAAACTGTTTAGGCTTTCCTTGTCGGGTAAAACAACCGTACGCTTGACAAGATATCGACACTCACTTACGGCTACGTTAGGTTACTGCTTGTTTTGGTCCTTTGTGGTTTATAGATATATCGTGGTTTCTATTCAGGGATGATGTCAAAATGGCCGCACGCGGAGAAGTGATACTCTAAATTTAAAATCGATGGTGATCTCTTATCTAGCAGAATTAAACTTTAATATTTATGAATTTGTGGTTTTTTATACATAATCAACATAATATCAATTTTTCATTTTTTTGCGAAGTTTCCCTTTAACAGCTATATTTGAATATAGTTCATTACAATGTTGAAAGTTTACTCTGAAAAAAAACTATAAAAAAGTAGAATAATTAATTAGTTCAGCTAATTTTAGAGATGAAAATTTATGATTTGTAATTACATGCATGAATTAATCCTTTTGTTTTGACAACCTCCCTAATTACAGGCTATAATACTGCCAATGGAGTACAATTATAACCTGGGGCAATATAATGTAAATCTTCTCTTATTTAGACATAATTGAAATCAAAACAAAGTCTTCATCTTATTGATTAGAAGTCTTTGTTCATCTGATTAGTAACGACAAGAACTTTGTTGAGAATTTTGTATTCTCATTTCAAAATTATAAACAATTTATATTTTTTGTGCAAAAATTGGATACATGTATCTCTATTTCTGAACAAGAATTTTAATGCATAGCCATTGGTTCATTGTCAAAAGGATTTCGTGTACTTTGTAATTTTTATGTCATAACATTATAATGAATCAAATGTTTATCTATTCTAAGCTAAAATTCCAACTATTATTGAAAATTATGCTTAAAGGAATTTTAATACAAATAAGCTTACTACTGCAATAAAGTACAGATTTTAACTTAAGACTTATTTCTTATTTAAATCTATTTTCTTATTTTTATATAAAAGGTCTTAAATTATTGACCAGCAAGAAAAGTCATTTGTTTCAAAAGCTAGATATACAGTATAATTTGATAGATCTGGTTGAAGCAGCTGGAGCCAATAGATAGAAACAAGGCATTTGATAAACTTTTAATTCATATCAATACATTTTATTTTTATCTGTACTATAAAGTGATGAATACATACATACTTTCATATAAAATAGATTATATTTCATCAAGCTATTTTACCAAAGTAATCGAAATGTAATCGAAAAGTAATCAATGATTACATCATAATTTTTGCTGTAATCGATTAAATTACGATTACATGTAATCGAAAATATCTTCGATTACAGATTACTGTCGATTACTGGAAAAAATGTAATCAATTACAATCGATTACGATTACGATTACCCCATCCCTGAGTAATACCTATGTCTCGTATACTGCGACTTTCATTGCAGGTGAGACAAAAACTGTGCATATGTACACTTAATTGAAATACAAAACAAAATGCTCAACTTGATGTCAGCAGTAACAGGAATCAAAAGTGAAAGTGAAACTGAAAAATATCTAATAATTGGACATTAACATTTTATAATTGAGTGCTTGGAATTGCATTACAATCGACTGATTTTTCTACTTTAACCTTCTTAATGAGTAACATATTATAAGCTTTTTAAGCCAAAAAATTCTTGAAGACAATGTCAAACTTTTGGTGACTGACATAAACAAAGTTCTAAAAGTAGACTGTATACCTTCATCCGATTTCTTTTCTTCTTGCGACAATGATTTTGATGGGTGACTAGTGAGTGATGGGAAACTCTCAGGAGAGATTTCATCATCATCCTCATTGTTCTCATCCTCTTCCTCCTCATCTTCATCAACATTGTCTGTGTCATGATCATCATCTTCTGCTGCTTCCTCTTCCTCTTCATTGTCTTCATCATCTAATGTAGAAAATTTAATTTTGCATTCTATAGGTGATTAACTTTGAACCTTTCGAGGAAGAACAGAGTTGTGAAATAGATCTTAAAAAAACCACCTCAAAGGGTCTTAACATACCCAAAAGCTATAACTGAGATATAAATATCTAGTTTGATAGATATATTCATATTTTCAATTATTATCCAGTTTAATAACAGTGCAAGGAACTCTAAAATTAAGAATAAATTAATTAGTTTCATATATTTATTGAAATAAATCTAAATCTCTACAATCAGAATGCCTACCCATATCTTCATCATCTTGTTCATCCTGAGCATCATCCTCCTCCTCCTCATTTTCATCTTCATTGTCTTCCTCTTCCTCATCAATCTGTGTGATGGCAAATACATTCCTAGACAATTGTCTGGACATTTTGGTTTTCTCTGATTTTGACTGACTGCCATCACTTTTGTATGTAGAATTCAGCAATATTTTCACCATGACAAGATCATTCTAAAAGCAAAGTTTCAATAATTTGGTAATGGAATATCAAACATGTACAGTTTTTACTTCTAATATAAAAAATAAAACAATTGGATATTTCTGTCTTTTGAGGGAGATAACTGTTCACAAAATAATATCTATTCATTGTCAAGTTTTAATATGATGACATTGTCATTAAGGAATCAAATCATATGATAGAAAAATCTGAATAAAATAAAGCATATCACAAAAATACCCATTGAATGAATTAACAGAGAAATGATTTGTTGTTTTCACATGAAACAACAGACAAATATGGGTTTTTGTCAGATCTTTTACCTACTTTTGAGGTTGCATTTGGAATTTGGTGGGTGATGTGCTTAACTATTCCGAACTAGGGAAATGATATTCCTGCAAAACTATGTTAAATGAATAAGATGTGATGATAAAGGATGTCTGTGTAACGTCAAGTGGCAAATAAAATACATATTCCGGATGAGAACATGATAACGTGATATGAATCTAAACCCGGCTTTGTACAAGACTGGAATTATAACATGCTAGTTCACAAGGTAACAGTCATGTCACCCTACCCAGACACATTATTTTGACTTTGAGCCGACTAATCTTTGGTTTGACCAGGCCATGGTTCAAATCCACAGCTTCCTGCACTGGAGGTGAGCACAATCCCACAAGACCACTGAGGCGGTAAATGAATAAGACAATATATCCTGGGTAGTTCTGATATAACAGTGAAAACAAAACTCACATTTGGCATGCAATTTTTTTTTTTTTGCCTTACCTTTTTTACTGCATGCATGAGTGGGGTTAATCCACGATTGTCTGCAAAATTTGAACTGGCTCCATTTTCCAGAAGAAATCTGAGAATTCCAACTTCACAAAAGTTTATTGCAAAAATCAAAGGAGAAATCCTGTATTCACATGCTGTTGTAAAGTAATTACTAAGAGTGTTCGATAACATATCAAATACAGGCACTTCTGGAAGTGGGAGATCAAACAAAATGTCCAATGAACAACCCTTTGATAAAAATAACTGTAACCATTTTCTGTAAGTAAATAGTTTCAAAGTTAGGAAATCATTTGGCAGATTGGCATAGAATTGATTAATTGTTAAATGACATGCTCTTAAAGTTCATACTTGGCAAATTTTCAGTTTCATTCAATAACCCAGATATCAATGATCCAATCTCTTTATTCATACGTATACATACTAGAACATAATTTATAAATGTTTTGGCAGACATGTACAGATCCCCAGTGGATGTAACAAATATCAGGAAGCAATCTATCATATGTTGTATCTTTAATCCTTTTTTCAATCCGCATTTCATGTTATTGCTAGATTTTTTCAAGTTGGGCATGAACTTACACTCAAGTTTATTGTTTGTTAATTGTTTGAATGCAAGTTTTTGTTGTATAACTTTTAAGTTTTGTGTATGTGAGTACAGTTTGGTGTACACTGTAATAAGTGCTATATGCACTGTGATAACTGTCCATACCATATATACTGTACTATGTGTCTGTTTCAAGTCAGTACTGGGTTGGTCATTTTGTTTCTGTTAGTTTTATTACTTTCCCTAATTTTCATTGTACATGGATATAAAGTTTTAAATAATTTGGAGTTTTCTACAAATATTTTTTTTCTTTCCTCAACATTACTTACGTATTGAGTTCTAAATTGGAAAGTTTTGTGACTTTATGATGGTCCCAGAAAAATGCTGCTATAACTGTTCTGTCAAATTTGTCTTTTCTATTCAAATCTAAAGCTGTGTCCTTTTCTGAAAAGAAACATTTAAGCTACAGTCTTTCTATTTTCAAATATCTTGAAAACATATTTTCAATTTTCCTACTTTATAACTGAATTAATTACAATTTACTTTACATTAGAAAAACAATATTTCAGCTAACACTGAAGTAAAGGAGCTCTCACTGTGCTTATCGGTGAAGGTTTGTCCTTTCACAAAACCAATGGGCCAGAAATTAAGACTTTTCCCTCAAGCATTTAATTTACATTTGCATCTCTTACATTCTTTATTATTCTTATACCTTTATTCCTGTAAAAGAACATTTATATGTGTACATCAAATTCCATGCTTCAAGGAAAAGGCATTGGTTTGTGAGTAAATTGATGAAGATAAAATATTCTGCCTTAAATTCAATGAAATTCATGTAAAGTGATCATGAATAAATCTGACAAGAAAAATGTAAAAATATCTTATAAACACAAAATCAGCAAGTTTTATTACTAGGATTTTCAGGCCAATTATAAACTTTGTGAATTTCTCTTTTGTGTTTGGTCATTGCTTGAAAATCAATAGAAATGGGCGTCTCATCAATATCACACTCAGAATATTCTATTCATACAACTTTTTCCATTATCTAAATATATCTTACCAACAAAAAACTTGGCTAGATCATATTGCTGATGTGTGAGAGCTGCATAATGTAATGGCGTACATCCATTTTCATCAGTCTGATTTAATGGGACACCTTTGTCATACAGCATCTGAGCTACCTAGAAAGAAAGTATATAATATTTCAATTTCAAAATTTACCGTTATTTAACATACCTTTATTAGACAAGAGTAGGAACCTGTACAGATTTCCACTGTCTTCAGTTATTGCATCATAAGCACAAGTTGGATACAGTTTAGCTTATACAAAATGGAATAATATCAATTTACATCATCTTTCAAAGTGTTGTTTACCATACTAAACATAAGGTTTTAAAGAACCACAAGAATGCAGGCTTTGTCGCACACAAGTTACAACTCATCACATGATCTGCTAACCATAAAGTCATTCTGTTGAGTAGTTTCTGAGAAAAAAGTGACGAATAATTTTAAGTTCATTTAGGTATAATTTCTGCAAATTATTTTATTATCTATTTGTTTAATTCTGTTCATTTTTAGAAATTTATTTCACTACTATCATTATAAAATGAGGTAAAGGTCAGATGAAACCTGTCAGAAACTACATCTGAAAATTAATTTTCTGAAATTTACACATATAAGGGACTACAAACCTTTAATTGTAGAGAATCTACTGCCCCTGGGGTTCCTGGTTCTGTATGTAAAGCTAACACATGGAAAAGGTTTTGTTGTTGGTCATTGAGAATCTGTAGTTGAGATCGATCATTGATCTTTCTGAGTAATCGTAGTACTACATTAAACTGGTTCACACGTAGAGCTGCCTATAATAAAGAGAAAAACAACAACTATTTTACATCCTTTAAAACATAATCTACAGAGTTTTAGCATTTTTAGATCTGTTTGTTCTACTTACAACATTGCATCTCCAATTTTATATAAAAATTATGTGAGCTTTCAAATGAAATCTTTTTGAAGGAGGGCTACCCTACAAAGCAATTTTGCTCTTAAGTTTACAAATGTCTCTTTCTTGTATCATAAGTATTACTTTATTGACTGGTATGAACATCTTGTTTTCTACTGATAAACAAACCATTTGCATTTTAGTTAAAAAATAAATTGCTTCGCCGAGTGCAGTTGGATACGACCGCAGAGGTCCAACCCTGAACAGTTGGGGCAAAAATGGACACAATATTCGCACTTGATACAGGTCTGAATTTGGATTGTAATTAAATATTTGACACATAATAGGTTTCTGACACAGAATAACTGTAGTCAAAGAACTTAGAATTGGTTATATGATTTGAATTTATATTAAATTTTTTGCTTTTGTGCAATACACTATACTGTTGCGAATTGACCCCCCCCCGCCCCCCCCCAAAAATAAAAAAATATATATATTAATTTACCCCCTAACCCCACCCACCTTTTTTTTTGCAAAAAAAAAAAAAATTTGAAATTTTCTTTTTAATTTCTGAAATCTGAAATGAGAAAAAATTGCCCCCCCCCCCCTCACAATTTCTTTTTCACCTCCCCCCCCCCCCCCTTTTTCCAAAAAAAAAAATTCTTTCCCTCAAGATATGGTCATAATCTCAATTCAAATTTCCAATGGAGTTTGCAACCATAATTACCCATTTAAATACATCATAAAAGTCTTCAAATAGAAAATGACATACATAATCATGGCTAAAATTAATATTCCTTAATCAGCATTTTTAAATAGTAACTTCTAAAAATAAATTGACAGCTAATCACCTCAAGACAATACAACATTTCTTTATACATAATTTAAAAGCAGTGTAAGGGAGGTAATCCAAACATAAAATTGTACTTTTTTTAATTGTTCATTAACAAGGAAACCTTTGTTTTTCCCCCTTTTTTGCCCCTAATTCCTAAACGGTTTGAGCCATAACCCCCCCCCCCCCCCCCAAAGCCAATCCTAACCATCCCCTTGTGGTATGGAAACTTGTTGTATAATTTCAGAGAGATCCATACACCATTCCACAAGTTATTGTCTGGAAACTAGAACTAGAGGCTCTCAAGAGCCTGTGTCGCTCACCTGTATTTACTGATTCTTTGGAAATCATGTAAAATAAGATTAAAATCATAATTAATAGTATTAGATATTGGATATTATAATGATATCTAAGATAATAACAAAAAACTGCAAAATTTCTGAAAAATAAACTGTTAACATAGAGATATGTCTCGCCTATTTGTTATTTTGATATAATGCAAATGTTGAAATTAAAATAGCAATACTTTAACATGTAAGTTATGCAAATATTCAAAGTCAATGAACCATGACTGAAGGTACAGGGCTAAACAATCTCCATGGAAATGAGATGTGCCAATGTTAATACAACTGAAAACCAAATACCATTGTCTTTTCGTAAGTCGTTCCCTTTAAACAAACCTAAACACAAACATTAACTTGTAAACTATGTAAAAGTTTCAAAGTCAATGAACCATAATTAGGGGGTGGGGTTATATAATCTCCATGGAAATGAAACTTGCAAATGCCAATACATTTGCATACCAAATATCATTGACTTTACATTACTGGTTCATCATAAACTGACCTAATCACAAACTAATACATGAAAACTAAGCAAAAGTTTCAAAGTGAATAGACCATGAATGAGAGGCGGGGCCAAATAATCTCCATGGAAATGAGATATGCCAATGCTTATACAACTGCATACTAAATATCATTGACCTATCACTAGTGGTTCCCCATAAACTGACCTAATCACAAACTAATACATGTAAACTAAGCAAAGTTTCAAAGTCAATAAACCTTGACTGAGGGGATGGGGCCAAATAAACCGGAAACAGCATACCTATGTCTCGCTTTTTGACTCTGTCAAGGCGAGACAATTACTAACTCAGGGGCAGCAACCCAACAACGGGTTGCCTGAATGGTCTCAAAATTTCAGGGCAGAAAGGAATTGACCTAATGAACAATTTTTTCCTGTTAGATTTGCTCTAAATGCTTTGGTTTCAGAGATATGAGTCAAAAACTGCATTCTACCCTATATACTATTTTTACCCATGTCGGCCATCCTTGTTCGCGGTCATCGGACACAATTTAAAAACTAGGTACCCTAATGATGATTGTGGACAAGTTTGGTTAAATTTGTTCTAGTAGTTTCAGAGGAGAAGATTTTTGTAAAAGATAACAAAAATTTACAAAAAAATGTTAATAAAATGCTCCACTGGGGCGCAGCTTGATACGACCGCAGAGGTCGAACCCTGAACAGTTGGGGCAAGTATGGACACAATATTCAAGCTTGATACAGCACTGAATTTGGATTGTAATTAAACATTTGACACAGCATAGGTTTCTGAAACAGAATGAATGTGGTCTAAGAACTTAAAAATTTTTAATTTATCTATTCAAACCATATCATTATTATTTGCTTTTATATATAAATCAGAAATAACCAATTTGAAATGGAAAATTTTAAAGAAAAAAAAGGGAAAAAAAAGGAAAAAAAAATCCCCCCCCCCCCCCAAATTTTTTGAACCCCCTTATGATTCATCACCCCCAAACTCAATCCCAGCCTTCCCTTTATGGTATGGTACCTTGCAGTACTGTACATGTGATGTACTGTGAAACTAAGATCAGGAGTTTGGGAAATTTTGGTCAGGAGATTAGGACTCAGATCAGGAGGTTTTTAATCGACATAAATTCTGTCGTAAATGTAACCGTGTGCTGTAGAAATTGTCTGTTAAAGTGTGTTTTCTTCAACTTTCCATCCGAATGTATTATATGTACCCTTGTACTTATAAATTTTCTCTATCTTTTTAAACTTTCAACTTGTTCAATCTAACATTCTTCTTTTTTAGTATGTTCTTTAAATTTTTTAGGTCATATCTTTTTTACCATTATTCATTGCAATCAGAACATTTGCTTATCTATCTGCAAGTAGATTTTAAATGCATGATAAGTAACACATTTAGATTGTAATCATGGGTCATAGTTATTAAATAAATTTCAATTTAAGCCTTGAAAGAAAGTATAGAACCCTCAAATAAATTTATTACACAACAGCAGTTAGCCTGAGGTAAAAATCGTTGATTACCAGTATGTTTGACACCCAAGGTGACAAGTGAAGCCATATAATTATACATGTTAATTGATTTACAGGTAAAATATATCTTCAGGTAATGTCAGTTACACCAGATATGTTGGGCTGAAATTTTTCATTCATGAAATATTTCATACACAGGATTTTTTTGTCTTCAACTGGAGGTCGGGAGGAGACCCCTGAAGGGATTATTGTACTCCCGTCGGGAGGTTCACATGTACAATTTCAGAGAGATCCATACACTTGAACACAAGTTATTGTCTCGAAACTAGAAAAATGCTTGTTTTTTTGCCCCTTTTTGGCCCCAAATTCCTAAACATTTAGGGCAATTACCCCCAAACTCAAACCCAGCTTTCCCTTTGTGATATGGAACCTTGCAGTACAATTTCATAAAGATCCATACACTTACACACAAGTTATTGTCCTGAAACTAGAAACATGCTTGTTTTTTTGCCCCTTTATGGCCCCTAATTCCTCAAATTTCTAGGGAATTACCCCCAAAATCAATCCCAGCCTTCCCTTTCTGTTATGGTACCTTGCAGTACAATTTCAGAGAGATCCATACACTCGAACACAAGTTATTGTCTGGAAACTAGAAAAATGCTTATTTTTGGCCCCTTTTTCCTAAACTTTGTGGGCAATAACCCCCAAAATCAATTCCAGCTTTCCCCTTGTGATATGGAACCTTGTAGTACAATTTCATAAAGATCCATACACTTACACACAAGTTATTGTCATGAAACTAGAAAAATGCTTGTTTTTGCCCCTTTTTGGCCCTTCCCTTTGTGATATGGAACCTTGTGGTACAATGTCAGAGAGATCCATACACTAACACACAAGTTATGTCTGGAAGTTACAAAAATGCTTATTTTTGGCCCCTTTTTGGCACCTAATTCCTTAACTGTTGGTACCATAACCCCCAAAATCAATCCCCACCTTCCTTTTGTGGTATTGAACCTTGTGGTAAAATTTCATAGAGATCCATTCACTTAAACTAACGTTAGAGTGCGAAAACCAATGTGTCTTCGGACGACAACGACGAGGCCAAAGTCATACCAATATACGACCACAAAATTTATTTGCGGTCGTATAAAAATTGACTATAAAGGGCAATAACTCCTTAAGGGGTCAACTGACCATTATGGTCATGTTGACTTATTTGTAGATCTTACTTTGCTGTACATTATTGCTGTTTACAGTTTATCTCTTTCTATAATAATATTCAAGATAATAACAAAAAACAACAAAATTACCTTAAAATTACCTATTCAGGGGCAGCAACCTAACAACGGGTTATCCGATTCATCTGAAAATTTCAGGGCAGATAGATCTTGACCTGATTAACAATTTTACCCCATGTCAGATTTGCTGTAAATGCTTTGGTTTTAGAGTTATAAGCCAAAATCTACATTTTTACCCTATGTTCTATTTTTAGCCATGGTGGCCTTCTTGGTTGGTTGGTGGGATGGCCGGACACATTTTTTAAACTAAATACCCTAATAATGATTGTGGCCAAGTTTGGTCAAATTTGGCCCAGTAGTTTCAGAGGAGAAGATTTTTGTAAAAGTTTCCAGACGACGGACGCAGGACGCCGGATGCCAAGTAATGAGAAAAGCTCACTTGGCTCATTGGGCCAGGTGAGCTAAAAATGCTTATTTGGGCCCCTTTTTGGCCCCTAATTCCAAAACTGTTAGAATTTTAACCCCCAAAATCAATCCCAACCTTCCTTTTGTGGTTATAAACCTTGTGTTTAAATTTCATAGATTTCTATTTACATTTACTAAAGTTATTGTCCGGAAACCAAATGTCTTCGGAAGATGCAGACGACGACGACCACGTGATACCAATATATGACCGCAAAATTTTTTGCAGTCGTATAAAACTTATATGAAACAGTTGAGTAAGAAAAATACTCATAGTTAACTGAACTTTGAGAATCTTTAACTGAAGTATAAAGGCAAAAACCCACTGTATTGATGACTGAAGTCATTTGATTATCATTGACTTTATGATTGACCAGTAGCGGGTAAAGTCATAGCAAGACCATGAGCATATTTCAGAAGAGCTTAATGCTTTCACATGTCAAGCGTAAGTAAACATTGGATGCCTGACCAAAAACGTCACTTTCTTATCAGTATTTTAACTTTTACATGGTAATATGTGTACTCTTCAAAAATCTGCATAATTCAAAGAAACTCATTTTTATGTTTTTCAATATGTACCTCTATAACACGACTGTCCAGATTTCCTGAAGCATCAAGGACCATGTGAGCTACACCCTGTAATTCTTTTTGTATGGCCTCCTGGAATATGGAGTAGGTTTTCTTTTCTGGAGTTACCTCTGGTAAAACCAGAGGCTTCCATCGCCATAATGGTTTCTTATTTTTATCAGGTTCTGGCTTGTCTTTGGGAGAAAACACCACATTATTTTTGACATTAGCTCCATTCTGGATCAAGATGATGGCACAACTGAAGATAAGAAGTATTTTATACATAATGTGAATCACATTTTATACTTAAGGCAAAGTATACGTACTTGGGCTGTATTCAGATTTTAAAGAAAGTTTGTATGCATTTAGTTTTTTTTCCAATTTATAATGGTATTTTAAGAGACGATTTGGGTAAAAGTTGATGGATGACGGTCACTAATTATATAAGTAATTGCAATAGCTCACACTGGCCATATATATATTTTCCCTTTATCTAGGTGTGATAATCATTCAAAGAATAAAGAATCTAAAATAAATTATAACTATTATACCTGTCATGCTTATTTGATACTGCAAATGACAATGGTGTATTTCCATCAATATCTTTTTTGTCAACAACTGCTTTTCTCTGTAACAAAAGATGTCAAATAATGAAACATATAAACTCACCTAGTTTAAAACTCGAAAACAAAGTCTTGCATTATCACTTATTGAATTTTTGTTAACCTTCTTCTCACTTTTTGTCGAGTCTTCGACTTTAATCAAAAAAGCGAGACATAGCGATCCTACATTCCCTCGGCATCATTGTCGTCACCGGCGTCTACAAATATTCACTCTGTGGTTAAAGTTTTTGAAATTTTAATAACTTTCTTAAACTATCCTGTATTTCTACCAAGCTTGGACAGAAGCTTATTTATGATCATAAGATAGTATCCAGAAGTAAATTTTGTAAAAAAAAAATCCTGTTTTTCCGTATTTTACTTATAAATGGACTTAGTTTTTCTGCCAGGAAACATTACATTCACTCTATGGTTAAAGTTTTTAAAATTCTAATAACTTTCTCAAACTATCCTGGATTTCTACCAAACTTGGACAGAAGCTTGTTTATGATCATAAGATAGTATCAAGAAGTAAATTTAAAAAAAAAAAAATCCTGTTTTTCCGTATTTTACTTATAAATGGACTTAGTTTTTCTGCCAGGAAACATTACATTCACTCTGTGGTTAAAGTTTTTAAAATTCTAATAACTTTCTCAAACTATCCTGGATTTCTACCAAACTTGGACAGAAGCTTGTTTATGATCATAAGATAGTATCCAGAAGTAAATTTAAAAAAAAAAAAATCCTGTTTTCCGTATTTTACTTATAAATGGACTTAGTTTTTCTTCCAGTTAACATTAGATACAGTCTGCAGTTAAATTTTTCAAACATTTATTAGATTCATAAACAATCCTAGATTTTTACCAAATTTGGACAAAAGCTTCAAAAAAAATGTATCGAGAGGAATATTTTTATTAAATTTTTTCCTCATCTCATTTTTGTTGAGCCTGCGATTAACAGCAAAAGTAGGCAAGACACTGGGTTCCACGGAACTCTTACGAATTTTTGGTATTTGACATCATTCAATCAGAATTATAAACTTTCCTTACTTAAATGGCAGTATTTTAATGTAAACCTGAATAAGATTAAAAGCATATTATCGTCATTTCATATGCTACCACATGAATGTATAAATTACATGTATAAAACTGATTATTGACCCTCTATTATGTACAGACATGTACCTTAATTAAATGTAGACAACAGATGGTTGCCCCTCTATATGCTGCTAGGTGTAGGGGAGTCTGAAGGTTACAGTCTGTTTCATCAATCTGCTGGTCCTTCATGGTACGGGTTAACAAACTCAGTAAATCAATTGGATCTATTGCTGTCTTCAGTTCAGGTCTATAAATGTAAAATATTCTTTGTTAATTTAAATTCTAACCTTTAGAACATTGCATCAGCTAATACTACTGTTTTTGAACTGTGATACACATTAATTTCTTGTTTGATTAAGTCTCTAACAGTGTAATTACATAGAACTGCTCACTTTGTGAAGTACTGTAAATTCAGAAATTATTGTGAAATTTTTATGAATGAGAATAATGCGACTGGGTGAGTATAGCAATAATAAGAACTTGCATTCTGAGCTCTATTACATATATCTGTATGCAGATTTTCCTAAAATCGCAATATTTAATCTCGCATTTTTGTCAATTCTTCAAAAATCGCAATAATAAATGCACACAATAATTTCTGCATTTACAGAATATAGAGGCAGAAATGCAACTGAACTTGAAAACAAATGAAAAAAAAAGTCAGGAGGTTCTAGTCCAGTGGTTGTTGATGATTGCTATTTTGCATTAATTGTTTTTCTTCAATGTAATAAGCTTAAATCAGGATGTTGATTTCTCTCTTTTTAAATGTTTTTACATTTGTTATCCCAAGGCCTTTTATAGTATAAGTTTGCTCATGGTTAAACTTATGCTATAAAAGTTTAACTCAAATCTATTGAATGTTTACATACTTGTCCTTTGGTATTTGGTGGACAGTATACATACCACATATCCTTATTCTTATATCTTGTAAATCAATTTCTATAGCAATTTTAATGAAATTTACCACCATTCCTTTGTTATCAAATTACACTGATATCTCACAACCTACAAAGCTTTTCACTTATAATATAGTCATTTTAATTTAGTTTTTTTAAAGGCTAGGTAAACTTACGACTCAATCTTTTTAAAGACATAATGTATTGGCATTCTATTACTACTACATTTCTGAAAGATATTAGCTCCTTTCTTAATAAGAACTTCTTCATAATCTGTACTAGAATCTGACGATCCACTGTTAGAATTGACAGATAAATGTAGTGCGGAACGCTTTTCTGAATCCACAGCATTAACATCAGCACCAGAATTGAGTAAGCTTGACATTATTTGGACTCCTTTAACTTCATCACCTAGAAAAAGAAAACAAAATATAGGCATAAACATAATCTGCAAATTTTTAAAGTACTCAATTTTGTTTTCAATATATTTCAATGACTTGTATTGACAAAATAATCTTACAGTTCTACATAAATTTATCTTGTAATCTTCTATAGATTGTTATATAAATTTCTCTATGTACAACAACTTCTTTAACCTGATTGAGCTCTTCTGTAAAAGATAAATAGACTTATATTTTTGGGACAATACCTGGTGTAGATACATTCTCTTTGGTTGATTATTTCCTCCATCTCCATGAACCCTTGCTGTTAATACAGACTTAACTCTTTTCAGACACTGGCTGAAGCAAACATGTTCTCTTTGTACATCTGCTTTCATAGAGACCTTGTCGTAAGACTGCTTTAATCTTCTCTTTATTTCATTATTACTTCAATCTGCTTGCGCTCTGCTTCCAATACAGACTAACCTCTATTAGACACTGCGTGGAGTAGTCGTGTTCTCTTTGTTTTAATATTTTTTCCATTTAATTATGCTTCTGCTTCAAAAAGAGGCTTCTTCTGTCTGACACTGTTGTAAACATATTTTCCTTGTTTCTTCCCCCCCCCCCCCCCACCTCTATCTGTTTGTAACCCTACTGTCAATACAAACTTACCTCTGTCGGAAACTGCCAGGTGAAGACATGTTCTCTTTGTTTTACTATTTCGTCCGTCTGCTTGTGCCCCTGCTGCCAACAGTCTGTCCACTATTTCCACTGACTTAGATCTACAATGTTACAAGTTTTCATTAATATCAATTGTTGCTGATGTATGAAATACTCTGTTCATAAGTAGCGAAATATATTTAGTAAATGACTTTAATAATTTTAGGCTAAAATATTGGGACAGGGACAGGGTGTCATTTTATTTCTGACATTGAATTAACAGTTGTCTCCCAATAAAATAAAAAATTGCAAATACAAATACAAGGATTAGATTGATATGCATTTAATTTTTATTGTAACAACTTGTAGATTTTCCCTTGATGAGGTGGTTTTTTAAGAACTAATAATCTAATTTCTATGACCTTCAAGCTTAAGTTGAAAGTTTTCACTTCTGTAATTTTTGTATTTTTTAAAACAGAAAGGAATTTTTTTTTGAAACTCCCATTGTATTACAGCTATAATTACGGCACACCTCTCATAAAACTATTCAGTTCTATGGTTATTTGGAAAAATCTTATAGTAACAATTTAAACTACATAAAATTCATGAGATTTTTTTTAAACTTAACAAACTGTTTAGTAAAGGGATTTGTACTCACTTTGTAGCAGAGTGTAAGACTGGGGCTTCTACTATCTTATCCTCTGCACCTTTTTCCACAATATAGGTCACATTAGGGTTGGCTTTAGCTTGTAACTGTAATGAGATCATTTTTTTTTAAAACTGAAAGCGCACAATATAAAGATTTTTATTTTTAAGCATGTTGTTTACATAAAAGATTATTTTGCATGTTGAAGTTGAATGAAATTAAAATGTTAATACAGAGATATGTCTCACTTTTTTTTCTACAGCAACACAGCTATAATATAATTTTTAAATGATTTGCATATCTACAAATACTTGAATGTGATTGGTCTGTTTGAATTTGTTTCCTCGGTTTACACTTCAATAGACCATGTTACCGAAACTACTTTTGTAACATATCAACTGCTCCCTCCATTTCACTGTGATATATTCATGTGCATTATCTCAGAGTTCCCAGAAAGCTGACATTCAAAGAAAAAAATACCAAATGTTTGATTGAGAATTAAAAGGATTAAACATAAATTTTTTTCTAGAGATTATTGATGTGTTAACTTGGCCGCTTACTCACAAACTATACATAAACGTCATTGAACTTTTACTTAGTTTGCGAGTTAATCGGCCCAGTTTACACATCAATAACCTCTAGAAAAAAGTGTTTAATCCTATAATAAACTGCCAGATTACTGCATGTATATTGGGAGTGAATATCCCTTTTAAGTATTTCTGAAGCTAACCTTCAAAACTGTCTTATCCTGAAATGGAATTCACAAGAAAACTTCTAATTAAGATTATTACCTTCTTGAGTGCTTTGCATTTTGAAATATTGTATACAGTGTTCTCCCCAGGCCGATATGACGCTGCGGTGCCGCAGCGCCTTCATAATATTTTTGTAGATCCCGCAGCGTCTTAATTGACCGCTGTCCCTTAATACTTGATCCCGCAGCGTGTTAATTTTCACATTTGCATTATAAATGTTGGTTAAAATTGTCAAGTTACTGATCACCGCTGATGGGTCGGTCAGTGTTACGCAATAACTGATAATTAGTTTTACCTGAGCCACGCTTATCTCAGCCTTATCGGACTATGTTATCAGGTAATAGCGTAAATGATCATCAAGAAGATAGATATTTTTTGAAGAAAATTAAAAATTTTAAAAACTTCAGTGCAGAAATTGAAGAAATAGATCGCAAATACATTGTATTTACGCATCGTGTGTGTGATCACTTGACCATTTATATAACGAATTTTTTCATTGGTCTAGAAGAAGAATCTATTTTAACACGACCAATGAACGTGTTGAATACACATGATAAATTTGAATACACATTGCTAAAGATATTTACGATGAAAACTATGAATGAAAGTATTAGTAGTTGAAAAAATTAAAATAAAGTTTGATTAAAGATAACGAGGAGTGATTTACTTTAATAGAAATTGAAATAAAATGCTCCGCAGGGCGCAGCTTGATACGACCGCAGAGGTCGAACCCTGAACAGTTGGGGCAAGTATGGACACAACATTCAAGCTTGATACAGCTTTGGATTTGGATTGTGATTAAATATTTGACACAGCATAGGTTTCTAACACAGATTGAATGTGGTCTAAGAACTTAAAAATTTTAAATTGGACATTCACCTATTATGGTCCAATATCCAAAATCTAAATACATGGTTAGATTCAGCATATCAAAGAACCCCAAGAATTCAATTTTTGATGAAATCAAACAAAGTTTAATTTTGGACCCTTTTGACCTCAATGTGGACAAAGTTGATAACGGGGCCCAAAAATCAAAAATCTAAATACATTGTTAGATTCAGCATATCAAAGAACCCCATATATTCAATTTTTGTTGAAATCAAACAAAGTTTAATTTTGGACCCCGATTTGGACCAAGTTGAAAACTGGGCCCATAATCAAAAATCTAAATACATGTTTAGATTCAGCATATCAAAGAACCCTAAGAATTCAATTTTTGTTAAAATCAAAATAAGTTTAATTTTGGACCCTTTGGACCTTAATGTAGACCAATTTGAAAACGGAACCAAAAATTAAGAATCTAAATACACGGTTAGATTCGGCATATCAAAGAACCCCAATAATTCAATTTTTGATGAAATCAAACAAAGTTTAATTTTGGACCCCGATTTGGACCAACTTGAAAACTGGGCCCATAATCAAAAATCTAAATACATGTTTAGATTCAGCATATCAAAGAACCCTAAGAATTCAATTTTTGTTAAGATCAAACTAAGTTTAATTTTGGACCCTTTGGACCTTAATGTAGACCAATTTGAAAACGGAACCAAAATTTAAGAATCTAAATACACAGTTAGATTCGGCATATCAAAGAACCCCAATAATTCAATTTTTGATGAAATCAAACAAAGTTTAATTTTGGACCCTTTGGACCTCAATGTGGACCAATTTAAAAACGGGGCCCAAAATCCAAAAACTAAATACACGGTTAGATTCAGCATATTAAAGAACCCCATGAAATCAAGAATAAAACCCCATTGAAATTGGTCAAGAAATAAGCAATTTATAGGAAGTATCTTCTTTTGCACAATCCTGTGCTATTAAATATTTCTTGCTATTGCGCAATACTGTACAATTGACAATTTCTTGCTATTGCGCAATATTGTGCTATTGGATATTTCTTGCTATTGCGCAATACTGTGCAATTGAAGATTTCTTGCTATTGCGCAATACTGTGCAATTGAAGATTTCTTGCTATTGTGCAATACTGTGCAATTGAAAATTTCTTGCTATTGCACAATACTTATTATATAATAATTTACACATCCTGTTTGGTGTGTATCTCCTACCATATCATTAATATTTGATTTTAAATATAAATCAGAAATAACCAACTTAAAATGGAAAATTTTAAAAGAAACAAAAAAGGAAAAAAAGAAAAAAAAGGAAAAAAAAATAAATCCCCCCCCAAAATTTTTTGAACCCCCATTATGATTCATCACCCCCAAACTCAATCCCAGCCTTCCCTTTGTGGTATGGTACCTTGCAGTACAATTTCAGAGAGATCCATACACTTGAACACAAGTTATTGTCTGGAAACTAGAAAAAAATGTGTTTTTTGGCCCCTTTTTGGCCCCAAATTCCTAAATGTTTAGGGCAATTACCCCCAAACTCAAACCCAGCTTTCCCTTTGTGATATGGAACCTTGTAGTACAATTTCAGAAAGATCCATACACTTACACACAAGTTATTGTCATGAAACTAGAAAAATGCTTGTTTTTTGCCCCTTTTTTGGCCCCTAATTCCTAAAATTTGGAGGCAATTACCCCCAAAATCAATCCCAGCATTCCTTTAGTGATATGGAACCTTGTGGTACAATGTCAGAGAGATCCATACACTAACACACAAGTTATGTCTGGAAGTTACAAAAATGCTTATTTTTGGCCCCTTTTTGGCCCCTAATTCCTTTACTATTATTACCATAACCCCCAAAATCAATCCCAACCTTCCTTTTGTGGTATTGAACCTTGTGGTAAAATTTCATAAAGATCCATTCACTTAAACTAAAGTTAGAGTGCGAAAACCAATGTGTCTTCGGACGACGCCGGACGACGACGACGACGCCGGACGAAGACGACGCCAACGTCATACCAATATACGACCACAAAATTTTTTTTGCGGTCATATAAAAATGTTGCTTGCAAGGTAAATTCGTCTGAAACTGTCATATTTGTAGAAATAAAATGATCATTGAACATCGATCGTGAATCCGTGCGTCGGGAAATATGTGACAATCAACACGGGTACAGAATCGCCGCAGCTTCTGTATAATGTCACTGGTAAATAATTTCAATGGTTTTAACTTAAACGAATTTGTAAAGTTTCGTTTATATCTATCTGCCAAAGATAGGATTAAACAATAATACGCACAGAAGCGTAATGTGAAACTACGGAAACTTGTCAGCTGTTCATTTATAAAAAAAAATAGTTTTAAAAAGTTGTATACCAAATATCTTAACCATATTCGATTTTATTAATTCTGAATGAACATGTTCTCTGCAAATAACAAAGGGGTGAATTATAAGCAAAAGGTAGATGATGGAAGTAGACGTTTTTTTTCACACCAATGACTTCTAATGAAAAGGGGAATACACCTCTGTCTACACTGTCAGTATAAGCAGATTTCATTGCTTCTCCTAATCCCAACCAAGCTCAAGTTTTAGCAATTGATAAAAGCAAGCACCATGTTTCTGGTTTCAATGACAAGTGGCTGCATGACTGAGTTTCCATGGCTTAGAAATGTTAAAGGGGGTATAAGCAAAAGTTATTGTGAGTGGGGGTTTAATTTTTAACCCTGAAGAGGATAAAGACAAAGTTAAGGAACAGACTGTCCAACAAAATAACACTATCTTGAAACAATATCCCTAGAAGGAGCAGAGAGTAGAGATGAATATTTATATTTTGACTTCTTTAATTGACTGAATATAAATAACTTTTGTGTTTAAAATCAATTTATTTCATATATATATCCTTGTAATTCATTAATACTCTGCATTATTAAACACATAACGCAAAGCATTATAATTCATATTGCATGTCATAATTTATGACTTATTGCTTCAGATCACAAACGTTCACTCTAAAAAAAGAGTTACGCGCCCTTGAATTTTGCGCCTTAAAAAAATCCTGGGGAGAACACTGGTATAGAAACGTCTTTTGTTGATTACCTTGGTGTTTTTTGTTTTTTACGTATTGTCAGTTTACTGTCTCACTAACACATATCTCTTTTGAACATTGATTATGAGAGGAAGTATCTTTAATCTTATAACCATAAAGATTCCAAATGAGTTTCTTCTTGCATAAAAATATAAAGTATTCATATTCTCATATTTAAGATATAGATAATGAATCTGTCTTACCAGAATTTCTACAGAACAAAGGCTGTTCACTTTAACAGCTAAAGACAAGGGTGTATCTCCTGATAAATTCTTTACTTCTAAGTCTGGTTTGTAACTCAGTATCAAGTTTAATCCACTGCATCCTTCTTCTTTATTGTCGGAACATGCTTTCACCATGAAGTGGACAGCTGAACATTTGCCTGTGTATTACAATCAGCATAATTAATTTCTTGCTAAGCGTTGTTTTTACATTTTCTTTTAGTTACACAATATAACCCATACTTGGATATTTCAATGAGTTGCATTTAATTTCCTTTTGTGACAGCATTTGGTGTTTTAAAAAGCAAATGAAAAAATATAATATAGAGATATGTCTCACCTATTTGAAACAAAACTGAATGAGATCCTTTAGGATGTCAAGATAAATGTGGTATGGTACTACACTTACCATTAGATGCATATTTTTGTGATTCATTTTCTGGTTCCAGACCTTCAAAATATTTCTTCTGAACAGTCTGTGATGGATTTGCTCCTGAGAGATTTAAAACAGCCTTTATAAAGTCCCTGCCATTCTTCAAAGCTGCTTGAAATTCTTCATTGTCCGTTTTATCCTTCTTCAATGAAAAGCAAAATATTTACTCCATTATCAAATATCTTCAAATTGAGGATTTTAATGCTGATCTTTTTCTTTTACATTTAAAAATAATGGAAAAGACTGTTGTTGGTTTGTAGTCTCATTGAAGTATAACAATATAATCAATAAAGAAACCCTTAAATAAAAGTTGAATGAAATATTTATTTTATCAAATGTTCAGTGGCAAATATTTCATGTATGGCCAGAAACTGCTCCTTGAATCAAAAAAGGATAGAGGACAGGAATTTTGGAGTAACTCAGATCCAATGGTCTGTTGGTAAAAATGCTGACATATTTCTTTTACAATAGATTTCTAAGACAACACAATTATGTTATTGTTAAATTTGAGCTTTGTTTTTTCACCATTTAACTACTGATGCTTTGACCTTTTTACCTCCATTCTGTCTATGTATAGCATGTTATTCTTTTGAACAGATATGAAAACAATGGCGAGGTAAACATACAACTAATAACTGACACACAGTCATGCTCACTTGTTCATCAGTTAATTTAGCAATAATTGTACCAAATTCTTTTCTAGAAACCTATCTTAAATCATCTTTACAATAGTTTTTCCTAATTCTTAAACAACATGCTTATAGAAAATAATTTGAACAATACCTTAAATATAGCATACTGTTCACAAGCAACTAGTAATGGAGTAAAACCATTATGGTTGACATCTGACGCCATCAGTTTCATATATTCTGGTCGTGCTTTAGACATTTCTTTCTTTAGGGAAGGTTTTGGAACATTATTTTCTGGTGCTCTCAAGTCTAAAGCTTTATCATTGTCACCATCAACCTCCATCTTTTCTGTCAGACCATTCTCTTTTATTTCTACAGGTACGTTCTGCAAACAATTTCAGTCAATTTAAATTGTTGAAACATGCTCTCTTTTTAGATAGAACTAACTTTGCCATGTAAATTGTTTTAAGTCTGACTGATAGCCAATGGCTTTGAAATGCTATTTTCCTTCATATTTCCAAAACATTTTTACCTTTGAAAGCAGAATAGTAAACATTTTTTTTTTAATTTTAAAACATTTTCATTCTGCATTGTATTCAATCTTTATTTTTAGAATAATCATAAAATATCAATTTATTATGTGTTTATTGAAATTTCTGAACTTAATGTGTTTAAGTACATGTACATGTAACTATGGAAAACTATTATTATATTCATATCATTTTAATAATGAAAAGTTGTTTTATATTGAATATATAGTAATATTTTATTTGTTCACTTCACTTTTGACTTTGCACTATAGGATTTGTATTAATTTGGATTTATTGAAATGCAAAAAGCAATTAGTTTTCAATGTCAGTATGAGAAAGATCTCTAATAAATGTATTAAACTGTGATAAGCTGACACTTTTAATCCTGAACATCATCTTGATTACAGCAGATCAATTTTTGTAATCTTTATCATTCATAAGAATAAGTAATGATCTGGATGGCTTCGCAACCCAAGTCAGATCTATATATTATTATTTCACTATTTTTCATACCTCTGTATTGAGGGTTTTGACCAATGTAGCCATATCATTTTTCATACACATCTTAGCTAACAGATGAAGTGGGTTGTCTCCCTGTTGATTCTTCTCTGCTGATATAGCTCCTCCTTTCTCCACCAAATATGTTATTAATCTGATATTTGCCTGCAAAATAGTGAATTAATATTAAGTCATGATTATTTGTAAAATAAAAAATGGTTGAATACAAGAAATTATGTATCTATAATGTAGTTATTTATATCCTTGAACCTTATTAATATTGATGCAGCAGCTTGCATTTATATAGTGGTGTCAAAGTTGTGCTGACAGCATTTATCTCCACAAAAAACTAAATCCAAAATCTGAATGAATAATCATATTTAAATTTTTTAGCAGAATGCTTTGTGGGTAATTTTTTTGCTCAATGAAACTGTAAAAAATATCTTGTTTTTTTGTTAACACAAAATTTGAACAGAAAAGTAAAATTTAGCAGACTGTAGGATATATGATTTTGGTAACAAGTTTAAAAATTTTGAAAAAACTAACTGATCATGAAAGTACTTTCCAGATCAAACTGGTTGAGGACATTCTGACAGATGGAGACAATACCAGATAGGTCAAAATACATTGTTAGGCCACACAGATTAGTGGCATACAAAATAACAGTGTATCATGCCTTCTTATTTTAAATTCACAATTACAATAAACTTCAGATAAAATTGAAGCATACTTTGGGGTTACATGAGATGGGATACTTATCAAAATGTCTTAGCTACCTGTACTATGGCTAGAGTGATAGCAGTCTGTCTATTGTCTGTTTTATGGGTAGGTTGACATCCAGCTTCAATTAATAATTGTGCTATTTTTACTGTCAGATCCATTTTATCATTCACCATTTTCTGCACCTCCTAAAAATGTAAACACATATAGCATCAAATCAGTTAAGTTCCAAAATAAAAGAGGCAACTGTTTCTTATTTAATATCAACTATCTGTATAGTTTTTATAAATTTTTTGTTAGAATTGTTGCAAAAGTAAAATCAGATATTTTGAAGGTGTTTAATCAGAAGCAAATAATATGGCTCTGTAGAAAACATGCACGAGGATACCCTATTGTGTCATAACTTCAAATAACTGTTAAAAGTCCCAGAACTCTGGATAACAGGGCTTTCAAAAAATATTTGAGCCAGCAGGACATTTTTTTCTAATCCTGATTATAATCCGTAAATATCTTAAATAACAAAAAGCAATCTTGGTAATCGGTTGGGCATCATAACAATGAGTGACATAAAAACAATATCAAACTTCTGACTTCTGATATAATTTGAATGTTCTGACGTAAACTGTTACATCGACAGTGCATCATTCAAAGTGTGCAACATCAGCGTACTAACATCTGCCTTAAGACTCTTTATTAATGCAAAATTCCGCTGTAAAAAAATTTGACTTTTATTCATCTGACTGTCGAAGTCCCATGCCTCTGGAATGAAATATCAGAATTTTTTTGAATCAAACATTATATTTAATTAAACAATTCCAATAATTATGTACAGTTCCAGTAAATCTTTCCAAGCAAACTGAAGTTATGGTACATGTGAAAAATTTACTTATCATAACTTTTTTTAGATTTAGAAAAAAAGTATTTTTTCTATCATTCACTTTTTAAGACCCAAACCACCCATAATATAAAATTTTCATTTTATTTATAATTCTAACAAAATTCTTAAGAAAATGCAACCACCCATAATTTATTAATTTGAGTGCCTCCCATCCCCCAATGCGTTTAAATCTGGAACAGCCCTTAAGGAAATTCAATATAAAGTCCTGTAGTTACATACCTCTTTAGAACCATGCCCACCAGATACTTTATTTGCTGCCAAATGATGCAACTGGAAAAAAGTAATTCATTATCAATACAAAATAATACTTTATTAGCAAGAATGCATTTTAGATTTATATCTACCTTATTTATCTATGTCAAGTGATATTTGTTGGTTTTATAGATTTTTTTTCTTATTCTGTATGTAAAAAACCTTTCTTTTCAGTTACCATGTTAGCAAAAGTTAGTCAGAAATTTTGTGATTCCAAAATACATAAATGTGCTTTGAATTGAATTGGTGAAAATAAGGCTGTGTACGGTGACCTCTAATTGCTTACTTCCACATCGTTTGAACTCTGGTGGATGGTTGTCCAATTGGCAATCATACCACATCTCCTTATTCTTATATTGAATGTTTTCATTGAAATATTGTTATTCTTATAATACATAAAGTATTGTTCATTTCATTTTATTCTGTTAATGTCAATTGCAATTGTGTAACACATGTAGGTTAATGTGTTGAATGTTATGTACATACAATCATTGCAGCAGGCAGAAATATTTTGTTTGAAATGGATTATGAATGTGCTCAGTATTTTTATTGATTGAATTGTAAGTCAGTTAAATAATAAAGGGGCATAACTCTAGAACAGTAAAAGTGATGCCACCAATATTCAAACTTGATCTGTGTTTTGTGGTAATAAGCATTGTGTATAAGATTTTTAAAGTTTGGTTGAGGCAAACTTAAGTTAAGAGAATGGAAACAAAAAATTCAGCAATTTTTCCATTTGTAAAGGGACATAACTTTAGAAAGGTAAAAGTGACGACACCCAAATTCAAACTTGATCTGTGTTTTGTGGTAATAAGCATTGTGTATATGTTTCATAACATTTGGTTGAGGCAAACTAAAGTTAGAGAACGGAAATCAAGTAAAAGACATCACAAAAGTTCCTCAAAATTTGACAAAACTATGTTTATGCATCAATAATAAGCTCACAGCATTAAAGCCATTAACATCAGTGATTGTGGGATCCCCTCCTTTCTTTAACAGATAAACAACTTGATCCTCTAAACCTTTCTGTAAAGCACTACTACAGGCTATACTCAGTAATGTCATTCCTGTAAATATTATTATAAATAATGAAATCAAAGACATAAAATAATGAAATTCATAACTATCCTTCAGACATAGTGAAAAATCTAGTACAGAAGCTGTTAAATGCTACATCTAAGAAAACTTGAATTTGATAAACATATTTTCTTCTAAAAATATTCAGTGAGAAAAATATATTTACTGTTGATGCCCCTAGGTCCTTGTAACAGATCTTTTTAATATATTTTTTCTTTAACAAGATAGCTGATTTGACATATTAAAATTCCTGCATAATACTAGTGATACATCAATGAAGTCAACAAAGTCACTGGCAGCAAATAGATAAACACAAATCATTCTTATTATTAAAGGGATCAACGTCTTTATGATTGGGTTTATACATGTCAATAAAAAAGGATTATACAAAGTAATTATAATTTAATTTAGTTACCTGTATCATTTTTAAAATTTATATCAACACCAGGCATCTTCAACAGAAAGTCTACCAATCCCATGTGACCTTTCATAAAGGCAACACCCACTGGGGTCAACTAGATATAATTATACAATTATATAAAATCTTTAAATGTCACTTAAATTTATCATTTCTATTAAAATTATATGCATAAGAGTTCTACATTTCTATCTTAGCAAATTAAACAAGATATATATTTTTCACTTACTGCTAAGCTGAATTAGATATTGTGATTTGGTTTTTTGTTTGTTTTGTTTACATTAAACGCTTTACATTAACTTGACATACAACATTGACAACTTGTCTTTTAAGATCAATTACAGCCTATTTCAATGAGTGTGTAGCTATAGGTAATATCTTTGGTTAGCTTGCTTGCTAGCTGAACCGTGAAGTCATTGTTAGGTAATGAATACTTCCCTCTGTTTGAAGTAGCCTAGTCCTATAGGCAGATAGATTGGTTATCTGTCGGACTAGTCTACTCTTAAAGGAGGGTAGTTTACCTAGCAAGCAAGCTAACCATATGATGATAATCTCATTATGCCTTTTTTTGTAGTTCTATATATTATTGGGAAACTGTCTCAGTGACATATACCACCATATTGTAAGGATCTTAATACAATGAGGCTACTAGTGAAGTTCAAAGAACTAAATATAAATTGTGATACTTTAACATGCACTGCAATGCATCCACGATACTTTTCTGTGGTGTTGTAGTTTTGAATTTGTTGAAAGTCTACAAAGCCATTCATTACAGTGAAAATTGTAAAATGAAAGAAGATTGTGTCCGAGGACATGAATGCTCCCTCCAAAGCTTGCTTATAATATGTAAAAATACTTTTGGACGGATGGAAGGATGGACAGTCAAGGGTAACACTTTAATGCCCCCTTGGCCTAGCTGCGGGGGCATAAAAATATGCAGGTCATACCATATTATATTATCTAATATTAACCTACAAAATTTTCTAATTTCAATTCTTTCTACTCCCTAATGTAATTTTTTAATTAAGACAATTACCTTCCAATCATTTGCTATTTTAGGATCAGCACCACCTTCATTGACCAGTAACTTAAGAACAAAGTACCATCCATAGGCTGCAGCATAATGTACCAGTGTGTTACCAGAACTATCAGCATGGTTAGGGTCAGACCCAAGGTATAACAAGTAGGAGGCTACTGTAACACTACCATTCATTACTGCATGTGTTAAAGCTGTTCTCTTGTATTTATCTGGTTATACAAATGAAAGATAATATAATGGAGGAAGATGTCAAAATATGCTTATCATACAGTATGTTTAAGGTGAATTTTTATGTTACAGATGTTAAAGCCATTTAAGCTTTGACTGTAAGTGTTAAGTTTAACATTTAACATTTAACGAAAGGACTACATACGGATCAGACAAATATGAGCAGGTCATTAAAAATATCCACAAATTTTAATTACAGGACGTTAAAATTTCTGCAAATTCTATCAGTCACACTTATCTGTTAAACTGCTATCAAGAATTCCAACTCTTATGAAATATTAGCACTTATATATTTTATAATGTTTTGACAGTAAATCAAGTTTTCACAACCACATTGTGACAACCAAAAATCAATATACAATGTAAGTTCTCACCTAATTGTTCAATTACAGCACCATTTTGAACTAATAATCGAACCATTTCCAGATTGCCTTTACTGGCTGCTATCATTAATGGTGATAGTTTGTTTTTACTTGCTGATAAAGGTTTGTTAACATCAACTCCGTGCTTTAGAAGTATTTTCAAAAGTTCCTGAAAAAAACAGTGGTCATATGTAAAATGAAATGATTTACCAATAGGGCTAGACAATTTAGCTCTGCATATGATACAACATTCTATGTTAAAACACTGATACTTTTAAAAACCACTCTCACCTTTTTTATGAAGTGGTCAGATACAAGGGCTGACTTTCTTTTTTTTTTGTTCAAATCAATGTGTTTTTGAAGTCAGTAACAGATGAGGAAATTTTCAATCAATTTGTTGCAACCAATTTTTTTTCCTTCAACACGAGAACAAAACCAAAAAGCAAGATCTTAATGTTGTCTTTCACAACGTAATATATTTATTTCAGATAGAAGGTTTTAAAATTTTATTTTAGGATATAATAAAATGCTTCGCTGGGCGCAGCTTGATACGACCGCAGAGGTCGAACCCTGAACAGTTGGGGCAAGTATGGACACAACATTCAAGCTTGATACAGCTCTGAATTTGGATTGTGATTAAATATTTGACACAGCATAGGTTTCTGACACAGAAAGAATGTGGTCTAAGAACTTCAATTTTTTTAATTTACCTATTATGGTCCAATGTCCAAAATCAAAATACATGGTTAGATTCAGCATATCAAAGAACCCCATATATTCAATTTTTGTTGAAATCAAACAAAGTTTAATTTTGGACCCCAACTTGGACAAACTTGAAAACTGGTCCCATAATCAAAAATCTAAACACATGTTTAGATTCAGCATATCAAAGTACCCGAAGAATTCAATTTTTGTTAAAATCAAACTAAGTTTAATTTTGGACCCTTTGGACCTTAATGTAGACAAATTTAAAAAACGGGTACCTAAATTAAAAATCTAAAAACACAGTTAGATTTGGCATATCAAAGAACCCCAATAATTCAATTTTTGATGAAATCAAACAAAGTTTAATTTTGGACCCTTTTGACCTCAATATGAACCAATTTGATAGCGGGCCCACAAATAAAAAATCTAAATACATGGTAAGATTCAGCATATCAAAGAACCCCATATATTCAATTTTTGTTGAAATCAAACAAAGTTTAATTTTGGACCCCAATTTGGACCAACTTGAAAACTGGGCCAAAAATCAAAAATCTAAATACATGTTTAGATTCAGCATATCAAAGAACCCCATATATTCAATTTTTGTTGAAATCAAACAAAGTTTAATTTTGGACCCCAACTTGGACCAACTTGAAAACTGGGCCCATAATCAAAAATCTAAACACATGTTTAGATTCAGCATATCAAAGAACCCTAAGAATTCAATTTTTGTTAAAATCAAACTAAGTTTAATTTTGGACCCTTTGGACCTTAATGTAGACAAATTTAAAAAACGGGACCCAAAATTAAAAATCTAAATACACGGTTAGATTCGGCATATCAAAGAACCCCAATAATTTAATTTTTGATGAAATCAAACAAAGTTTAATTTTGGACCCTTTGGACCTCAATGTGGACCAATTTAAAAACGGGGCCCAAAATCCAAAAACTTAATACACGGTTAGATTCAGCATATTAAAGAACCCCAAGAATTCAAGAATAAAACCCCATTGAAATTGATCAAGAAATAAGCAATTTATACGAAGTATCTTCTTTTGCACAATACTGTGCAATTGAATATTTCTTGCTATTGCGCAATACTGTACAATTGACAATTTCTTGCTATTGCGCAATATTGTGCTATTGGATATTTCTTGCTATTGCGCAATACTGTTAAATTGAAGATTTCTTGCTATTGCGCAATACTGTGCAATTGAAGATTTCTTGCTATTGTGCAATACTGTGCAATTGAAAATTTCTTGCTATTGCACAATACTTATATAATAATTTACACATCCTGTTTGGTGTGTATCTCCTACCATATCATTATCATTTGCTTTTAAATATAAATCAGAAATAACCAACTTAAAATGGAAAATTTTAAAAGAAAAAAAAAAGGAAAAAAAGAAAAAAAAAAAAAAAAAAAATCCCCCCCCCCCAATTTTTTGAACCCCCTTATGATTCATCACCCCCAAACTCAATCCCAGCCTTCCCTTTGTGGTATGGTACCTTGCAGTACAATTTCAGAGAGATCCATACACTTGAACACAAGTTATTGTCTGGAAACTAGAAAAATGCTTAGTTTTGGCCCCTTTTTGGCCCCTTTTTGGCCCCCAATTCCTAAAATTTTGAGGCAATTACCCCCAAACTCAATTCCAGCTTTCCCTTTGTGATATGGAACCTTGTAGTACAATTTCAGAAATATCCAAACACTTACACACAAGTTATTGTCATGAAACTAGAAAAATGCTTGTTTTTTGCCCCTTTTTTGGCCCCTAATTCCTAAAATTTTGAGGCAATTACCCCCAAAATCAATTACAGCCTTCCCTTTGTGATATGGAACCTTGTGGTACAATGTCAGAGAGATCCATACACTTACACACAAGTTATTGTCTGAAAGTTACAAAAATGCTTATTTTTGGCCCCTTTTTGGCCCCTAATTCCTTAACTGTTGGTACCATAACCCCCAAAATCAATCCCAACCTTCCTTTTGTGGTATTGAACCTTATGGTGAAATTTCATGGAGATCCATTCACTTAAACTAAAGTTAGAGTGCGAAAACCAATGTGTCTTCGGACGACGCCGGACGACGACGACGACGACGACAACGACGACGACGACGACGACGACGACGCCAACGTCATACCAATATACGACCAAAAAATTTTTAATTTTTGCGGTCGTATAAAAATAAATCAAATTAACTCTTTATCTACCACTGACAGATATATATGCGGTTTTTATCATCGTTCTGTCCGCAGTGACTGATAAATCCGCTTGCATAATCAAGCATGTATTCGCAGTGAATATTTCCGTAAAATATACCACTGTTAAAACCCTTTAGATTGGACAAAACTGTTGGGGAATCCCGAAATGAACCAATGAAATTCGGTTATACAAATGAATAATCTTTCAACTCGTACATTCCTTTTTATATAAAAAGTGTGTGTTTACATTTAATTATGATGAATTTTACACGTGTTCAGAATGCGATTAAAACAATGGCGGATGAATGGGCTTCTTTGTTCAAATCGTATAGCGAAAGTGAAGAATTTGAAGGATTTATGCAATTAGAAAGCAAAATTGGAAGAATAGGAAGGGATAATTTAGCTTGTTAGAACAAGATTGCGAGTCTTCCGAGGATGAAGAAGCCAAACATGGACAAATAATTTGAAAACTTTTTACGTCCGATTATGGCAGCTTTCAAGCTTGATAATGAAAAGAAAGAAATTGATTTCGTATTTGTTTCATTTTTTATACAATAAATACTGATTAATTAAACATTTAATTAGAGTACTCATAACACACCCTTAACAATTTGTGAAAAATTCTCTCACTGCAAATTATCTCTGGTAGTTAACCTACAATTCAGCTGCAGTAGCTAACTAATCAGCAGTGTGTAGTAGTGAACTGTAAAGGTACCTGTGGTAGATAAGAAGTTAAAGAACATTTAGTGAGCAAGGGAACATACCCCACACCACCAAAACATCAGGATTTTTGACATTTATATTGTATTACACAAATTTTTTTTTTAGTTACTATGACCTTGACCTTAGAACAAGTAACTTGTCAAAAAATACGGAGGTTTTTCCTAATCCTCTTATATGTGACCTTATATTCAATTAAGGTTGCAATCCTATACTAGTGTGTATAATTTGATCTAGCATTCCCCTACTAGTATGTAGAAATTTGATTTAGTGTCTTGAAACCATTTTTTGGCACAAATTTTCTTTCTATTTCAAGTAAATATGACCTTGACCTTAGACACAGTGACCTCAAAATCAATAAGATTTTATGTGACCATACATTTAGGTATGATTGTAATCATATATGTAGTATTTGATTAAGTATCTGGAAACTCCTTTTCTGCACAAATTTTAGCCTATTTTATTCACTTTGACTTTGACCTTTGAAGAATTGACCTCAAAATCAATAGGACTCCTCTTCTCATTATATGTGACAATATATCTAGGTAAGATTGCAATCCTGTGTGTAGTATTTTATTACGCCTCCAGAAACCACTTTTTTGCACATATTTTGAGCTATTTTCAGTTAATTCAACCTTGACCTTTGACTTAGTGACCTCAAAATCAATAGGGATCTTCCTCTCATCATATGTGAACATATATTTAAGTACCGTAGATACTCGCTTAATAGTCGATCCTACTATAAGTCGGGGTCCCTTTTCAGCACCAAATTCTAAGGATTTAGTCTTGACCCTCGTATAAGTCGGACAAAATTTGGGCATTTTTTTTTTCAGCTGACAGTAACTGAACGCCGGTAAAACCAATGCAAATCCAGGAATAATATTCATTTCTGCATTAATGTTTGTTTGGTTTGAATTTAGTTGATGCTCATCATGATAATTTATATTGCTGTTAATAATAAAGATGTATTCATTTCTCTTGTTTTGTTCACTGTTCAAATGTCAGATTAGCCATGTGTTGTTTACGTAATGCATCAATGATTTTGTAGGGTATGACTAACAACCTATTGTTTGAGAAAAGCGAATATAAACCAATATGAACCTGAAAAATTTAAAGTCAATCAACACTTGATGAAAATATTTTTCACAGCATACATAACTCGGTGTTAAATGAGCATGAACACTTCATAATTCTTATTATATTGTGATGATTAAAGGATTAAAAAAATTAAGTGAAGCTAATCAATATATTAAAATAACTAACTCCAACTCATTAGTGTCATCTGTTTACCTATCACTGATAGTTTTCACACCTTTAGTGAATACAACTCTTTGTCTCTTAATTGGGGTTATCAATGGATTATATTGGCTTGTCAATCAATTTTGTAATTTTTGTTTACCTGAGACACTATAATGAATAATATTTTGATTTTGGGAATGAATCTTAAAATTATTTTTTGATTATTATATGATTTATAAGCATTGAATTGATATCATGATATCACAATAATGACACAATAACTCCGCTGAAAACATCCTTTCACATATTTGGTACATTGTTATCTCCTTTTCATTTTTGGTTCTTGGCTCTTCTTTTGGGTTTATGGGAAAACCATGTGACCATGAAAATCAATACACAAACCGGAAACGGTAGAATTTCAACACGAATTTGCAGAAAATGTTTACCAAAGAACAAATAAAACACAAAGACAGTATTGAAGTCATTTATTTTCAACAAAAACTTTTTATTTATTGATTTATGTAGGTTTGGCAATCAAAAACGTAGTTTTGACCAGGAAATTCACTCCTGACCACTTTTCTCAAGCTTGGATTTTTCCTCTGGTCGCTAGATCTCGTCTATTAGTCGCCCCCCCTCTCTGGATTATGAATTTTACTCCCAATTTTCCGACTAATAAGCGAGTAGGAACGGTAAGGTTGCATTAGGAAATAAAGTTTTTGAGTTATCATCCGGAAATGAAAATGACTGGACTGACTGACGAATGGACGGGTAAAAATCTATATACATGTACTCCTCCAGATACTTCTTACGGTGGGGTATAATGACTGGAGATTATTCAATAGTAAAATTTTGATAACTTTACATTTTACAGATTTTTTTATTATCCTATTTATTTATTTTTCCATAGAATTTTCATTATGGTCTAGTTGGTCGACTTGCCATGCTACGTTTGTTGAAGCATTATAATGAAATTTAATCACTCAAGACTTTCAGTTCTTTCATTAGATACTTAGTTTTTCCTCCTTTTTCTGTGTTTTAATATACTAACCACATCTCCTCCTTCTGCTGCTACATGGATTGGACAAATGGACTCCCAGTTAGGTCTGTTTATACCACCCACACCAAACTTTTCTGTAAAGACATCTCCAGCACCCCCTTTGTCTGTAAACAAATAAAAATATGATAAATCTGCTGTCATTCTATTTATTGATTGATTGATGCTCATTGGGAAATTTATGCATTTTCAGGATAACAGCATTATAATGAGTTATGATTATCAATTTTAAATTCTTTAAGTCAAAGGATCATACCCATGACCTCTTGTAATTGAGTTGAACATGCTACAAAGAATCCAAAGAGGTTATTACTGTGCTGGTTCTACTGTACATTGAAAGATTTCCATTTGAACCTCCTTTCCTGAAAGAATAAACAAACCAAAAAGATAAAAAGAGGGTTCAAAAGGATAATACATTTAAAAGGATGTTCTTGTACTTGGAATGTTTTACTTAGATATGTAAAACTGAATGCTGCTATTACTTTATAAATAACATAGACTTGAATGTTTATTAAAGCTGCATATAAACCCTGTCCTGAAAATGATATGATCTCATACTTTAAATACACACATATGGAGAGTGACTGATAGATACCTGTTTTTGCCCTCTTGAGAAGGACATCAGCATTTTCAGCCCTTCTGGCTGTACAAGCATAAAACAATGGTGTGCACTTTCTTCTGGTAACATCAAATGGACTAGCACCTCTGAAAAACAACATTGGAATTAAAACAATTATTTCTATGCATCATTAGTAACAAGCAAGAAGCACATTGAGAATTTTTTTTTGAATGTTTGTGTGGAAAATTATTTGTAAACAATAATACAAAACAGAGATGTATAACACTAAGTATTGAGTGGAATATATTTTGAGTGCACAAAAAGTAGAGTGTTTTAATGTCACATTAAGCAAAGACACAAAATATCTAAAAATTTTCATTTCACCAATGTCTGAAATTTATAAAATTTTCATTCCTTCATATGACATTATAAATCAAATGAACACACACTACATTTCATTTCATTGATTGATTGTATCTTATCAAAATTCAATGGCAGTTATTTCATTAATATTCAAAACAACACTTTATTTTATTGGTTATTCATTTGCAAATACAGTTAATCAATTAAGAACAAGATGTATGACAACACATGCATCTTGTTCTTAATTGATTAACTGTATTTGCAAATGAATAACCAATGCTAAGCTTACTCCAACTTGTTATTCAAAGTATCAGTTATCAGGAATTAGGTGTCTGACAGACTGGAAAAGCAACTCATCACTATCAAGCTGCTGACCAAATATGAAGTCATTGTGTTCGGTAGTGCTGAAGAAATGTTTGATGAAATTTCGTTTCAGATAATGAAAACTAAAAAGTATTGACTAACAGGAAGTGAGTGTCTGACAGATCTTACATTAGCTCACATGTTTCACCTAATCACTGTCAAGCTGCTGAACAAATAAGAAGTTTTTTCTGTTCAGAATTACTTGAGAAAAGTGTGACAGAAATATTTGTTGGATGAACAGACAGAAAAAATGACTGCAATATGAGTGGGTGTATAATAAAAACAACTCAACAGCTGTATGCCCTTTGTCTAAGTGACAGATAAAAGAAATTTTCTATACTACATTTAAATTTTACTTTTTAAGTAGGACTTCTAGTGGTCCTGTTCCTTGACAGGTTGCAGCATAGTGTATGGGTTTTCTCCCTTTCTTATCCTCCAGGTTAATATCTGGTTCTATAGATAGCAGCCTCTCTAGGTACTTCTTGTTTGGATTGATACAAGCACAGTGAAGTGGTGTCATCTACAAAAAAATATTATGAGAACTTGTATACTTGTGACATCATTTAATATTCAAACTATTCCAAGATTTCATACACTAGTCACATCAACTATAAAATTCAAAATACACTGAAAACTCTTACCCTAGTGGTGTCTACAAAATAGAAAATAATCTGAGAACTCATTTATACTTGAAAAATCATCTATACTATTCCAAACTATTCCAGAGATTGTTTCTGGTCTTTATTCTTGATAAAGATGTTATTCTATTGCTTGTTAACACTAGGAAACAGAACAAGTAATACTATATAGTTTTATTTCATTAATTAACTCAGTATCTTTTATTATGTTCATTTGAATTCAAAAAAAGACTTACCATAGACTGATCTCCTGGTTTCTTTCTGACAGAGTCTGCTCGTATGGTGGCTGGTAGATCTTCTGTTGTTTTTGTCAATACCTTCAAATCAAAACATAATTATCATGGAAACCATTAAACCCAATTGTACACAAAACTAGAGGCTCTAAAGAGTCTGTGTCACTCATCCGGGTCTATGTGCATACTGAACAAAGGACACTCTCCAACATTGTAGACGAGAATAGAATTCATGACAAAAATCTCTGTTTTGTTGATCTTGGATGCTGATAATTTAGACTGTTTAGTTTCTCTCTATCTTCTTTAGTTTTTGCTCAAAACACAAAAGAGAGTAAAAAAATCCTCATTTAAGGGGAATCACTCATATAAAGAGTGACAGTCTACTAATTATATCGGCAAAATTTGACTTGTCAGTAGATCTTGCCTTGCTGATCATTTTTGCAAAACGCAAAAAATAAAATGGTAACAATCGTCATTAAAGGGCAATAACTCCAATAAGGAGTCGTCAGACAATTTCCTCCATATTGTCTAAATCCTAGATATTGTCTTGCTGATCATTTTTGCTTATTTAAGTTTCTATCTATCTATTATAATTTTTAAGATATAAGGCAAAAACGCAAAATATTGGTTAAAATTGTCATCAAAGAGCAATAACTCTAATAAGGAGTCAACTGACGATTTCGACCATTGAATTTATTTGTAGAACTTGTTTTGCTGATCATTTTGCAATTTAAAGTTTCTCTCTATCTATTATAGTTTTCAAAGATAATAAGCAAAAATGAAAAAAAAATGGTAAAATTTGTCTTTTAAGGGCAATAACTCCTATAAGATGTCTCTGACAGTTTTGTCGTATATGCACAATTGGTAGAGCTCAACATTCTGAACATTATTGCCCTGTCAAATTTTCTTTATTTATAACGGTTTTCAAAATAATAGACAAAACTTGCATTTTACCCCTATGTTCTATTTTTAGCTATGTCAGCCATCTTGGTTGGCAGGCAGGGTCATCGGACATATTTTTAAAACTAGATACCCCAATTATGCCTGTGGCCAAGTTTGGATAAAGGAGTAGGTCCCGTAAGACCTCTTTTTGGCCCCAAAATATAGCAGTTTTACAAAATTGTTAAAATGTAAACTTTTAGCTATTTATTGGAAAGAAGAATACTTCTGTTACATAAATATGGGCTGTTTTTGACAATACAATGCACATGTATCGGGTACTAGCATCATTAAGTCATGCTAAATTACTGAAATCTTCACAATTTTAGCATTTGAGTTAATTTTTAGACAGTTTTCGTCTTAAATGGAAGAGGCCGCATTCGTGTTCATTCTTAATATTTAAATGTAAGTTGTACTTGAAGATAATACATATCATATATAAAGATCGAGGATGAACACGAATGCGGCCACTTTCATTTTTGACAAAAACCATCTGAAAAGTGACATATTATGGCATAATTGATAGATTTTTAATATTTAAGCCTGAATTTGAGCGTCTTTAGTGACTAAATCGGCCAAAATCTTTCAGATAAACTAATTAAATCTACTAAAGTAGACACTTGAGTGTTTAAAAAGTGTCCAAAATATTTCATCAGATGAACCTGAAATTTGAGGCCAAAATTGGCCCTTACCGGACCTACTCCTTTGGTCCAGTAGTTTCAGAGGAGAAGATTTTTGTAAAAGTTAACGACGACGGACGCCAAGTGATGAGAAAAGCTAACTTGGCCCTTCAGGCCAGGTGAGCTAAAAAAGTCATATGATCAGATACAATATTCAAATGCAGATTTTTTTTTCAAATGTTGCTTTTACAAGTAGTTTTAATAATGAATTCATCTACAACACTAGTACTGATAATACGAGTCCAGTCATAAATAATCCCTGCTATGCCTATATGATATGTACAAATGTCCCATGAAAGAACAGAAGTCACATTTCACAAGTTGGCATATAATCGATTGATTAATTGTTGTATGCTTAATGTTCAGTGGCTAATCTTTCATGCATATTCAGGACAAAAACAAGTTAACACTAATAACAACAAGGCAACATTTCTATTAGCATTTCAACTACTTACATCTATATGAAGAAAATTATATCCATGTCCATCTTTGTTCTCTTTAATGATAGCACCTGCTAATTCCAAATGGCCCCTCATAACAGCTAACTCTAAACTGTTCCTTAAGCTATTTTTCTGTCAAATTGAGAAAAAAATATGTTCACAGTATTATGATAAACTATTTAGTAATCAGATGATTCTTTATATAGATCATTTTAAGATTGAAATTGTACAGAGTATTGATCATTTTTATGTTATCAAATAATTAGTACTATATGATGTAATGCTTGTTTTTTGATAATTGGTATAACAGAAAATGTCATCAAAGCTATTTCAATGTAATGTATAAGTTTTTCCATAAAACTAAATTGATCAGCAGTATGTGAATTGAATCAGTTTCCATGAAAACATTTTCAATTTGTTTTTATTACTTCTCGATTGCAGAACAACTGTGTTAAGTTTACACAATAATATACCAGAAAAATTACTTTATTAGGCATATTTATGGAAACCACTCTTTACAATGGCTATAACAAATTTATCCAAATATAAGGCATAAAGCTTAAGCCATAAGCTGGTGTTAAATTGAAAAACTCATTCAGTTCAGACCAATTCTTTAAATATAACTAAAAGACTGACAATGTATTCCATTCATATTTCATGTTGGAATTGAAGTGACAATATTTAAGGAAACAAGAGTGTTAACAAGCTTTATGATTATTACCACACGGCCTTGTTGGTTGATTGGTAAGGTATTGATATATGCATCAATGGTTTCTTTCTTCACCCCTTTCAACATAGCTTGATCCAAAACCTCTAAATTATTAATATATTTTTCCTGAAAAAGTAAAAAAAAGCAATACATCAGTTTCAGTAAGAAATCTTTACAGCCGATTTCATTGAGTGTGTAGACAAATGTAATATCTTTGGTTAGCTTGCTTGTTGGCTGAACCATGAAGTCATTATTAGGTCAGGTTTACTACCCTCCTTTCTAAGTAGCCTAGTCCATTAGACAGATAGATTGGATATCTATATGACTAGTCTACTCTTAAAAGAGGGTAACTTACCTAACTTAATAATGACTTCACAGTTCAGCTAGCAAGCAAGCTAACCAAAGATATTACCTTTGCCTACACACTCAATGCAATCGGCTGTAACTGTACATAAAAGTAAAGATATGTTTAACCACTTTATATTTTACAAAATGTTAATTTTAATTAATAATGAAGTACAAAATATGTTGCCTAGATTTTTTTCAAACTAAAATTCCATTGTTCATAAACCCTACTTGTCAATCTTTTGGAAAAATACATAAAATCCAAAACATTTTAGAATCTTTTCATGCTCAAACATACTCCCACACTTACTTGGCTTATAAAAATAGATATTCTCTATAAAATAAAGAGCGAGCATAAAAACAACAGCACATCTGTATACAAAAGACAAAATAACATGGCAGGATAAAAGATACAATCAATATTAACCTAAAGTAGTTTAGAATAAAATGCTCCGCTGGGCACAGCTTGATACGACTGCAGAGGTCGAACCCTGAACAGTTGGGGCAAGTATGGACACCACATTCAAGCTTGATACAGCTCTGAATGTGGATTGTGATTAAATATTTGACACAGCATAGGTTTCTGACACAGAATGAATGTGGTCTAAGAACTTAAAATTTTTTAATTTACCTATTATGGTCCAATATCCAAAATCTAAATACATGGTTAGATTCAGCATATCAAAGAATACAAAGAATTCAATTTTTGATGAAATCAAACAAAGTTTAATTTTGGACCCTTTTGACCTCAATGTGGACCAATTTGATAACGGGGCCCAAAAATCAAACTACATGGTTAGATTCAGCATATCTAAAAACCCCATATATTCAATTTTTGATGGAATCAAACAAAGTTTAATTTTGGACCCCAACTTGAACCAACTTGAAAACTGGGCCCATAATCAAAAATCTAAACACATGTTTAGATTCAGCATATCAAAGAACCCCAAGAATTCAATTTTTGTTTAAATCAAACTAAGTTTAATTTTGGACCCTTTGGACCTTAATGTAGACCAATTTGAAAACTGGACCCAAAAATTAAAAATCTAAATACAAGGTCAGATTCGGCATAACAAATAAATAAATGTGGTCAAAGATTTTACAAATCTAATGCGCCATACTGTGCAATTAAAGATTACTTCTTGAAATTTTTCAATATTTGAAATTTGAAAAAAAAATATTTGAAGAATAATTCTTTTTAATTTCTGAAATCTGAAATGATAAAAAATTGTCCCCCCACAATTTCTTTTAACCCCCCCTCCCCTTTTCCCCCAAATATTTCTTTCCCTCAAGATATGGTCATAATCTCAATTCAAATTTCCAATGGAGTTAGCAACCATAATTACCCATTTAAATACCATAGTGCTAACTTAATCTATTTTATAATAGAATTTAAAATATGGTGTCAAATCTTTCATACAGATTTTTTTGTAAAAAAAAAAGATGCAACATTTGCAGATATTTTTACTGGTCTTCCTTTATAAATATGCATTTCTTTAAACATAGTTTAAAAGCAGTGTAAGGGAAGTAATCAAAACCTTGTATTTGGATTACCTCCCTTACACTGTTTTAAATTGTCTTAATTGTTCATTAACCATTACTTTATACATAATTTAAAAGCAGTGTAAGGGAGGTAATTCAAATGATGTAATTGATTTATCTCCCTTACACTGCTTTAAATTATGTTTTGTACTAGAGTATTTGTCCGTTAACCAGGACAACCTTGTTTTTCCCCCTTTTTTGCCCCGAATTCCTAAACGGTTTGAGCCATAACCTCCCAAAGCAAATCCTAACCATCCCTTTGTGGTATGGAAATGACTGACAATATTGCATAAAAAAATTAAAAAAGGCAAATATCTATGCATATGTAAACTTGATTTTCTGATGACGTGTTAAATGTGTTCAGATGACAAATATTTATTATTAAAGAGTCACTGCACTAATATAGAGAAAAAAGTCTGACACAGTATATCATATTATAATTTCAACCTCATATAATATAAGAGGAAGACTCATACAGGATCAATATTAACTATTTGGTTTGTCATTTTAATGCAAGGAATGTTGAATAACCCTTAAAATTAATAATGTGCGATGAATATCTTTTTACTACCGGTCCCCCATTTTATGACACCTTTATTAACTAATAACTTCAAATAACCACCAAAAGCTGACTGAGGATGAACACGACTGTAGGAAGACTCATAAAGGATCAATATAAACCATTTGGTTTATAATGTATTTTAAGGCATTGGTTAATAGACATTCTGTATTAATAGGTTTTTTTTGTATTAGACATGTATCAACGACCAGTTCTCAGTCACATGGAATTGTATTAACTGGACAATTTATAATGTATTTTAAGTCATTGGTTAATAAATCGAAATAAACAGTTATAGACCTTCTTTCTTTATTAGTTAATCTTATTATTAACATTTATAAGAAATAAACAATGAATTTAAATTATTTTTCAAAAAGGTATTCATTATATAACTTACTTTAGTAAAAGCAGCATTTCCTTCTCTGCTTCCTCTACTTGCTGTTAACTTTCTGATAAAAGTTACACCAAGAGATACAGGGTTATATCTAAAAATTACAAACAAGATATACAGTGAGTCAAAACTAACAAATATATATCCCTACACAAAATTGTAATTGAAAGCAAACAAATTTATTGAGGAAAACTTGCTAAAGAGTCGCATAATTTTTTATGTGGTTGTATTTATCACCTACATACACAGTACTCTGACAGTGGGGTATCTAAATAGGACAAACAAGTTTAGTAATTGTACTAAAAGTCCCTAACATGTCTGGAAAAGTGTGTCTGGGACGATCTAAACCAAGATATTATATTTTGTAAGATGAAAAGTCTTCTTGTGAACATTAGCTTGGCATGTAAATATATTATACACCTTACCAGCAAAGTAAGTACTTTACAGTTAATAAGGGGACGAAGTCCCCTATAACAGTAGAAAAATCAATAACAAAAATTTTTTTAAAAAAATCGGGAAAATTTCCCGAAATTTTCATTGTAATAATGAACTCAAAATCGTTAACTTTTTTTTTGTAACTTTTTTTAATATCCGCATTTGCGCAGAAATCTACTTCCTTCTTCCAGTCTCGTTTGTCATGAGACTGAGTGAAATATATATTTATCAGTCCAGTAAAATATAGGAAGGAACACAATAACAATTTCAATTCTTTGATATGAAAAAATGTTACCTGATGATAGCGTTTCTTTGTTTACATTGAATATGACGTCATAACTAAAATAACGTCACAACTAAAATCCCTAACAAAAACAACAGAACCAAAATCGGAAACATTACGCTATTTTCCGTTTCTTTTTTAACAGATTTAGAACTTAATATATGTTTGAATTAAAAAAAAAAATTTATATAGACTTCGTCCCCTTTCACAGGTAATGCCTGCCTCATATTAATGGTTTCACTTCTTTCACTACTATTTTGGCTAAAATCTTTACAGTTCTTATGTATTTAAAAACATGATTAATGTGTATCTTATGTTTCATTGAAACTCATTTTGTAAAATTGGTAGCATTGTATCCAGTCGTTGATAGCATTATTTTTAGCTTTAACAACTTACGATCCTGTGCCAAGTGCCTCTAAAAGAACAGGTGGAGGAGACTGTTTCAGTCTTTTATTTCCTTTGTCTGTGATATCTTTATTCAATAAAGTCATCATTTCAATATTATTGTTTTCTATAGCCATTTGGAAAGGACTTCTTTCATCTGCTATTGATTTAGGAATTTGAACCTATATAAAACACAATCTACATTTACTCAAAAATTAAAGTTTAACCCCAAAACACAATCTACATATACTCAAAAATTAAAGTTTAACCCCAAAACACAATCTGCATATACTCAAAAATTAAATTAAAGTTTAACCCCAAAACACAATCTACATATACTCAAAAATTAAAGTTTAACCCCAAAACACAATCTACATATACTCAAAAATTAAAGTTTAACCCCAAAACACAATCTGCATATACTCAAAAATTAAATGAATGCATATTCTCCTGTTGATTTCTCTGGAAGTTGAAAATTCAATTAAATACATCTTATTTTTTATCTCTATAGAAGCTAACAATTATAGCTGTTGAAATATTTTAATGATTCATAAAAAACTCTAGTTTCTGACTTAGTAGTTAAAATGAAAAGCTTAACTATAACTGTTAAAAGTGTTTCATATAGAAGTAAAAATTACATTGTAAATGTGTTGATCATCTTCTAACAACTGTTTCAGTAATTCCATATCATTCTGTAAAACTGCTCTGAATACCAGCTTGGTATGGGACATCTTAGAAATAAATGGCACATGGTCCCTACAAAGATAATTTTAACATGATTCAAACATTTTTTTGTCACAATGATAGGCCATCATTCAATACTTACTAAGCTAATTGGCATAAAATGTTCCAGTATATTATTCCATCATTTTTTAATAGAGCATCCTTCATTTACCTTGGAAGATACTTTACATTCAGTTCATTAGTTGTTTAGTACATATAGGAGTAATACAGTACACGATGATACACAGTCAGTCTATCATGGTAAGTGAAGGCTAGCTGAGCAATATTTCATCACATATTACTGATTTAAAGTTTAAGCATAACAAGAAGAGAGGACGCATAACAAGGTCTCACCTCCTTTTAGTGATTATCACTGAATTAGTCTGAATATGTTGAATATCTACAAGGACATGGTCAGAATAGGGACAATACACATTTCACTGACATTGAGACATTGTAACAGGCATTAATCATATATATATATATATAGTATATAATTATAGTAGACATCCAGAAATATGTTGATTACTCAAGATACCAGATCTCATATAGCAAGCTGACATAAAATTGAAGTCTCCTCCAAAAGTTTGGACTTTTAAGTATTTCAGGTAGTGTTTACAAACCGATGAACAAAATGTTCCATTGCACAAAACAGATAATAAATCACAACCACCAATAATAAAGATTTATTCTCACTTGAATGTCTCATAAGAGAGTTGAATGTGATTTTTTCTAGTCATAACAGACTTTAATGTAAAATATTCTTGTCGTAACACAGTTGAATGTGATTTTTTCTATCTATGTAGGAATCATATTCGTGTGATGGTTTTGTCCTGTAATAAAACTGATTACTATTTTATAAAGGCATATTACTGCAGACATACTTACTTTGTTTCAAATAATGGATCTTTTTCTATAACCTTAATCTTTAGGTTAGGCTTCAAGTTTTTGTCTGGTCCTCTTTTCTTATCAGATTTGCCTTCCTTTTTACCATCCTTCTTTGGTGTCTTTTTGGTATCTGTAATAGTTTCAAAATTCAGTTTTACTAGCCTTCACTCAGATGTTAATACATATATTTTTATCAAGAGTTGACTCTTATCAATTTGTAAAATGGCTACATACCTTTTCTTTTTTCATTTTATTTCTCTAGCAGTATGTTTTTATTCAGATTACATGTAATTTTGTTTCCATTGATAAATGCAATTTGTTGCAAATTATGATCATCAGATTTTTGAGCATTATTTTCATCAAACATATGCAAAATTGCTTTAACTTCTTACCTATAGACAATGTACGGACATTGCTGGAGAAGGTCTACTTTGGTAAAGAATACTCAAGTATGATACAAAGTAATAGTCAATTTATTACAAGTTTTAGCTAAGGTTTATTATGAATATCCTACCTTTCTTTTCTTTTTTGTCAGATTTGGTTTTTGGTGTAGATTTTTTACTTGATGACTTTCCTAAAAATAAAAAACAACCCATTAAGCAACTAACAAATACCATATAAATTATGTACAGTGTTTTATATAAATACAGACTCATGTCAGGTATTCTAGTGGAATTTCAATATAGTAGGGACATTTATCATAAACAGAAGACAAAAGGGTAAATAGACAATATGACAAGGGATTTACTTTAAGATATATAGGATGAATGATTAAGGACAGCAATAAGCTACAAAAGCAGAAGGGTAATCCTCCATTCAAGAGTTTTCTGTGAGAGTACTATTTTTAATTTTTTACAATTGCACTGACAAAACAACAATGCATACATTGGTTTTCACACAGATTATGACAGACCATGATTTATATTTATTTTTAGTCATTTTAAATTGCAGCACACAAGATTCTGATATTGTTTTAAAAGGTATCTGATTAAGGTTTTTTTACTGCAAACCAATCAATGGAGAGCGTCTTACTTTTTCAGCTTGAAGACTATACTTGTATACAATTCATTTGTGCTTTCAAATTTGCATATTATTGGCAATAGCTGAATATTTGTAAACTATACAACTTGGAAAAAGTTACTGAACACTACTTCACCATTACCAGATTTTAAGAACACCCTCACACCTTTTTTAGATGGTGGTGTAGTTTTAGACTTTGACAGCTTCTGTTTCTTTGTAGTTGGTTCATCTTCCCAATCTGAAATGAACAGAAAAAATATCTTAATATCTGTGGTTATAGCTCAAACTAGTCAATATAAGTATGATTGTCATTTAATTTGTTTAAGCATAAGGTTGGCCAAATTTTTATTTTGTAATGCAGATCTGTAATTCATTACTATTTAACTAAATACCAAATCTACCAACACATCTTCAAGAATAAAAGAACAGAGTTCCAATGTCCCCCGCGTTGCACATATTTTATCTGTCCAAGGGCAATAACTAAAAAAAAAAAATTATTTTGTTTTTTAAAACTTTTTAAAATTATTTTAGAGAGTTGAAGAATTGAGAGCAATTTCTCATTTATATAATATTTCCAAGGGACATAACTCATTAAAAATATTTGATCGGCTATTATTTTCAAAATTGTACATGATATTGCTGATATTAACCTTTGATATGAATTTGATAAAAATCTGGCAAACACTGTACATGTGAATGCGCTTACAATGCAAATTTCCATATAATTAATATTTCTAAGGGGCATAACTCTTTTAAAAATATTTGGCACTGATTTTCAAACTTGTCTAAGACATTGCTGATATAAACCTATCATATAAGTTTTATAAAAATCTGGCAAGAATAGTACATGTGAGAGCACTAACATTGCAATTTTCCATTTAATTAATATTTCTAAGGGGCAGAACTCTTCTAAAAATAAGTGATCAGCACTGATTTTCAAACTTGTCTGAGACATTGCTGATATAAACCTATAATATAAGTTTCAAAAAAATCTGGCAAGAATTGTACACATGAAAGCGCTTATGATGCAATTTTCCATAAAATTAATGTTTCCAAGGGGCATAACTCTTTTAAAAAGAGTTCATGGGCACTGATTTTCGAACTCCTCTGAGACATTGCTGATATAAACCTATGATATAAGTTTCATAAAAATCTGGCAAGAATTGTACACATGATAGCGCTTACGATGCAATTTTCCATAAAACTAATGTTTCCAAGGGGCATAACTCTTTTAAAAATAGTTCATCGGCACTGATTTTCAAACTCGTCCTAGACATTGCTGATATAAACCTATGATATAAGTTTTATAAAAAAACTGGCAAGAATTGTACATGTGAGAGCACTAACAAGACAGGACAGATGCCCGCTATTTCTATGTCCCCCGCAACGCGTTGCACGGGGGACAATAACCAGGGGCCATAGTGGTTGATAGTACGTAGTTCATCTACAGTGATCAGCAGCATGTTTACACTGAGGTTATAAGTTTCATCACCGCTCATGGCAAGGTGTTTTCAACCTAATCTTTATTGACTAGGATTGCCAGTTTTCCTGCTGAAAGTTGGTGGTTTTCTACAGGTACTCTGGTTTCCTTTGATAATGCAAATGTTGAAATTAAAATAGCAATACTTTAACATGTAAGTTATGCAAATATTCAAAGTCAATGAACCATGACTGAAGGTACAGGGCTAAACAATCTCCATGGAAATGAGATGTGCCAATGCTAATACAACTGCAAACCAAATACCATTGACTTTTCATAAGTCGTTCCCTTTAAACAAACCTAAACACAAACATTAACTTGTAAACTATGTAAAAGTTTCAAAGTCAATGAACCATAATTAGGGGTTGGGGTTATATAATCTCCATGGAAATGAAACTTGCAAATGCCAATACATGTGCATACCAAATATCATTGACTTAACATTAGTGGTTCTTCGTAAACTGAACTAATCACAAACTAATACATGTAAACTAAGCAAAAGTTTCAAAGTCAATAGACCATGACTGAGGGGTAGGGACCAAATATTCTCCATGGAAATGAGATGTGCTAATGCTTATACAACTGCATACCAATTATCATTGACCTACCACTAACGGTTCCCCTTAAACTGACCTAATCACAAACTAATACATGAAAACTAAGCAAAAGTTTCAAAGTCAATAGACCATGAATTAGGGGGCAGGGCCAAATAATCTCCATGGAAATGAGATATGCCAATACTTAGACAACTGCATACCAAATATCATTGACCTACCACTAGTGGTTCCCCATAAACTGACCTAATCACAAACTAATACATGTAAACTAAGCAAAGTTTCGAAGTCAATAGACCTTGACTGTGGGGCGAGGCCAAATAATCTCCATGGTAATGAGATGTGCCAAAGCTAATACAACTGCATACCAAATATCATTGACCTACCACTAGTGGTTCACCATGAACTAGACCTAATAAAAAACTAATACATTGTTGACACCGACGCCGGAAACAGCATACCTATGTCTCGCTTTTTGACTCTGTCAAGGCGAGACAAAAACCACCATGATTTTGCAAAGAGTGCTGAAAGTGGCATTTAACACCAACAATCAATCAATCAATCAAGCATAACAATAAAATTCTCTTTTTTATACTAAGAACTTCATTATGCAAGCAGACTCAACAATATCAGCTTGGAGTCATAACAAAAAGTACACAAATACAATAGTAAAATGATAGAAATTTTATTCAAAATATCTAACAGAATTAAAACAACATTATCTGATCTTAGAACTAGGAACCATACGACATCAATCAAGTCAATAGCTGCAGACATGATTGAAACTGTCCATTGAACGCTAATAAAACTATACACCTTGCACATTAATGTGGTTTGCATAAAAGTAAACCATGGTACTTACCCTCATCATCTTCAGTCTCTTCTTCATCTTCTTCCTCCTCAACCTCATTTTCAGGAACAATATCTATGTCATCAATAGGCATGCCTTTCTCCTTACGTATAGCCTTTGTCAATATCATCTCAATCCTCTTTTTCTCACTATCTGGAAGTGTATATGTTTCCCTGGCAACACGATCCATCTTGATATTGGTAAGGACACATTCAATATCTGTCGAGTCTAGGAAATCAAATTTGTAATGCTTGGTCACTTCATCCATGTCAAGCCACTGAATCTTGAACTTTTTAGTGTTGCTGAAGACATTCTGTTGTGTTCTGCACAAGTAGAAGGTTTCTGCAATAAACAAATCATAAGCAGTTTTATATTTTTATGTTTTTTAATTATTTTAAAATGACATAATCAAACTTCAAATTTCCATCCTGAAAGTACAAATGCATGATTTATTTTGACTGGAATATTAAGAACTGTTTACCCATGCCAAATACAATTGATTAGTTGGCATATTCAGGGGTTGGAATTTTCTGGAAAACCTCAATAGCTCGGGGATTTTCAGGGCTTGTATTTTACTTGCACTTCCTGCTACGGTTTGCATGGAAACATTTTCATAGATGGTATGGACCTTTAGCATGTTAACTAAATGCAAGATTTTTTCCATGGTTGATTCTTATTTTGCCAAAGAAAGTGATTATGACTGTTTATTACCTTCATCTCCTCTAACTGCCAGAAAGACTCCCTTTTTATAAACAACCTCCACATCATCATGGTGAGGCGTTTTAGGTTTAGGTGTCGGTAATTCCTCTGCAGGAGACTGGAATCTTTCTACAGGTGCCCTCTGCCTCTTCAATGGTGTGCGAGGCTCTATAGGAGCTACAACAGTCTTTTGTCTTTTTGACTGGAATATGAGAAATCATAATTTATCAAAATCAAGCATGCAACATACTGTCCAAACACAGTTTCACATTAAAAAAAACTTTTTCTATAGACCCTTTAACACTAAATGACCAAATCGGTGTCAATAGACCCACAGACTGTTTAAAATTCAGTGACAAATCATTATTCATAGACCCTGTAAGATTAGTAGATAAAAACAAGTTAGATTGGCCTCTTAAGTTTAACAGTGTCTAAATAGACAATAATAGTGATGCAAGGATAATTCTACAATTCGATTGATTGATTGATTGATATTTAAACACCACTTTCAGCACTATTGTGCTATTTCGTGGGGGTCAGTATTCAAGTAAAAAAATAAATGAATTTTTGTAATGTTCAGAAATGGAAAGGCCAAAATCAATTTAAGTTCTACAACTCAACAACAATAAAAGCTAAAACGAAACTTGGCCTTCATTTAGTCATAGGAAACAACACATCTAAATTTGAAAAGATTTCGTCAAAGCGTTTTCAAGTTATTGCATGGACAACGCTCTAAGCATCACTTTTCTCTCCTTAAAGGTCTACAACTCAACAACGATAAAAGCTAAAATCGTGAAAATCCAATTTGACCTATATTTAGTCACAGGAAACAACATATCTAAATTTGAAAAGATTTCTTCAAAGCGTTTTCAAGTTATTGCATGGATAATGCTCTAAGCATCACTTTTCGCTACTTAAAGGTCTACAACTCAACAACGATAATAGCTAAAATCGTGAAAATCGAACTTGACCTTCATTCAGTCACAGGAAACAACACATCTAAAACTGAAAAGATTTCTTCAAAGCATTTTCAAGTTATTGCATGGACAATGCTCTAAGTATCACTTTTCGCTACTTGAAGGTCTACAACTCAACAATGATAAAAGCTAAAATCGTGAAAATTGAACTTGACCTTCATTTAGTCACAGGAAACAACATATCTAGATTTGAAAAGATTTTGTCAAAGCGTTTTCAAGTTATTGCACAGACACTGTTTGGCAGCCACTTACACGCCCGACGTACATCACCAAATTAATAACCGATATTTTTCCATTGGAAATCCGGTTAAAACTAGTACAATAATTTGTGTTCAATTTTTGCATAAGAAATAAGTTTATGTAGGTGCTTGCCTTTAGGAAGTGTGTACATTTCATTGCATATTTTTAAAAGAAGTCTTAGCTGAAGGCATGGTTTTACAGGTTCAGTGACTGAATATCATATACAATACAGTAAACGATATAGACTGCTCAAAAAGAAAGATTGCAGTATAAATACTCTTTACATCAGTGACAGAATTTTTGATAGTTTTCCTACAAAATGCATTGCCTATACCAAGCACCCCAAAAAAAAAACGGGCACAGGTTGTTTGCGTTTTTTACCTGTAATATGAAAGGACATTTGTGCTTTAAACTTTGATACACTTATGCAAATTTGACCAAATATTTGCACTTTTTTACCAAGTATAAAAGTTTAACTGTAAATGGAATTATAATTTTGACATGTATGGATGAAAAATTGAAATTTAGCAGCTTTATACGATTCGTGGATTTAAAAATAAAAACTTTATTCCTCTTATGTTCATTATTTTGCCTGGAAAGTTTGAGGAACTTTTCTTCGGAAAATGCCTGTACCAAGTCAAATATGATGGTTGTATACCATTCATTCCGTTGGTTGATAAAGTCTCAAGTTTGATTTTGTCAGCTTTAATGACTTCTCCCTTTTTGAATTTAGCTTAGTATTTCGATATTTTTGTTATACTTTTTTCCATCTTCAATCATTGTTTGTCTAAGCCTTTTTGAATGAGTGAGGACCTAAACTTGATTTTTAAACCATTGGCTGTTCTTGTTGACATTGAAGAAAGAGACGTGGTTGTTATATAAGAGTTTATTTCCTTCGCCCTTTTGAAGTATTTTCGTTTGGCAAAAGATTCAAGTTAGGACTTTCTAGTGAATACAAAGCTTTCCACCAGTATTATGGGCTGAGCAGCCTTCACGCAGAAAACGAACAACAAATGGTCAGAATCATTTCATAGTGGTATAATATACAATTTTACTCAACTCATCCTGCAATTTTGACTTTTATTAAGAGTATCCTTGAACAGCAATCCTTCAACTACTTCAAAATTAGATATATCAAATGTATGTTGATAAAGCACAAATGTTTGGTAGAAAAAAGCACAAATGTCCAAATGTGCAAACTTCCTGCGCAGAAAAAACCATGTTTGTTTAGTCATCTGACTGAAACTAGCTATAGTTTCTGGGTTATCTAATCAAATTTTTTTCAGTTTATAGAAACTTTCCTGAAATGAAAGTCATCTGTGAAAACCAAAAACTGTGGCTGTAAGTATCATAAAAGCAGACAAAGAGGAGCAAAACATTTATGGTTTTTACCATTTATATTACCAATTTCAAAGTAAGCTGTGGCTTTTATGACTTTACTCAATACATCTTTTTAGAATAACAACTCATCCATAGAATGGCAAGCATGAAAAGACTTTGAACTTTTGACAGTTATGAAAATTAGCTAGAGCCTCCAAATAGCCTGAATAAAATATCTGACATAAATGTGTCATTTTGATATATATTTACTAAAAAATCAGGATAACTTTTTTTAACAAAAGTTTGCAAGCCCGTACCTCTATCAAATGGCCCTCTCCTTAGTCCTCTATTAAAGCAGTCATTATAACATCAATGACCACAGAATTTTCACAATTTGCTAGTTTATTAATTTTGCTATTTAGTTCTTCTCTATTCATAAATGTATCAAAGACCATAAAAAAAACTAAAAATTCATAAACAAGAGGCTCTCAAGAGCCTGAATCGCCCACCTGTATTTTTTTGCTTAAATCTTTCATCAATGATTATTTTTGCTTTTTAATATATATATTAATTGATTGATTGTTGGTTGCTTAACGTCCAGTGGTATATATATATTAATGAGTGGCTTAAAAATGCCATTTAAATGTTCTTTGTATCTTGTCATATTTTCTTCAAAAGCAAAAAAAGGCATTTAACCCTATAAATAATAATACAAAATTTATACTAGATACTCTGAAACTCATTCAGCCCAAGTTTGGCTGAAATTAATTCAGCAGTTTCAAAGGAGGAGATTTTTTAAAGTAAGCAAACTAGATGAACAAATTGTCCTTAAATGGCAATAACTCCCTAGTTATACAGAAAACATTTGTTTCGGACACAGGGATGGACTAAGCCATTACTACATGCTCCCAAAATGTTTTCTATAAGCTTACCTTTTTTGAGGATCCAGTCTGTTTATCAGAAGTTCCAGGAGAAGGTTCTTTCTTTTTCTCTACTGTTTTTTCTGCATCTGGTTCCTTTGATTTGTCCATGACACTGTAAAAAAACAACAACTTAATTATACCCATGCCAGGCCATAATCTTGCCAGCGAAATGACGATTTAAGTTGTCAAAGAATTTTGAAAATAGCTAAAACTCGCCAGCCAACTGACTACATAGCGAAGTCAAGTCGCTATCAAAATCGGTATGAGGGAGACAACTGTTTTGAATTATCAATTTACGATGATTTTTTTCATGAGGATGTTGCGTAATCACTCAGCTGATTTGTTTTCAGTACTTTTATTTAATACGAGTCAACCAGTTGTACTATTCTGTAGATTAAGGGGATGATTTTTTGCTATTCATTGATAAAAATTTAAATGTAAAAAGTAAAAAGTAAAAAAAAACAGCTGATGGATAAATATATTGCAAACACACAAGCCATGGCCAGCTTGTGTTTTTTTCCTCAACCAACTGGTTAATAAGATTGATATCTTTTATAACAGAAATAATCAAAGCCTTAAAGGCTGTTAAAGCAATTGCTTCCTAGTTAATGTGTTTGTGACTTTTATTTTTCATCCACATGTAAAAGAATTAAACCTGAGAGGAGTCTTATCTTGTGAGAAGTAATGAAGTCATATTAAACAGATTATTCCCTTGTAGAATGTTTATTACTGAACAATTATTAACATGACAATCCATGCACCTGGCTTCATTATTTCTATTGCTTCTATTTTAATTTTTAAGTATATCATAATTGGTTTAAATTTAACCATTGAGTTGTTGATTTCAACTTTCCTGGCACAAGTGTTTTACCGAACTATAGTTTTTTACAATAAGAATCATGCATTCATACATACTGATTAAAGTTTTGAAGATAGGACCGGCTTCTGAAATTTATCTAAGAACTGGCTAAGTTAACCCTTAACCCCTTTCATTACTAATGACATAATTGTGTAAAAAAAAAATAATGCAACATATTTTAAAATAAAGAAATTAATTTACAGTAAAAAGTTTCATGAAGTCATTGTCAATACGCTTGGCGATTTTCTGCATAGGATTGTAAATCAAATATCTTTAAAACACTTATGCAGTACTAAAGAAGTCATTCAAACTCCTGTTTGTTTCTTTTCTTTTTTTAATTCTTCTTTCAAAACATCTTTCCCGGTTGGGCATTGTAATAGAAATAAGACAAATGTATTATGGTAGTACTGTATCTTTGAATTTTGTAAATCAGCCGTGCTTTTCTTCTGAGGCTGTGTGAGAACCTTCTTCTAGAAGAAAATTCATCTGCTATGATCACGATTTGTACAATTCCGATGTTCCAAACAAGTTCAAAATTTAGCATGTTTGCAATGCAGCCCAATATTCACGAGAAACAATGATTTTGATTGGCTGATCAAATACAGTCCTATAATCATGAGAAACAACAATTTTGATTTGCTGATCATGATTGTCTGCCTGGGGAAAGTTCAAAATCAGACAATATTTTGTTCGTGTACAAATTCACAAAATCGGGCAGGGAGTATTAAAAGAGTACATGGTGCCAGTCGGGAAAGAGCGGGCGAACTGCCCTATGAAAACGATCAAACTGGTACAAATACATCTACAAGAACATATGTTGAAACTTAAAAAACCCACCGTTGTTTTTCAACTGTTTCAATTAATGTTTTCCATTAGAAAACATACAGAGGATTTTTTGAATGACAGACCAGGAATCAGTTTTATCTGCTCAAAAACATTGGCTTGATCGATCTGGGTCACATGATCATTCTGGGTCACAAAGATGGCTATATGCTATAGCATTAAAAAGCAATTGCTTTCAAAAAAATTAGCTCTTTATCAGTTAATTTATATGTGATTCATTTATAGGTTTACAAGCATTCACCAGAATCTCAAATTAAAACTGACATGATGTCCTGGCCCCATGGACATTCAATGTTTTCACTAAATTATGACAAGAAGTGGTGATATAAATCAAATTGCCAAGTCATCAGATTAACTGGGAGTCATATTTTTCTGGACTTTTAAAAATAAATTGAGGCAGATGCACATGAGATTAATGCATAATATACTAGCAACAAATTTTATTGAAATTTAATTCAAGTTGACAGTACACATGATAAGACTAAATAAATAACAACTATATTGTCTAAATTTTTTTATTAAGAATTTTCAATATATTCAATATCATTTAAAAACACTGCAAGTATATTTTTTATTGCATATATAAAACAATTTCCTTAATGATAAGCATGAAAACACTACACTACCTGACTTCATGATTTCATGCGTTGCATTCAGAATATAACCCAAGTGCATTTGACGTCTACCTCTGTCATTAATAATTCAACTTGATGAAATTTAAGCCACTAAAGAATGGCAATTTGAAATTTCCATCAAGTCCTAATTTGTACGATTTTAAGGAAATAAGGTTCAAAAAATGGGCTAGTGAAAGCATATGTATGATCAGGGCTCACACTACTTCAGAATCATAGGGAGAAGTGACTTCTCTTTTTGAAACTGAGAGGAAGAAGTGATGAGTTTTGAAAGAGAACAGCGCTACAATGTCTGGTTGTCGAGCCTTCGACTTTAGTCGAAAAAGCGAGACATAGCGATCCTACATTCCGTCGGCGTCGTCGTCGTCGGCGGCGTCCACAAATATTCACTCTGTGGTTAAAGTTTTTGAAATTTTAATAACTTTCTTAAACTATCCTGGATTTCTACCAAACTTGGACAGAAGCTTGTTTATGATCATTAGATAGTATCCAGAAGTAAATTTTGTAAAAATAAAATTCCATTTTTTCCGTATTTTACTTATAAATGGACTTAGTTTTTCTGCCGGTAAATATTACATTCACTCTGTGGTTAAAGTTTTTAAAATTTTAATAACTTTCTTAAACTATCCTGGGTTTGTACCAAACTTGGACAGAAGCTTGTTTATGATCATAAGATAGTATCAAGAAGTAAATTTTGTAAAAAAATAAATCCATTTTTTCCTTATTTTACTTTTAAATGGACTTAGATTTTCTGCCAGGAAACAACACATTCACTCTGTGGTTAAAGTTTTTAAAATTTTAATAACTTTCTTATACTATTTTGATTTTATTCCAAACTTGGACAGAAGCTTGTTTATGATCAAAAGCTAGTATCTAGAAGGAAATTTTGTAAAAAAATAAATCCATTTTTTCCGTATTTTACTTTTAAATGGACTTAGATTTTCTGCCAGGAAACAACATATTCACTCGGTGGTTAAAGTTTTTAAAATTTTAATAACTTTCTTATACTATTTTGGATTTGTACCAAACTTGGACAGAAGCTTGTTTATGATCAAATGCCAGTATCTAGAAGGAAATTTTGTTTTCTTCCAGTTAACATTACATTCAGTCTGCAGTTAAAGTTTTTAAACATTTATTAGATTCATAAACTATCCTGGAATTTTACCAAACTTGGACAGAAGCTTCTTACAATCAAAAGATAGTATCAAGAGGAATATTTTTATTGATTTACTTCCTCATTTTTGTTGAGCCTGCGATTAACAGAAAAAGTAGGCGAGACACTAGGTTCCGTGGAACCCTTACGAATTTTTTTTACTTTATAATACAATGGGCCATATGTATCTTTTTTTTATATATATTGTTCAATTTGTACCTGGGTATACAATTAAAGTAACCATGGTAACAGTTCAAATTCAAAGTTGTTTAATTTTATCATATCTAGTTGCACAATCATATTAGTCCTCTTGTCAGAAAAAACAATTAAATAAATAAAAAAGATTTTTTTATATCAAAAAGGAGAAGAAAGTTGTAATATCAATTAAAATTCAATTAAAAACTACTCTGTTATCATGTTTATGAAATTAAGTATTTCTCATTAAAAAGATATATAAATTTAACAGTTAAGCTTGGACATAATATAATTATATTATTGTAATAGTCCCAGAGTTGAGCAACTTTAATTTATAAATTGAAACAATGCATATACATGGAAATATATACATTAATCAAGAAGATCTAATGCTTGTGGAATGCGTAATTTCTCCTTTTGGGATCAATTTTCTCTGTCAGCTATGCCATTCATGTGTCCGTAGTCATTATCGCAAGAATCCGGATTTCGGTCATAGCTGGTCCGTTTCCAATGAAATCCCGACTCCGATCCGTAGTTGTACAATAATTTGCTCAATAATTTCAATGGCGGACGAAGAAAATTTACAAAAATAAACGATGTTTGACACGCTATTTGGAAGGGAATATGACGTTTTTAATGCAATATAAGGATAACAAATTTACTTCAGGCAAATTTCATCACGTTCTAATGAAGTAACAAACTTATTTTGCCGAAAGTTAGAATGATTTGATGTACGCTCTCGAGTAACAAGTACCCAAAGTGATAAAAAATTTGTCTTTATGAAAATAACATGCAACCAACTTAAAAATCAATGCTTTAACCTGTTTTCTAAAGAAAATGAATCGTTTATGTCTTTGAATTTCCTTACTTTTAAATGAAAAATTGCTGTTTCATCGACTTGGTAAATGTTGAATATTGCCGATGACAAAAGCGACTGAAAGCGAGTATCGTGAACAACAGGGCGACTAGATTTCGCTTTTGACGGTCGGCAAAGCGAAGTGACGGACGGGAAAGCGACTTTGTTGCCCCAGTTGCCTGCTAGCGTGAGCCCTGTATGATATTTAAATTTTCTATCTTTCCTGCCTTGTGGAAAATAAGAATAGAGGGCAGCATATATAACTGCTGTTATTGTAATAAGGTATCAATTTCTGGTGGCACTGAAATGTTTGTTTGTTATAATATTGCTATTTTGCAAATTGAAAAGGAATGGGATGTTTATGCTGCAACAAATGTATCACGCATAATTTAAGAATCATTTTAAATTAAGGTTTAAAGAAGTAGCTTTTAATTAACATTGGAATCATTTGATGTACACTTGTGAAACAAATAGTGGAAATAAAACAGCATTTGTTAGTGCTCCAGATAGAAATTGAAAGGGGCAGGATGCCAGTGCAGGGCAAGGCACTTTTTGAAGTTGAAAAGGGCACTTCTCAATTTTAATGTCTACGTTTCTGTACGTTTTCATTCATGGCTTTTTATCACATGTTCACATTGTGTATTACTGTATATGATGACAATAAAGATTTCACAAGTTGCTGTTATTTATTATATTATAAAAATCTGCAAAACATGAGTTCATTTTCATAAAACTATGTTCCATTTGATGAATATACAATCAGTCTGCTGATACAATTAATTAATGTTTTCATTTCATTTTTTTTATAAATCAGCGGTCTTTAAGGTTCATGTGGACCTTTAATAGGCTTAAATTGCTGTGTTTACACCTCAAAATTTACTCTCAGTACAGACCAACCTGTGCATCTGGAATAGTTTTAAGCAAAGCATGACCTAGATAAATAAACTTCAAATGCATTTTATGTTTTAGTAAATTAAAAGCTTAACTAGATTTAGCTGTGCACTTTATTTCATTCCTACAGAAGGTGCAAAAATAAACAAAGTTCAGAAAGAGGTTTGAGAACTTCCCCATAGGTAATAATTAAAGTGAACTGTATTGATTTACACGGACAATAGATATCTGTCAGCAATGGGTGGTTTAAACTGTGCAACTGAGTGGACCATATCAAGTGAAACTCATGTGTTTGTTAAATTTATCATCTTCAGCAGGAATGGAAAAAATGCACAGCATAATCCAGTGCATTTGGATTTTATTTATCTAGGTCATGCTATGACTTAAAACTATTCTAGATGCACAGGTTTGTCTGTACTAGAGAAAATTTTGAGGTGTAAACACAGCCATTTTAGCCATAATTTATTTATTCAAAGTGGAAAATTGCTTTTACGTTCAGATTTAAAATTGCTGAAGACAAGAGCAACTGTTTAACACAATAGCATATGGATACTGGTTTTGAAGGCCAAGTCTGACAAGAAAAGTGATATGAATACAGTGAATACCTCTTCTCATAAAAGCCCTAACATAATACAGTAGACAGCCCAGCTCATAATCTAAAAAGGGATGTCCCATCTTGCATGAACTCTGACTCAGTGTCAATCAAGTAAAACACAGTGTTAACTGGAGTAATATGAAAATTCTTTCAATGCATGTAACATTAGTTGCTGGACCTTAGACACAAATGAAATTGATATGTTCCTAGATCAAAATGATAAAAGTTGCCTCCCTTGAATATATAAACATTGTTAGACGTAAAAGATGCTTCATGTGGTATACCGCTGTTAATCCGTATATGCATGCAAAAGATAGAGCTTTAAATAAAGCAATGCTAATGATAACCCATAACATCTCATCATTTAAAACAGAACATGTTTGTTGTCATTATTTGTGTTTTTTAGAAAAGAAAAAAATACCCACGCTTCGTATTTTTTCAAATGTTGTATGTTATATTGTCATGCAATACCTGTTTCTTCAAATGCAAACGCTTTATAAATTAACAGCGATGCGTGTGTTTGTTATTAATATAGTCGATTCGTTGAAATTTAAATTATATGCCGGTGCATTGCCGGTTTCAAACACACATGGTCGCCATTTTCAGGCTATTCCATTAACCTCCCGATTTTTAAATAAAATATAAGACGGTGAAATGTGAATTTTAAACTGATTATTACGATGATTTGTATCTGTTCAAATTATAATTAAAAAAAGATTTTAAAAAATGAGATAACAAACCGATCAAAATACAATTTAAAAATCGAAAATACGTTTGACATTATTTTGCAAAACAATCACCTACGTAATTCCCCCAATTAGATAACATTTATGTCATGATCGAGTAGTCCTTTGTCTCAATCAGACAATAAGGGGACGACCATTTGATATTCTGGGGGAGGGGGAGGGGGATTTTGAAAATAAATAACTCAGCCTTGCCTTGATAATAAAAAAAAAATGAATGGTTTGTTCTGTGGTAGTTTGAAAATAAATAACCAGACCTACAATGTATTGAAAATAAATAACTCGGCAGGTCTTTTAAACCATTTTATAAATGCTTCTACCAAAATTCGTCTTTTTTCATATTTTTTTTCGGGAAAAACTTCCAAAATCTTTTAATAATATATATACTACACCATATATAAATATTTTTGAAATGTCTGAAAATGGGTTTCATTTCACTTGAGGTATATTGTCTCATGAACATTTACCTCACTTTAATACCTTTTCCCATTTTAACCGATATTGTTTTTTTTACGTATGCAATATGTAGTTTTTGAATTCAGAAGATTCACTTCCAGAGGATGATGATTAATTTGGATTAAATGGTACATAATGTATTTCATCTCATCGAATTTATAAGATGTAAGTATAAACTTGTTAAACTGGTATATAAAAAAACACATAATTGAATGCAGAAAAATAATTACATTCGTCTACTTTAATGTATTAAAAAACTATTAAACATGCATGTCGTTTAAACATGCATGTCGTTTAAACATGCATGCAAACATGACAAATAATTACCATACTTTGGCATTACAAAAGAAAAAGTGAACAAAACTTGAAAGGAAAATTACTACCAATAGGTCATAGAAAAACCATGAATTCTCAACAAATAACTGAAACCTTTAAATAAAACATTTATATATCAAACAACAACTGTATTTAAATGTCCATATCTCTGGGATAAATGTTTCTCCTTTTCAAAATTGTTGTAATTTTTGTTGTTTGGCATGATTTGGGATCTTTTAAAAAAAATCCCCTTATTCCCGTAGCAGAAATATACATGACCTTTTTTCAGTGATGCTTTCGGACATGCGGCCGCTCGAAGGGACTCGCTCTTGAGCCCCTTCTTCTTGTCCTTCTGAATTTTATGGCTCTCAGAAATACTTTTTAGTGTATTTTCCTTTATAGTAGAAGTATGACATGGTACGGAATCGATCGTGTCTTTGAGATCATGAGCAGCAGCCAAAGACTTTGAATAAAATTGAGAATGGAAATGGGGAATATGCCAAAGAGACAACAACCCAACCAAAGAGCAGATAACAGCCGAAGGCCACCAATGGGTCTTCAACGTAGCGAGAAAATCCCGCACCCGGAGGTGGTCCTCAGCTGGCCCCTAAATAAAATTGTGTACTGGTTCAGTGAAAACGGACGTCACACTAAACTCCAAAACATATAGAGGAACTAAAATTAAAAAAACATACGAGACTAACAAAGGCCAGAGGCTCCTGACTTGGGACAGGCGCAAAAATGCGGCGGGGTTAAACATGTTTTGTGAGATCTCAACCCTCCCCCTATACCTCTAGCAAATGTAGAATAAAGAAACACATAATAATACGCACAGTAAAACTCAGTTTAAAAGAAGTCCGAGTCCGATGTCAGAATAGGTAACAAAAGAAACTAAGCAAAATGACAATGATACATAAATTAACAAAGGACTACTAGCAGTTACTGACATGCCAGCTCCAGACCTCAATTAAACTGATTGAAAGATTATGTCTTCATCATATGAAAATCAGGTACAATCCCTCCCGTTAGGGGTTTAGTATCATACCATCATAAAATATATGAGAAGAACATAACCCGTATCATGCCAACAACTGGTTTTAGAATAAATGTTTATTTCCTATGCAAAGACCTTGTGAGTGAATCAATATTTATACCAAAAAATGCAATCCTTAATGACCTGACAACAGTATCGTAACTATATCCCTTCCGAATAAGTCTGTTTAAAGGTTTGGTTAGCTTTTGAGGTGACTGCCGACATTTTTGTGCATTGTAAAGAATATTACCATAAAATATTGGATGTGAAATACCTGAACGTATGAGATGTCTGCATGTTGATTTATATTTACAAATGATGTCCTTGTACCGATGATAAAATTTAGTAAATGTTTTGACTATAGTTTGTGATATCGAAAACCCTGGTGTAATAATTTTTCAGTAATACAGAGATTTCTTTCGTTGAAATCAAATACGTTGTTACATACACGACCGAATCGAACAAGTTGAGATATATAAACACCATAAGATGGTGACAAGGGAACGTCACCATCTAAAAATGGATAATTAACAATAGGACATGAAACATCATCTCTTTTATCATAAATTTTGGTATTAAGCTTCCCGTTAAAGATATAGATATCAAGATCCAGGAAAGGGCAGTGTTCATTGTTAGTATTAGCTTTATTTAAAGTCAGTTCGGCAGGATAAATCTCTTTAGTGTATATACTGAAGTCGTCATTTTTAGCCATCCCACTCCAAAATATGACGCATTCTTTGCTCCCCTCTGACTTATGTTTTTCATTTTCTTTTACTTTCTCTTCAAAATCTTTTTGTGCCCTTGATGCAATATCAATTATGTTGCCCAACTGTTCTTTAAAGTTTGTGTATCTGTCACATTTTGACCTTGTACATTCTTGTCAGTGTACCAAGACAACAGTTGACAGGTATTTTTTATAAATGAAAATATACATGATATAAACTACAAATGTTTTCCAAGGAATAAAACATAGTCTACGCTATACCCACAAATATACAAGCTTTAAACTATCTCAAACTATGTTTTCCTACCTGTTTTGCATTTAATAAATATTGTGAAAAGATATGTAAACTGCATATTTATATTATGTATGAATGTGTGCTAATTGGTATAGGCCTAAAGTATAGATCAAGATGAAGAACTTTACAAAAAGTCTATTCTAAATAATTATACTATTCCTTATGTTTGTATTTGTTCCGGACCATATGAGTATTTGGACCGTACGCGTATGGTCATGACCATATTGGTATACTCATATGGTCCGACCATACGCGTATGGTCGGACCATATACTCATATAGATATAAGAAGATGTGGTATGAGTGCCAATGAGACAACTCTCCATCCAAGTCAAAATTTATAAAAGTAAACCATATGGTTATTAACGGGCCGGACCATATGAGTATTTAGACCATATAGGTATTTTTCGAATAAATTCAAACTTCCTTAACAGACACAGCTCGTTCTCTGGGCCAAAATCGGGACAAATTATTAACTGAAATCCTTTATCTTTTTAACATATTGTCTAAATCTTGGTATATTTGTTGACTTGTCTTCGCTATCTAGAGTCAAATTTAAGCACCATTATCACGTCGACAGTTTCGTCCGTACGTGAAACCACACGGGTGTTTGGGGCATGGACAATTTTCTTTCTTTTTTTCCCCGGCGTTTAGATTAGATTTTCTTTAAATTCTTCTAATTTCCACTAATTTTCACTTACAATAACAGTGGTTTCTACATAAGAATAGAGGGGCTGCACGTATACACTACTGTAATTGTAGATCGTATAAAAAGGAGCATGAACAAATTAGATAACTAAAAATAATTTGAAATGTTTCAGAAATTTGAAATAAATTGAAACACCAAAATAAAGAAAAATGGAGGTTTCCATGCTCCAATTGTTAACGACTAAAACAGTTGACTTCTTGCTTGACAGTTCACTATAGTTATTTTCGGAGTCGACATATTGTGTTTCGTAAAGACAAATTAATAATGATCTGGCAAAAATGCTTCTACTATAATTTTAACTTGTGAGTAAAATTCATTTTATTTCATTAATCACGTAAAAATGATTATCAAATTATATTCTAACTCAAAAAATTCATTTTTAGAAGCTCTTAATTTATGGCACAATGACGGGTTATGCTCTATGCGATTACTGTTCAACGTTCATCGTATTTATTACCTGGACCATACGCGTATGGTCGGACCATATGAGTATATACGAATATGGTTATGGTCCAAATACTCATATGGTCCGGAACATATATATATATATATGTAATTATTGTACAAAATATATGGAATACATTTTAATAATGCCATTTCATTTGGTCAATCAATGTATCATGTGTATTAAATAAATCTTTAAATTTATAAATATGTATCAGTCTTGTCAGTGATATACAACTGAAGTTATAAAATGGGCTATCTATGTATAAAATGATGCGTATCTCCTTTCAGCGACAGTTTTTAGCTCTTTTTATAACTTCGTAATAGTTCTTTAGTATAGAATTTCTTCTATATTCTTTTATAGAACACATATTTGTGGTAGAACTCGGAAATAATCACCAAGACATTTTGTGACACCAGAACCAATTATTCTTCCGTTTGAAGTGAATGGGTCTCCATGGGCTGCTTTCCCAGACAAACTTAAGATCATCAATAGCAGGTAAGTTAACCCAGCTTTTTATGAATAAAACAACTGGAACTGAAAAATTGAACACTTGTCTTATAATAGTCCCACTCGGCAGTCTTGATGGAAATCTATAGTAAGTGACAGTTTAAATGTGAGAATATTGTGTAATCTAAAAAGGTGCTTGCATCAGGAGAAACATATTTGTCATAAAACACCCCAAAGTAAAACCCCCTTTTCATTTAATATATATATATATATATGCAACATACTGGTACATTTAACTTAAACTACAGAAATATATATCTGCATTACATTTTCCTTTCTCCTTTACTTAAAACAGAGCAATGCACAATACAAAATGAATGTACAAGTATGCATTATAAACATTGCATATTTCTATTTGCACCTATAATTCAGTTTCTTCATTTTG